GGTGGATTAACGTTGCACGACGGCATATCGGCGTATAGGCGCAAGTTCCTCATCACGAGAGAAAATTTGCCGAATATTGTACATATAATAGCGCTGTTTTGCACCCCCCAGGGATGCAGAGAACTATGATCAACGGTTCGTTGGAGCCACAGCCCGCTAGCCAACAGATTCGAGGGTAAATCATTCCTATTCATAAAACAGGTAAGCTTGAGATCATACCAATTTTGGGGCCAAACAATAGTAACTTCAGGCCCATATGCTCCAATTATATTGGGTAGATTGGCTCAAAATCATTAGATATCATCTCTTCAACCAACCTCTGGGCTCTTTCTTTTAAAAGAAGTTCTTACGCGTTCTTGACTTGAACCGGGGCTTTGCATTGTCCTCACACCCCCATGCGCGTCATGCCATTCGGAAACTTCCCATTCTATTTGTACCGATCTATCTGCGGAAGACCCAAAACCTCGTCGGTGTTTACCAACGCGGCCTAGACGACTCCCTTGAATCATCTCTTCGAACCAAGGAATTCCATATATGGCCCCCGTTCGATGGCTGACTGAAACCTGAGCATCACCAGCGCTTGGTTGTAGGGCTGATGGCGCTGTTGAGGTGAGTGCAGTTGAAGCAGTGGCAACATCCCCAGTCTCAATCTCCTTGGGAAGAATGTCCAAGTCTTCAAGTATGTTTTGATCATCACTTGAAAGACTCCCAACTGTGACAGACATGTAATCAGCCTCCTCCGGCGGGTCCTCGGTCCAGAAGGTCAAGGGAGTGCCACAAAAGCCACAGAAAACGCGTCTGCTGTGCGGAGCATTTTCAGGGACGAAAACACGACGTATAGTAGCATGGGTCTCGTCTGGGAAAAAAGACCTTGTGAAGGACTGATACCACAACAAGGGAACGCGTAGCCAAGCGGTTAGGGGTGCCCCTTGGATCCGCCCTGTAAAAGGGAGATCGGAAGGTCAGCAAAGTACATTATTGCTCACTAGGCTTTGTGCTTTGGACACGTACTATCCTCACTGCTGATATCAAAATATACCTCCGCCTGCTCCGTTGAATCTGGAGGGATAATTATGGCATATTGATTTCTTCCACATGAGCAAGCCCCTCTCAGTGGCGTTTCACGGCTCATGATGCGTATAAGAAGCGGCGATAGAAGGGAGTAAATCGATCAATCCTAGAGCTACAAAAGTTCAAAGCAATGGCCAATCTTTTTGATAGAGGAACGATATACACGAGAGACAAGCGCCGATTCTCGAGGAACGCAGAAGTTTGACGTCAGCAACTCCAAGGTTGTTCGCTGGTCTTGGCACGAAGACAGCCGAAACAGACGACCCTGGCAAGAAATGAAAGGTGCTTCAAATTAGCGGGTTGATCCTGACAGCGCTCCTCATGGCACTGGGAGCGCCTTTCCAGAAGAACGCCTCGTCTCTCGCTTTCATTAATACACTGCTATCCTACGTTTAAGACAGGGCAGATACCGTTTGCCGCGATTTGCTTCGTCGGACTTCTTCCTCTCGATGACACTCATCTCTCGATAACTGTCCTGGTGCCCATGCCTCCTTCGAATTCACCCCTTTTGCCATCTACGCAGCCTTCAGGGCCCACCCAGCAAGCAAACGTCGGCGATTCCCTTAACCATAATGGCTGTATGACAGAGAAGTCTTCTGCTTCGCCCAAGCCAATGTCAGGCGGGGCAGCAGAACGAGAAAAGCCTCGATTAACGGAACAAGAGAAGAAGAATAACCATATTGCATCGGAGCAAAAGCGTCGCGCTGCAATTAGGGAAGGATTTGACAGGCTTACGGAACTCGTGCCAGGCCTAGCGGGTCAAGGGCGTAGCGAGGGAATGGTATTGCGGAAGACAGTCGACTTCATTCGTGTGAAGCTGCAGGAGAGACTGGGAGTTGATAGAGGAGATAGAAAAACGAGGAGGAACAGTCGATGACCGGATAGGGAATATGGGCCAAAAATCCCTGATAATGTGTTTTTGAAGTCCTGACTCGGTTGGAATTCTACGCGACTTTTGCACGAGGATCGAGAGTTATATCTTCACGACGACAACGAATCTCCTTTGCGGAATTACTCCTAGATAACGCTAGACGGCGGCCTCTTTTGGTTGATGGGAATGTTACGCGCCCTGATATGTTCAGCACTCTTCGCAGTTGCATTGTTTCGGTTCTTGAGCGCCTTTGTATGTACAGTCTTGCGGCGATATACCGATGCTTTCATCGTTTCAACCGTTACAAAGCCGACATAGTCAGCATTTGAATGCTAGAAATCTAAAAACTGAGAAGCACCCTAGAATATTTGATTTAATGCCGAATTCAAAGCGATATGATACCCCATTTGTTCCATACCTTTGGTATACAATACAAGATATGTACCTGGCTCTGGCGTTACAGTCATAGCTGTCTAAAAAAGATGTATAGCTAAAGGGTTTGAGAATAGGTATCAGACTGGGATCCCATGGAATCTACCCCATAATAGCTACCTCAGTTTGACTTGCCAAAGAACATAAGCTGGCATTAACAAACCGTTGTTTGACACGGGGATATTTCACCAGATCGATCAATAATCTCTCCCATTCTTGCAACCGGTACCTTAACTACATATTTAGCATCAACTTGTTAACTGCAATGCCCTGAGTTGCAGACAAGTTATTTCCAGCATCCCTTGCAACAGTTTAACACTGGATTGATCTATACAATTTACCGTCTGTTGTTTATTGCATAACAATCTTAGCAATTTGCATTACCAACTTGATTGTTTCCTTTCATTTCTTCAAAAGCGTTTTCATGAATGCTCTCGAGTATGCTCTGTATAGTTGTTCAAATTTACGTACCTTGAAGCTGACCCCACAACCAGACGGGGGGGCCACAGAGTTGCGTCACCCCCGCTGGAGCAAATCTCAAGGGGAAAACGGGCAGAAGAGGTGCTACCAAGGCGAGAAGATTGAACAATCAATATTTTAGAAGACATTTTTCGGCTTCTTTCAGAACCAGCTGCACCATGTCCGAGAAAAAAGCACTCGGTTCTCAACCTTCCACCCCCTCCGAGCCCCCTCCGTCCTACGAAACAGCCGCCTCAATCCCGTCTATCGGCGGCCCAAACACCAATCCCATCTCGCTCCCCCGCCCCCCGCCGCTGGCCCTTCCGGTCCTTAATCAGCTCCGCTCAAAACGCGTGATCCTCGCCTCCGCCTCTCCCCGCCGCAAACAAATCATCTCGTTCCTCGGCCTGCGCGACGTGGAAATTATCCCCTCCAACACGCCGGAAGACTTCCCCAAATCTCTTTCCCCGTTCGAATATGTCCTACAGACCGCAACCCACAAAGCCATTACGGTGTATCAGCAGCAGATCAACAACCCGGATAAGGGTGAGCCGGCGTTGATTTTAGCGGCGGATACGATCGTGGCCGATATTTCTACGGGGAGTATTCTAGAGAAACCGCGCTCGGAGGCGCATCATATCACAATGCTCAAGGCGTTGCGGGACGCGGGGGATCACAAGGTATTCACGGCGGTAGCGGGGATCGTGCCCCTAGAGAGCGCTCGGGATCCGGGATATGCGTTGGAGACAGTGGTGGAGGAGACGAATGTGAGGTTCGATCCGGACATTACCGACGAATTGCTTGTGGCATATGTGAAAACACGGGAAGGAGTGGATAAGGCCGGGGGCTATGGGATGCAAGGGCTGGGCTCGATATTGGTTCAGAGAATTGAAGGGAGCTATGATAATGTGATTGGGCTGCCGCTGCGGGCTACGTTGAAACTGATTGAGAAGGTTATGTCCCGGGCAGATGATGAGGACCTACTTGGAGACGAAGAGGAAGGGTCTGATTCTTGATGAGTTTGCCAACATGTATAGTCTTCCATTGTAACCACCCCTACCCGGCGGTAGGTAGAGTTTAGACCGATACCTGTTGACGCGAGCGGAAACCACAATACACTCCTACGTGCAAGAGAAGCCCGGACTAAATCATACGGAAACAAATTCAAATGCAACAATCAAACGACCAAAAAGACATAATATAGACAGGAAAGGAAAAGAGCATATGTATATACAATTTTATTATCATGCCTTCCAGATTCTCTTGATAGCTTCGGTGATACCGACGTCGTTTGTCTCGAATTCGTAGAGGCCAACAGCCACAGTCAATGTGGCGAGGCGAAGGGCCCAAACACACAAAGCTCTTGTCTTTGGCACACGGCGAGCCGGGAGGTAATCGACGATCAAGGCCCTGTAACAAGCAGAGAGGTCAGACTTGTTCGATAAAACGCGTGAAATGTGCTCTCATAGGTTCGAGTGCGGGTCGAGAATACGTACTGGAAGCCAATATGAGAATGGAGGACCAAGGCACCGCAGAGAATAGCATCAGTAACCGGGTTGAGCGATCCAGCAGCAAATGGAGTAATGGTCAAAGGAATAAGGGAGATAGCGACCAGTCTGCGAGTCCGTTAGTTCCACATCAAATGCGTCTCTCGGAATCCGCGTACCGTTCAAAATCCCAGTGGTAACTGCCGTGTGTTGGAGATGTAGGGGGAATGGGAGCGGCATCATTGACTACAGATTCCGTCAGCATTTGAGGGTTCGCGATTCGGCTTCATTGTTCCGGGCTCTCCCAAGCTCGTGCAAAATAACGCTCCCCGTAAGACCCGCAACAACGACTATTACACATACCGGTTCCTTTGACGACCTCTGTGATGCAAATGAGCCGTTAGCTTCATGCCCTTGCTTATGATGATGAAATCGGTACGCAAAAGGGAACCACTTACGCGGCTCCGGAGGCAGAATATCTCTCTTGCTAGTAGCATGGAACTGGGCGATTTTCATCGAGCCATTCTTCTTCTGTAATTGCACCGGCTTCACCGTCGCTATAGCCGCAAACGGGGACTTTGTGGAATAGAATGCCGCCCTTCTTGCGGAACTCGAGAATGTGATGCAGGTCTGTCTCAGCGCTGGGGCTGACGGGCGAATGATCGAAGCCATGCTTAAATAGAACCCTAGTTAATAAATATGAGAGGTACCTTGGGATAGACTGCAGAACGCGCACTGGGATGGGCTTTGGAGCAGTCAACGACGATGTTCGAGTTCGGAACAGCTTCCTCGGGTTGTCAGCACAATTGACGAGGTGTGATTGGCTGGGAGGACGGCCTTCAACCGAGAAATCCCGTGATGTCTTCCGTGAAGAAAATATAGAGCAAAATACAAAATCAAAACGAGTTTATTCTAGACAAAAGAGCAGCACTTGAATTGGTTTCTATTCTTTTGAAAGGGAAAGCTAGATTATTTCGTTTACGCAACATCATCGCAATGCCTACTCGACATCATCCACCCATCGCGTTCGCCCAAACAGGAATCACTCAACATGCAGGACTTAAAACTTATACCAGGACCAACTCTTGGGAACACTGTATTCAGAATTTCAACACCGCCTTCCCGAAATTCTCCCCTTTGAACAAACCGGCCAGGCCCTTCGGAGCATTCTCAATACCGGCAGTTTCGTAGGTCATTGGCCTGAAAGACCCTTCTTTGATCCATTGGGACACGCGCTCTCGGTGTTCGTTGGCCCATTTATCTCCCATGCCGGGGTCAGATACAATAAAACCGCGAATGGTGAGTCGTTTAGAAACAGTCAGGAAGATGTTCTTAACTGGGTATCGGTCTTCGGGTTTAAGGTTATATTGCGAGATCATTCCGCAAGCGACGATACGACCAAAATCGTTCATGGCATCGATAGCCGCCTCGAGATGTTCACCGCCAACATTCTCATAGTAGATATCCAATCCTTCTGGTGCGAGTCGCTTCAGGGGCGTCGGCAGGCTTTTCTTTCTTATAATTGAATCCAGCGTCGAAGCCCAAATCCTTCATGATATAATCTAGTTTTTCATCGGAGCCAACGCTGCCAATCACCTTGAGACCTTCGTGTTTTGCGATTTGACCGACTACTTGGCCCACAGCTCCCGCAGCAGATGAGATGAAGATGGTCTCTCCCTTCTTCGGCTTTCCAATCTCCATCAGGGAGGAATATGCCGTGAGGCCGGGCATGCCTAGCGCACCGAGGAAGTAACGGAGATCGCTCAATCCCAACGGGTTCTCTAGTGGTCGGAGTCCTTGAGCCGCTTCCGCGGAAAGAGTAACGTACTCTTGAATGGGCATGAATCCCAACACGACGTCGCCAGGCTTAAACTTATCATTGTTTGACTTTAGAACTTTGAGGATTGAAAGACTAGGGAGAGGTTTGCCGGTTTCGTAAGGGGGACGGTAGGATTTGACAGTATTGGGACGCATGCCTCCACGCATGTATGGATCGAAACTCGTGTAGAGCGATTGAACCGTAACACCGCCATCGGGGACATGCTCGTCGAATGGCACCTTCTCGATAGTCAAGTGCTCTCCAGGGATGGGAAACTCCGTGGGGACCTTTTGATAGATCAAAGCCCTGTTCTCTGTGGCCATGGTGATTCGTAGCTAAATCTCTGGGCACTCAAGATTAAACGACAATTGCAATTGTAAAATAACAGGGACCTCTTAACGAATTGGAGTAGAACAATGGATTTTATACAGAACGGTCCCACAGAGAACGTTCCAACAGCAATCTCTTTATTTGTATCTGCTTCTCGCCTAGGCACAGGTGAGGGGCTCACACCTTGGATGGAACGCTTAGAAATCGACTCAGCAACGTCATCAGAGCCAAGATCAGTTCAAGAAAACAGAGGCGCCGGAAACCGTGTTTCGCGCAGTTGGACGCTTTCCAGGGTCTCGAATTCGGCCGTCGGACGAACTGGGAATCCGTTTCACGGTCCGGCTGCCATCGTTTATACTTATTCAGTGTCAGGGATCCAAAACCCAACAGTTACTTAACTGCGACTTTCGCCTGCATTTAGAGCGATTGGCCGTTTGCCTCGGTTGGCGGTAAGCGGTTTGTTGGTAACGGCTTGCATCACGCAGTGTGAAATGGGGCTCAAAGAGTCGGGCTCGGCCGGACTTGAAGCGCGACAGCGAGCAGTTTGAACCACATTAACTAGCTAGTTAGTTAACGAGTCATTTGGCTAGATAGTTATCCGCTCACGACTGTAAATATCACAGGCTGCTGGGGCCCAAAGCCACCCGAGGACATGGGTATCAATGTGAGGGAGGTCCTCACTGGTTCAACACGCTGCATTTCCGTTTGTTCCAGCGGTGAAGCTTGAGGGACCCTGAGGTCTGTCAATGGTCATAAAGGGCCAGCCGCTCACGTGACTGCCCAATGCGGACCTTTCATGTGTTGATCCGTCGCGGGGCTCACTCACGAGTCACTCGGCGACAACCTCACGTCCTCCGGGGTTCAGCCCAGCTACCAGACGAGATGTGAAGCCTGCAATGCCAAAAACACGTAGCCTCCTTCGTCAGGAGATTACTTACTCGTTCGCAAAAAAAGAAGAGGTCAATGTCCTCCACCGCCTCCAGTATGTCGACCTGCGGGAGAGATACTTCACGCTGATCAATGCGAGACATGGTTGGATGAAGGCCATTGTTGCACACCACCTGAACCTGGGCTCCTCTGAAATCTGCCGTATTGCTGACACGGCTGAATGGTATTGTGGTAGTTTCAATGTCTGTGTGCCCATCACCATTGAGAATTGGAATTGGAGGCGGAAACAGCCGGGAAAGCGCGTTATTTTGCGATTTCCCTTGCCATACCGTGTTGGAGAGAGCTTCAGGCCTGGCAACGGTGACGAAAAGGTTCGCTGCGAAGCCGGCACATATGCATGGCTGCAAGAGAATTGCCCCAGTGTGCCTATTCCTCGATTGTATGGTTTTGCCATGTCGACGGGCGAAACTGTAAGCAAGCTACAATCATCAATTAGTGACTCTTGGCTAACAGTACCCAGTTCACTAATCTTGAATATCGACCCTTCCTTGTACGGTGTTTTCATTCCTTCCGGTTTCAATTGCTATCATGGCTCCGGCTCCCAGTTCCCTCTCAATATATTCGTCATCAGGGCACTGGCTTAATCGCTGATGACAGTCAACGGATAGCTGCCTATCTCCTTGTCGAGCATATCGAAGCGGATCGAGGAACAATGCTCTCTTGTTCATGGTCCGAAAACCGGCATAACATTGATCTACGCAGCAACCTCTTCCGCAGCTTTTCTAGAATTATCTTGAGTATTGCGCGGCTTCCGCAACCGCGAATTGGATCGTTCATCATCAACAATAGTGGCTTCTTGCAACTCACAAATCGACCACTCTCAATCGAACTTCAAGATTTGGAGAATGAGGAGATTCCAACGCATATCTCCCGAAATACTACTTATGCCACTGTCAATGAGTACGTTACGGATATACTGGGAATCCATGGCAGTCGCATCCGGCATCAGCCAGGTGCCATACACAATATTGGGGACTATTGCTACCAAGTGGCAGCACTAGCAACAATGCGGACAGTCCTGCCCGCATTTTTTGATAGGCAATTCTCGAGGGGGCCATTTGTCTTCACATTTACGGATTTCAACCAGAGTAATATTTTTGTGGATGAAAACTGGAATATCACTTGTCTCGTGGACCTTGAATGGGCGTGTACTAAACCAATTGAAATGGTTGAAACTCCTATTTGGCTCACAAACAAGGCTATGGATGAGATTGCCGAAGATTCAGATGAATTCGCTGAGATCTGGATGGAATTTGTGGATTTTCTAGCCAGTGAAGAAGACAAAAACTGTATGAAAAGTACCAATATTGAAACCAGAGTGAAACTGTCTTCACTTCTGAAACAAGGCTTTGAAATCGGAAGATTCTGGTATCATTTTGCAGTCACCAGCCCAACTGGTCTCTTCACAATCTTTTATAAGCAGATCAAGCCAAGATTTAAGAAAAACGAGCAGGATGAGGAGTCTTTCTTTGCGGTTGAACCATGGTATTGGTCGCTAGATTTCGTATCGACAGTCACTAAGAAGCTGGAGGACAAAAAACAATATGACCTCCTCTTGCAACATGCTTTTGACGAACATGGTGATGACACGATTGAGAACTAATAATCGCCCTGCTATACTTTCCGGCTGTGAACAAACTATTTTTTATTGTCACTTCCCTTGGGGCCTCGATTCCCAGCCTGCTGAGCTTCGCTCAACTTTCTTGCTGCTCTGCTCACTGGCGCATAATAAGTGGAACTTTTGTGTCAGCCGGGCACAAGGTTTCTAACTACACTACTCCGTATTGAAGTCACCAAGGAACGCTTATCGTTGGACAGTATTGTCTAGAAGATTGATAAGAAACAGGCGAGAACCTTTGTTGGAGGATTTGTGGGAACTGTCAAGCGAAATTGACTAAAGCAAAGGCTTACCTGCTCAGGATCCCTCTGGCCTCATAACACATTGAGCCATATCTCTACAGGATAGGCGAGCAGCCAAACAGGCCCTTGATTATAGTATCTATTTACGCACAACCCTCTTCCATCTCAGTTTTCTGACCCATTGATGATTGGTGATTCGATTTGCAACAGCAAATCACCACGTTCTACCGAATCACCGATAGATATGGTGATTGACCCGATACGCCCGCCTACTGGAGCGCTAACATTGACCTCCTGATCTCTATGAGCATATCCTCGAAAGTATACTGACAGCCTCGGAGAATCACTTACCATCTTCATCGCGCTTACAGTCAAAAGCGTTTCGCCAGCTTTGACTGTGTCTCCAGACACGACCATCAGCCGAGCAATGCGGCCAGCCACTGGGGCGGCTAGCTCCCGTTCGACCTTAGGGTTGGCCTTTCGGAGCTTCCGCTTTGGCGTTGCTGATCCCCCCCGTTAGCATACAGCCAGGATTATGCGTTGAATCATGATGGTGCAGTATGGGCAACCTACCTTTGTCGTCTTGGACTGTTACAAAACAAACTTCTCCGTTAAGCCGGAATAGCACTTCCCGCTTTCCTGTCACCGGGTCCGCAGGTCGAATTGCCAACATCTCGGCGACCACCTCTTGGCCATCATCCAGTTTTAATTGCACTTCCTGACCGATTTCAGGTGGCAATAGGAAGTCTGGTGTGCGGAGCGTGGTGAGGTCGCCAAATTCCTGTCGCGCCTGACGGAAGCCCATATAGACCTCCGGGTACATTACATAACTAGCAACGTCGTATTCCGTTACTGAGCTTCCAGGAAACCGAGACGAAATCTCCTGGCGAACATGATTAAAGTCGATCGGTTTCATAGTCAAACCGGGCCGTTGCTTGATACTCGCCGGACTTCCTCGAAGTATGCGGGTGCGAAGAGGCTCCGGGAACCCTCCAAGTGGCTGCCCCATCAAACCCTCAAAATAATCTACAACAGACTGAGGGAAATCAAGTTTCGACGCACGTTCCTGCACCTCCGCTGCAGAAATTTTAAGGTCGACCATTAACTGAGCTAAGTCTCCCACAGCCTTTGATGTAGGCGTTGCTTTGATGATGTCGCCGAGGAGCTGGTTTGCATCCTCATAGGCTTTAAGGGTCTTATCCCATTTATCACCTAAACCGTTCTCCCGGGCTTGAAAGATGAGATTGGAATACTGCCCTCCCGGAATCTCGTGCTTGTAGACGGTCGGATCCGGTGACCTCAAGTCGGCATCGAACCCTGCATATACCAACCGAAGTTGTGCCCAGTAAGCATCAATCATTCTTATCTGATCCAAGTGCAAGGCGGACTCAAACTCCGTGTTTTGAAGCGAGGCAACTACAGCGCCGACGGCGGGTTGCGATGTGGATCCGGACAGACTATCGATCGCCGTGTCCACGATGTCTGCCCCTTCTTCAACACAGGCCAACATTGTCGCGGTGCCAGTTCCATTTGTATCGTGCGTGTGCATGTGAATTGGTATATCGGGGTACCTTAAGCGAATGGCCTTCACCAGCGCTCTTCCTGCCGCTGGCTTCATGACGCCCGACATGGACTTAATAGCGATGACGTGCGAGCCGTATTCAACCAAGCGGTCGACGATCCCCAGATAATACTCTAAATTATACTTGTTGCCGGGTTCCAACATATCGCCAGTGTACATCACGGCCCCCTCGACAAGCCCACCGGCTGCGTGGACGGCTTCAATGCCAACCTTCAAATTCTCCAGATCATTCAAGCTGTCGAAGACACGAAAGATGTCAACTCCTGTATCCTTTGCTAGCTTCACAAAATGGAAAAGAGCATTATCCGGCAATCTAGATGCGAATCAGTTAGCATATGGATTCTAGCAGAAACGGGTCGAATCGTTTACGCTGAATATGCGACTCCGTTCGTGCTTCTTAGGAGCATTTGAAATGGAATGTTCCTGTAAAAGGTTAGTCTCCATGACATCTTTAGTGCGCTCAACGAAGGGTGACTGACGGCACCAGTTTTCGGAGTTTGCGCTATTGTTGAACGTTAGAAGTTGCCTAGGTGAAAGTTACGGAGAGAAAATACCAAACGTTTCCACGGATCCTCGTACAAGAATCGCAGCATCACATCGAATGTGGCACCTCCCCAACACTCCAGACTATATGCTGCTTGGTAGGCATAGCTGACATGCTTGGCGATCGCGTCCAAGTCCTTGCTGCGAACTCTTGTTGCTAAAAGAGACTGCTGTCCATCTCGCCACGTTGTGTCAGTAATCAACGTCTTACGATGTGCTCTAACTTGCTGTGCAAATGCCTGTGGACCGTATCGCGTAAGAATATTGCGCCATCCTTGCTGGCATGGGATATCAGTGTTGATCTCATCTCCGGATTTTGGGCCCGTAAGCTTGCCGATGGTGATATCTCGTTTTAGTCCAGGCGGTTTCTAAAAACGTTGTTAGGGATTAGAATCACGATGACTGCATGCTGAAACCGCACCGTTTGCCCTTGAACCCGACTACCGTTCACCGCCGCATCGCCCAGGAATCGCATTAAACCTTGCGCTGGATCAATCTGGCCATTCAAGTGAAACAGTTCAGGTGTGTCGTCTACAAAGGACGTCCAGCAGTTTCCTGCCGCAAATGTAGGATGTTTTAGGAGCTGAATCAAAAATTCGAGATTTGTTTGGATACCACGAATTTGGAACTGCTTCAGGGCACGAATCGTTCTGCTGATAACCGATGCAAAGTCGGGGCCGGAACAGATGCATTTGACAAGTAACGAGTCATAAAATGGACTTATCCGCGCTCCCAGGAAACATTCGCTATGGTCCAGACGCACACCGTTGCCAGTGGGCAAACGGCATCCACTGATCGTACCATTATCCGGACGGAATCCTTCTGACGGGATTTCGGTAGTGACTCGACACTGGATTGCAAAGCCCCTGGTCTCAATCTTCTGTTGAGTCAGTCCCAATTCTTTGAGACTGGTCCCGCAGGCAATACGCAGTTGCGCAGCAACTATGTCGATCCCGGTCACTTCTTCAGTGACAGTATGTTCCACCTGACTATCATACTGTCAGCGCCAAACAATCTCGACTGAGCGAGGTCAGATCATACATTCGAGGATTCATTTCAATAAAGTAAAATTGTTCGTCCTGGACGAGGAATTCTACCGTTCCAGCATTCTCTACAGTAAATGTCAGTCCTGAGACGCGACAAAGGCATAGGAAAACGAATTCTTGCCATAATCCAATCCTTGGGCCAGCGTTACTGCGGCGTCCAAAACACCCCAACGAACATGTTGCGAGATGCTCACAGCTGGCGCGAATTCGACGACCTTTTGATGCTTGCGCTGCACGCTGCAGTCTCGTTCGCATATATGGACGTGGTTGCCATGATAATCGCTCAGAATTTGGACTTCAATATGTTTTGGGCGGTCCAAAAACCTGCACACTTGTTGATACAAATCTGACATGCGGTTGAACATTTTCAGTAATCAAGTACTTACTTTTCCATGAATATTGCACCATCTCCGAATGCTGCATTCGCTTCGGAACGGGCTGCAGAAATGGCTTCTTCGAGGGCCCCTTTCTGATGTACAACTCGCATTCCCCGCCCACCACCTATTAAACCGGTCAAACTTATTTATACCGAATATGGAACTATGATTTATTCACCTCCAAAACTCGCCTTGATAATGACCGGAAACCCGTGACTATATGCGAACGAGAAAGTATCAGCCACATCCGTGAAAATTAGGAATCGGTTGACAGCAAGGTAGAAAGGTTGTCGGCATACGTTTCTACAAAGTCATATGCATCTTGTAGATTGCGCACAGGTCCGTTGGTTCCTGGAATTGTTGGGACGCCAAAACGCTGTGCAATCCGCCGCGCTGTCACTTTGTCTCCCATTTCTCTAATGGTTTCGGTGCGTGGTCCGACAACTACAGGCCGCAGTCAGCTGGGGCAACATTCTGGAAAGCCATGAGGAGCATACACTTCAGGCCTGCGGCTCTCACCTGAGCCGCAAAGTCTGCATTCTCCGAGAGGAATCCGTAACCCGGGTGGCTAGTTGGTTGGTTAGCCGATACATCCTTGCGATTCCGATGTGAACATACATCAAATCCACGCGATGTTGCTTCGCAATTTCTATGATATTGGCGCCATCGAGATATGCTTGGCTGGTATAAAACGTCAGCCATCCTATCCAGCCCTATTCACCCCAATCGAGTCACGTTTGCCCTAGTATCGGACCTACACCGGGCCTATATCAGGTTGGTTGCCAACTAGGTATGACTCGTCGGCTTCTGCGAAACCGGTAAGTTTTTCATAGCTCGCAACAATGGAGTCCATTCCAAACAAACCTTTTCTATAACCAGCGAAACGGTCTTCTTCTGAGTATAAGGCCACCGTGGCCATGCCCAATTCATGAGCTGCCACGAGAATGCGACTAGCAATCTCACCTCGGTTGGCGACGAGTACCTTGAGCTGCTTCATTGCGAGATTATTTAGGTGGCCGATTTGATGCGACAGCTGATGAAGCGGTTGGGGAAAACATGTAAGTGGAAGCTTTTGAAACCTGATGCAGAATCACCCTTATACCCTGTGGAAGCAATCTAATGACGAACCCCCGATGGCTGGCCGGCTCGTGTTACTTTGGATGCGTCACACGTGTTGTAAGGATAGTCGGGATGATGCCTCGTTAATTACCCGTTGAGGCAATTGGTAAGTCAATTGAATATCAGCTGGAGCTTCATATCACACCCTTCTGCGCTTGGTAAACAGAGAGCATCCATCTTGGAAGAGTCCATTCGACCAGTCAAATCCACTTGGAGGACCATTGAGGGTCAAAATATCCGTTGAGTTTTGAATGCTCAGCCCTGCAGTCATCCCACATTGTCTCGATTCTAGAGCGGAAAAGGCTCAGTGTGAATCGGAGATGCCAACCGGGCGGCAGCCCATTATACAATGTAACGTCAGAGCATTGAACTCGTGTGGCAGGGGTTGGTGATGTGAACGCGGGCGATCTTCCCGGATCCTGCTTCCTGATGATCTATCTGCTGATTATCCTGCGCTCCGGCCAAGGAAAAGACAGTCCGCATCTAAATAGTTAACAACTTCACGCCTATCATAGCCGTAGACACATCGCGGAAATCGATACGAATTCCATGTCGGGTGGCAGAGAGATTCTTTTCATTTCCTCACAATAGTCGTCATATATGCCCTGTGTCATTTTTGAGATCATAGCTCCATCCGCGGGGGCACGGATGTGGGTACATATGTATCGCCTGGCTGATCCAGCTCGGTCGGGCCGATACAGTCGTCTTGACAACCCGCATCAAGAGTTCGACTCGTCTGCATTCCGCTCGCTGGAGCCTCAATTCCCGCAGATCTTGCGTAACCAATGACGAAGACCTGATCTACCATGGGTGTATGCACGGCGTGTTGCATTCTGCAAGTTTTGTCAGATTACGATCTAGGTTGATCGGACCCTTGAGGCTGCTCTCGACAGGGGAAGGGGATCGGTCAGAGTGGGGGAATCCCGTATCTGAAGCGATATAAAATTTATATACAAGAACTAGGACTTTCGACAGCCGCGGACAATTTCGCGATGTGATTGAACGCTTGAATGGATTATATGCTTCCTGGTGTGTTGTCCCTTCAAGCGATGACGAAAAGAATATGCATCTCTCGCTCCGATAATTGAATCCATGGCATCGTGCTAATGACCTCGTTTAGAATGACATCGTGGCCGCTATGCCATCTGACGAGGAAACCGCCAACACCGCGGAACGGACACCGCGGCTAAATCATGGCCAGAACGGGGGTTCAGCAGCATATGCACCAGTCCATGCCGACGAGGATGACGACGAGAAAGCCACTATTACCCAAGATATCTCCTTCACAAAAGTGGCGCTTATTATGTGTACCGCCTGGTTCGGCGTCTTCTTGGGGGCGATTGATTCAACGATTATCGCCACGCTCTCCGGCCCGATATCGAGCGAGTTTCACTCGCTACACCAGCTGTCCTGGCTTGTCACGGCTTATCTGATCGCCAATGCTGCCTGTCAGCCTATTCTTGGCCGGCTCACGGATATCTTCGGTCGTGGGCCATGCCTGGTAATCAGCAACATCCTCTTTGCGGCCGGGAACCTCCTTTGCGGACTGGCAAGGGACCAATACACTTTGATCCTGGGGCGTGTGATAGCAGGCGCTGGCGGAGGTGGTTTGATTTGTATTGCAAACTTCCTAAGCTCAGACCTAATCCCTCTACGAAAGCGAGGATTAGCCCAAGGACTTGCAAATGTGTGGTACGGCTCGGGCGCCATGGTTGGCGGTGTGGTCGGCGGAGCGCTGAACGATTACACAAAGTTAGGCTGGAGGCTTGCTTTCCTGATCCAAGTCCCTCCCGCTTTGCTCTCTGTAATAGCGGTGCATATCCTAGTCAAGGTCCCTCCGAAGCAGTCAAAGAAGTCATACTTTAAACGTATCGACTTCACTGGAGCTTTCCTAACGCTTGGATACCTTGTCATCTTCCTAGTTGGTCTCAGTTCCGGGGGAAACTTGGTGCCATGGCTACACCCTTTGCCGCTTGTCTCCATCCCGCTTTCAGTCGCTCTGTTCATCGGCTTTATCCATTGGGAAAGCAGAGTAGAACAGCCAATTATCCCGGTGAGGCTTCTAGCCGACCCTACGGTCCTAGCGTGTTGCCTCATGAGCCTTCTCTCTGTCATGATTGCATTGACGGGAATATTCTATATTCCGCTATATCTTCAAGTGCTTGGTGGCTCCGCAACGGCAGCCGGACTAAAGCTGCTTTCATCACCTCTTGGAGTGCCACTGGGTGCTCTCGCTGTGGGGTATTTGATGAAAAGAACTGGTAGGTATGTGGGACTAACAGTTGTAAGCATCCTTGTAGTTGGTATGGGCGTCTGGCTGTACACGCACCAGGGCAAAGATAGTCCGGGATGGGTGACTTGCGTGGGCCTGTTCCTGGTTGGAGCAGGCTACACTGCAGTGTTGACAACTACCCAAATTGCATCTGTCGCTGCGGTGCCGCACTCGCAACTGGCAACAGTCACATCCGCCGTGTGTAAGTAGGCATGGCCTGTATCCGGATCACTCCCAATGAAAGCAACAACTAACGTTCTTTTCAGATATGGCCCGCAGCGTGGGGGGTACCGTGGGCTTAGCCATTGCGTCTGCGATCTATCAGTATACACTGAATAAGCGACTGTGGGAGAACTTTGGGGCCCGGCCAGGTGCTGCAGATGAGATCCGCCGCATTCGTGACAACCTCGAAGAATTGCACAGGCTTCCACAAGCTTGGCGCGACAAGGCAATTGCATCATACATGGACGCATTCCAAGCTGTATGGCTGACCATGGCTGTTTGGGCTTTGCTTGACCTCATCTGCGTTTTACCTATGAAACAGCACAAGCTTCACTCGACCTTGGACAGACGATGAGCAAACATTATGGCGAATACTGCGAGATACGCCTAAATAACATGATTAGACATTGTAGCATAGGAGATCAGGTAGTTAGTACGTCTGGTTGTACATACGTGATCCTGGAGAGCCCATGACTGATATAGAATGGAGACGGATGAGGTTGGGAAAGCATAGAGATGTGATTAGGTCGGAACACTTTGGGTCAGCGTGACACGGACGAAGTCCACTACCTAACAATTAACCAGGCAATTAGTTGATTAGTTTTCTAATCCCATAGAGTAGAAAGTTATATACGGCATTGGCCAATATATAAAAGTTTCGGTCACCATGTCATTTGGCGAGAATCAAACGAGCAATTTTAAATAATATCCCTAAAGGCCCTTTACTCCCAGCAGTACTCTAGTCTGTTGCGACTCTTAACGCTCTCAACGGTTAATAGATACACACTGAAAACTAGATGCCGTATACACTAATCCACCCCAGAGAACCCTTAATTCAAACTCTTTTGTAACAGGAAGCAAAATGTGGTCCCAATTTCCACCATATCTGACACAGTCCACCACTGCTGATCCTAGTCGGAACTATCTGGTTTTGGAGCGCCCAGTCGATGAATTTTACGCAATCCAGTGAGCCCGATCAGGACGGTAGCCACCATCATCACAAAGCATGTCCAAAACGCTCCTCTGTATCCCGCCAACAGGGCATCCGGAGAGTCCTCTGGGTAACCCGAAGAACGTTTGGTGGCTGCCGATACTATAGCTATCGTGCACAATCCGATCGACGTTCCAAGCTGCGCAATCGTGTTAAAAACGGCTCCCGCCAGAGCATGGGTCGAGGCGGGAAATATATCCGTGATGATGAGGTGAGCAACAGTAAAAACCACTAGTAGAAACGAACTCATCAGCATTGAACAACACGGTTATAGTCTGAGCTCTTATGCAATCCCGCTGCACACGAAATTACGTACCATCGACAGATACTGGCCCCAGAAGAACTGCCCAGAAAGCGCACGCCCAGTAGTTCCATCCTGGGTCAATTAAAGCCATTAGTAGCGGTGAAACGGCGGCAACCATGGCGGTCAGAACAATGAGATAATTGATTCGGAGAGCATGCACTATCAGCCCTGTGGTCACGTTTAATATTATGCCAATGAATATATTCGGCAAAAGATTAAGCGACGTCCTGAGAGGCGATAAATGTTGAATTTTCTGGAAACTAGAGAGTTGTCAGAAATGCATGCCTCCAAAGCAGAAAATATGCCAACGTACAACAGACTCAAGAAGAGCTCTGAGCCCTGAAGCACGCCCCAGGTTAAGAAGACCACCATCGAAATTGCCACGAATGCTGTATTTTTCCACAATGAATTCGGGATTAAAACTGGCTTCCCACGGGTTTCTTGAAAGTCCATCCAGAATACAAAGACCGGGGCAAGAATTGTGGCAACCAGGAGCAATAAAACTTGTTTTACTTCGTATAGATTTGATATATCGTCCGTGAGCACCCTACATCACAACACAGCGTTAGAGATAATGCAAAGAGATAAGGAATCATGTAGAACTCACGCGGAGATGTAAGATACGATACCCAAACAAGCGCTGGCGACCAGAGCACCAATCCAATCAATTTCGTATAAGATCCGACGCCAGTGGAAGTTAGGTCTCGGATAGTCCGCGGGCAAGGTTAGAATGCTTGACAGTGCAAAAATAAGGCCAACTCCGGTGCAAAAGTAGAAGCCAACGCGCCAACCATTTTTGGCGGTCGCAAACACTCCTTCCAAGGCCATTCCAAGGGAAAATCCGAGCGGTTGAGATAGACCTAGACAGGCAAAGCCAACGTTCCGCCGCTTTCCAGGCGGAAATGATCGAGTAATAACGCTGACTCCGGTCGGGAGGCACATGGAAACGCTAATCCCCTCGATAAGGCGGAATCCTATTAGCGAAGCGCCGGTAGTTGCCATTGCCGATCCCAGAGCTGAAACAGCAAGTATCCATGTGCCGATAATGTTGATAAGGCGGTCCCCAAGCAAGTCCGCCAATGCTCCTGCAATAAGCAAGAAGCAACCGCTTGCTAGTCTGCAAAAGCTCGTTAGCGAGTATCTTTCGGCAAATCAAGAAGACAACGTGAAGGTGGGAACATACGCAGAGACGGATGACGGCCTGGATTGTATCTATACGTTAGCACGATGCTATGAATCGATTGGAGCCGTTGTTAAAATACCATAGAAGAAGATGATCTGGCAATTTCAAATCCGCGGCGATATACGGCAAGCCAACTGTGATGATACCGTGGGACACACAACTTGAGAAGTTTGTCCCGGTCAAGCTCGCAATAATGAAGGCGGAGCGAATTTTCGAAAGTTGAGGGTGTTCGATGGGCTCGTCTGCGTTAGGTTTTCTGAGCAGAGGTTCCTCTGAGCTGTCGGAGTAAGAGGCGCGAGACCCCGGGCGTGTCTGCCCGTTTGCATCCATTTTTCGACGGACCCTTTTTTTGCGTGGATTTCTTTAATAGAACAATGGTGAAGGACAAAACAGCTGGGACATCGAGATGGCCTGTTGCAGGGGCGACGTCGGTCCACTGTTGGAACAGAGTGATGCACAAGTTACCGGCAGACGCTATTGTTGGTGAGGCATTCGACGTCTGTTCTGTAGTGTTGATGACCAGAGGGTTGCAGCAGCGGTGTCGAAGCGTTTTCCCGGGGACGACGTCGGATTTTTATTGCGGAGAGCGGCATGTTCCTCACCCTGCCAATCAACTATACTCGCATCAAGGGCACGCTATTGTGCTAACCCGCCCGGAATGAAAGCATTGAAAGATTTCAATCGTTGAGCAGAAGTCAATTGGCTAGCTGAACACAATTCACCTCTAATTAAAGAGCTGGGCGCTGTCGACAGAGCACGATGCCCTCCGTCCTCCGTCTGTTCATTTTCCCCCGTCACATTCCGCGACAGCAACGATGTGAAAAGTGCCGGGCAGCAGCAAGGAGAGTATTCGCAGTCTCTTTCCTGGTGTTCTCGAAAATCCAACGATTCTTCCCATTGCGCCCCTTGTAGAACTGCAAACGCTCTGAGATGTTCTCCAGCCTTGCACGTCATCCTTATGGCCCATGGACTTGGGCCAATGGGTTAAGAGAAGGGAGAAAAATCGACCAGTTGGCGTACGGAGGGCTCAATCATGGCTCCAGGGGAAGAAGCAGAGGCAGCCACAACGGTAGATCTCGGCCGATCGCCATCCCACAGTTGGACAAGCTTTAGGCCACATTGAAACTTCGCTTGGGCTTGTCCAACGACAGCTTTCTCTTTGATCCTGGCTCTCGAAGAGCATTGGTTCCGAGATTCCAGCTGGCAAGATGTCTCAGAGGACGGAGAGCGAGGGAAATTTTGTCTGATTGAGATCAGTCAGAAGCCAATTGGTTTCCACGAACGGAGTAATTAATACTCCGAATTCGATGGGGATATCTGATCTCCTCGATCTGAATGTAGTGTATATGTACTCCGTAGTTGGTTAACTAAAATCGAAGCCCTTGGGCCAGGCCAAGACATTGTCGAGGACTGAACTAAGCGTTACGATAGAGAAAAAGTCATCAGCCAAGCCCATTTACTGCCCTGGGCCCTTGAATATTTGGGATATTGAGTGTAAAAGTCTGACATATCCAAAGTCTCACTGCAGGACGGAACGAAACCAGCAGAAACCGGAAAGTGGATGTTTAGCCGATGAGATCAGTCTGCGAGTCTGCCCGGGAAGCCCGTACAGGAGCTTCATTGAGGAATAAGTGGCAGACAACCGGCTACACAGGGTTAAAAGACATGTGCGATAAGGAGGAAAGCAAACATAAATGGCCTTTTGACCAAACTTTTGGGCGACGTCTAAGCTGTTGACTGGTCTAGTTATCTCGATTCAGTTGCTGGCAACACAAAGATTCCACCAATTGTCCACTCAAAATACGGGCTTCTCCTCCGGGCTATCCGCGTGTGTAGCGTGTTGTGCGCCGGAGGTCAACGCCAGATCGGTCAAATGAAACCCGTATATTGGCCCAGCCTTTGGTGTGTACGTCACGACGCTGAGGAAGGTTGCTCGATATCGAACACATCATAACGGCATCGAGCCTCGAGGGTGGGATCAAATGTGTATCATCGAGAGGCAACCGTCAAGCGATATGTATATATCTTGCTGACAAGCAAGCCCACCAATGAGATGCGATGCAGATGGGCCGTCACCCTCGCGGCCACGTGACCGGGACGATAATTTGACTCCAAAGCAGCTTTTTGCCCGTCAATCCAGCCGAACGCCAGGCAATCCGTCCGCGATCACACGCCAATTGCTCCTTTTCCCTCCAGACATCCCTCCTCATGGCATCTCGGCGACTAGCTTCGAGCCTGAACGGTGCTCTTCGGAGCCGGGCTGCTCTCCAGGCTGTGAGACCAGCCAAACGCGGCTTTGCAACCCCAATCTCCACGCCTGCCACGACGCAGTCGACTACGCTCTCTAACGGCTTGACGGTAGGCCATTGGCCCTTTTGGCTTCTATCTTTACAGTCACTGAACACAGACAGATTGCTACCGAGTATTCTCCATGGGCCCAGACGTCAACGGTCGGAGTGTGGATCGACGCTGGGAGCAGGGCGGAAACAGACAAAACAAATGGCACCGCACATTTCCTTGAACATCTTGCCTTCAAGGTATTTTCCTAGGCTCACTATACAGACCCGAATCGGTGCTAATGGTGCTTTAGGGAACCAACCGAAGAACCCAGCACCAATTGGAGCTGGAAATTGAGAATATGGGAGGGCATCTGAATGCCTACACTTCGGTCTGTACACTAATTCCGGGCTAATATTGTTACTTTTCTGATATATTCTTGTAGCGTGAGAACACTGTCTACTACGCCAAATCCTTCAATGCCGATGTTCCCAAAACCGTTGATATTTTGTCCGATATTCTCCAAAACTCAAAATTAGAACCTTCCGCCATCGAGCGCGAAAGAGACGTGATCTTGCGGGAGCAAGAAGAGGTTGACAAACAATTTGAGGAAGTTGTCTTTGACCATCTCCATGCCACGGCTTTCCAGAACCAGCCCCTTGGCCGAACCATCCTCGGCCCAAAGCAGAATATTCAGAGTATCGGGCGCCAGGATTTGGTTGACTACATCAAGACGAACTACACCGCTGATCGCATGGTCCTAGTGGGCGCTGGTGGTGTGCCACACGAGCAACTGGTGAAGCTTGCTGAACAACATTTTGGCTCGCTCCCAAGCCAGCCTCCAACGTCGGCTGCTTTGGCAATTGCAGCGGAACAGAAGCGCACTCCTGATTTCATTGGCTCTGATGTTAGAATCCGTGATGATACTGTGCCCACTGCTCATATCGCTCTTGCGGTTGAAGGTGTCAGCTGGAAGGATGACGATTACTTCCCTGCCCTGGTTACTCAAGCCATCGTTGGCAACTGGGATCGGGCAATGGGCAATTCGCCATTCCTTGGCAGCAAATTGAGCTCATTTATTAGCCACCACAACCTTGCCAACAGTTTCATGAGTTTCTCGACCAGCTACAGTGATACAGGGTAGGTAACAGGTCCTTGATATTTGGGATGGTATGGGAGCTAACAAATGATGCAGTCTTTGGGGAATTTACCTTGTGAGCGAGAATAAGACGGCCCTCGACGATCTCATCCATTTTACTCTCCGCGAATGGTCCCGTCTATCATTCAATGTCACCCCTGCCGAGGTCGAGCGCGCTAAAGCCCAGCTCAAGGCTTCCATCCTCCTTTCCCTCGATGGTACTACTGCCGTTGCTGAGGATATTGGCCGCCAGATTGTCACCACTGGACGCCGTATGTCCCCTCAAGACATTGAGCGCGTAATTGACAGGATCACGGAAAAGGACATCATGGACTTTGCGCAGCGAAAACTGTGGGATCAAGACATTGCCGTCAGTGCTTTCGGCAGCGTCGAAGGCATGCTGGACTACCAGAGAATCCGCAACGACATGAGCCGAAACGCGGCATAAAGGACCTATTCACCCGCAAAATCCTCTACCTTTGTGTCGTTAACACTTCATCTCCTGGCAATATTTTTGATAGATAGGCAACATCATTGATAGCCCGTATGTAGTCCATCTTGTACAGTACCCGAGACCATCCACTGAGATGCTCATATTTTCCTTTTGTTAGTTGATCAAAAGACGGTTTTCCTTCAAAATTTTCTTCCGATTGTTTCGGAAGGTTGCGCGGGCGTGTAATTTATGATCTCACAGTTCGACTCTAGAAGCTATCTATTAGGTTCAAAGAATTGGCCTCTTACCAAAGATCGTATGCTAGCTCTACTGTGCGAGATCTATCCATTTTGGATTATGGCTCCGCTACGCTGTAGAAGATGCACGAATTGCTTATAAGATAGCTACAGAGCCAATGATACCCATAATTGGGTGGGAGTGATTTGATGCTGAATCTAACATATAAAATTTTTACCTAGTAGGTCCATCATCAGAAAATCATGTATTCAAGTACATTTGCGACCAGAAATCCACACATAAAACGCCTGAAACTCAACAAACATTGAAAAGCACCAGATGTAAACATTTCACCATTAATCCTATCAAGATGGCCGGTAGACGCCAACAACTATACAGTGATCACGCTCAAAAGGTTCTATGCAAGTCATACGTCAGCGACTGTCCGAGGGGAAAAGTGGAAGGAAAGAAAGGGAGCTTACCAAGAGTCAACTGTTCTTTCGGTTTTATTCTTTCTTCTCTCAGTTTCTGAACTTCTCTGGCAAAGACGACTTCGGCCTTTGCCGTGCTGTCAATACAGTTGGCCTTGATACTGACGATGATTCCACCGCCGGCTTTCAAAAACAGGTGAGCATTCAACCCAACGATACGGGCCTGATCGGGTTGAGCAACATCAGCGAAAATAGCGTCTACCATTCCAACGAGCATTCTGTAGCGGAGTGGATGTCGTGCGTCCTCGACAATGGGGATAACATTTGTGCGGTGGGTGGCCATGCCGATCAGATCACGTCCGGAACGGTGGGAGAATTCGACAGCGTAAACAGTTCCAGTGGGTCCGACGATATCGGCGACATGACTGACGGATGTACCACTGGCAGCGCCAAGATAGAGCACTTTAGCACCGGGTTTGATGAAGATCTCATCTAAACCACCGAGAATACCGGCGGCCAACTTGCTGCGGAAAGGATTCCAAACGCGGTACTCAACCTTGGTAGTGGTGTTTTCGCCGTCGACGGTCGCAGGGGATTCGACAGAGATACGCTTTTCGCCATAGACAGCTTCTCCCGGAGTCAAGTTCTTGGTGACTAGAAGATCTTCTTTGCCGCCTCGCGCGACGAAGACACCCGCGTGGCGATGGGGTTCCTGTTAAAAATATCAGGTAAGACACCGCCATTGAAAGAGAATGATATCCGTTCCAGGAAAGGAATACCAGGGCAACATACAATGATAACCCTCGCGCCGCCCTTGGCACCAGGCTTTCCACCACGACCTCCGCCGCGTCCTCCCCTACCGGCGCCGCCTCTGCCACCTCCGCGAGGGCCTCCACGACTGCCTCCACGGCCGCCTCTAGCACCTAATCCGCCTTTTCCAAGGTTGTAAGCGTAAATGGCACTTTATATCAAAGCCGAGGCTCACAAAAGCTAGCCTTAATTGCGCAGGATAGCCAAAAACGCAGCTATAGAGTATGATTTATACACACCTCTAGCACCACCTCGACCGCCTCCACGAGGGCCTCCACGTCCTCCGCGGGGTGGTCCTCCGCGTCCACCACGGCCACCTCCAAATGCCATTTTATATGATCGCAGTTAACAGAAGCTCGCCAAGTTACGGGTCAAGAAGGTATCGTCCGATATGCCGGGGACGATTTTCGCACTTTCCAAACGCCCACAAGCTCTTTGAGGTGCCCAACACCCGGGATGCCGGAGAAAACGGGCGGGTATCACGGAGGTCGAGGGGAGATAAAAGAAGGACCCTATATGACTAAAGAAGAGATGACGACGGGAGCCGCGTAGTGATGGGAAGCACAATTGACAAGACCCCTTCTGCTTGAAGCAAAAAATTGAAATTTTGGAGCTTCCGAGAATTTCGGTATCATGCACTAGCCCAATAGGGCTAGACTGCCGTATCAATCGTACTGAAATTTGTGCGTCAAAACAATACGCACGTGACCTAGCTCTGGGTCACGTGCGCATCAATTGCCCTAACCGGCTGCGAACGACTGGCATCATTTCTCAAACAGCCTACGGAGTACAGGCTACCACTTGCATGGACTCGTCGACCTTGAGAAAGCGACAATTTCTTATTCTGTATGTGCACTTGGCAGAAAATATCTACATCAGAAGCCTGCTTCGACTAAGGAACCGACAGTTTCCAGACAACCATTCTATTCCACATTGCACCTATGACGTTGAGCGTCATCCACCGAAATACTCTAGTCAACCATAAAACCAATACTCTGCTGAATACTGCACCGTGATCTCCTTGGGCTGACCAGTACAATATTTTGGGGGACTTCCTCCTGCCGTGTTCACTCGATAAATGGATTTCGCCTTGCCGGTGCTCTCCGGGATGGACTCGAGAAACAGCCACGGGACAGCACCATCGAGCTGTCCACATACCCCTGGCAATGAATTCTGAGGGGCGTCTACTGCCTCTATTTTGATGACCGAGGATGCGCCCATATTGGCGGCTTCGAACACAGCGGTAGTGCCATTACTGAAGAAATGATGGCCCATCACGGGCATTCGGGCCGCGCCAGGGGCGTTCGAAAACGGCTCTGGCTGTTGAAGGTGAAGGGCGGCATTTGTGAGAGAGGCAAGAAGTTGGGGATAATTAGCCGCGATGCAAGAAGCGTCGAAAAGAGTTGCAAGCGCACCCCGTGGGGTAGGTTTTTCAGATTCCGATTCGCACGTGTAGTTCTATACGCATCGCGGCTGGTCAGCTTATGCTTGAAAACAAACGTATATACGTGCACCAATGGATGCAGTTGCGAATCGTACCTGGGTGCCTCGGCCCACAGCCACAGCAAGCAGCTTCTGCCCTCCGGGGATATTGGGCAGCGGTTTCGAGCTTTGGGGAAGCTTCAAATCGGAAAGTTCGCATCCCGGGCGTCGGATATCGTTGCCATGTTTACGAATGTTTTGGATTTCCTTACTGATGCTGGAGTAGAACTTGGCTTCGTCCGCAGACCAGCGAGTAGGCATCGACAGGGCGGTCAAGGAGAAGGCCAGCAGAAACAATATGAGGCGAGCCATCTTATGCAATTGTATGAGCAAGCTTGACGAAAATGATCAAAATCATGAACAGGAAGCGCAGCTCCCAGGAGAATTGAAGATGGTTATAACTAGAAGCGAATCAAATGCAAGGAAATCACCAACAAAGGAAAGCCTGAGCAGAAGAATGATATTCAATGTGCTTGCAGAATCAGACCTGTGACCCTTTGCAAACTAGAAGCTGGTTTTATATAAAATCGTCACACACGTCTTCTCCCGTCATGCATGCCCTCGCGTGGTGTGAACCAGGATTTGGAAGCGCTGGAAGCAAAGAATAGAAACCCGTGGCAGCCAATTAGATGCTGGGCTATCTTGACCGAGTTCGGATTTCTATCAATAGAAACATCCTGACAGCGCAGTTCTGCAGCTCCATTGGCTTCGCAGAAGTGGCTAGTGTTTAGTGGCGGGAAACGGAGAGCTTGGCGCTCGATGCTGCATGCCGAGTGGCTGCTCAGGATCTTGAACACCATCGACGAGTATGCTGCTCCGTATGGAGTACTTCGTGAGCCGTTCTCATCGAACACCACCCTCATTATTAATTGGACCAAGGCTAATTTTACTTGTTGGATCAATGGCTCGAAACCCAGCGAGCTAATCACCCGTCATAATAGCTCTCAATCTTTTAACAGTCACTCCGCGGAGCACAAACCCATGTGCCCTCAAAGTATACGCCTTTCCAGGCATTCGATCGAGTACTCCGTACAGGTTCTAATATTATCAGTGACTAACGAAACAACAGTGTACACAGTGATAGCTATCCCTTCTTTCTCATGGAATTCGCTTGTGGAACAGTCTGTGACATTATTATCAGCCCCCTTTGTGTAGCCGGTATGAAACTGTGTTACTTTGAGTCTCACCATTCTCATGTATCGATTGATCTCTAGTTATCGATGCCACGAGTTCCTCACTCGAACGATTGACCCAAGAGCGGCTCAGTTTGCAAAACATCACTCTTTCTTTTTTTGGGTACATAACACTTTGAGATATTGTTGGCATTTCCCTTATTTATTTGAACGAGAGACCCACTTCCCGCTGCTATCTGAAGCTATGCGAACAGTTTTTATACATGGCGTCTTGGGCTATGGAGTAAACTGGAGGGGAATTAAGAATAGCTAGACTGTTCATCTCGCTTTTCCTAACGGTGACCTTTTGGAATACCTAGTTTCTTCTGGCGCCTATGCAACTTGGCATTTGCATACTCCCTCCTAGCGAATGACATGGAGCCACCTATACTCCGTATATAGTCTTTATTAATGGGCGGTCGACATGCTACGGTGCTAATTGATAACTAGGAGGGCCAAGGATAGCTACTAGTGTCTTTCCAAGGTGAAATAAAAGATTGTGCTATATTTTCTCAATTTTTTTTTGGTTAACATACTATGAAAAGATTCTCCTCAAAACGTCATTCCCAAACTAGATCTTTCCCACTGGTCCAGGGAAAACACCCCTGTTTCCTCCAGATATTTTCCCGAGCTGCATTGTGAAGTCGAGCAAAAACATTGTAAAAAGCCAATCGTGAAAGTAGACGTGTCAGAAGCTAATAGCTAGCCTCTAGAATCCTTAGCAGTTCCTTCGGCACTGCCAAAATCATATAATCGGCTACCACCCGCCAACCAAAGGACTATTAACGAATCCTCGTTGGTCAAAAAACATCGACCACCTATCATGGATCAGATCACTTCCGACGACTAGATTCTTCGCGCCGGCTTAAGGAGTGCCTGGAATGACGCCTCCACTGCTTTCTTCAATTCCTTATAAGTCACGATAAAACACGATTGCTCGTCACGGCTTATCAAGGTGATTTTCTCATCGGTGCCCGCGTCCAGTTTGTTCAAACAGGTCAACACGTGGCCTAAATCCACCACAGGAGCATTCTGCGCATCAACTTGATGGAATACATAGTCACGGAATAATTTCAGGAAATAGCGCTCTCCATTTTCTGACCACTGGCGGTCGTGTTCGTATTCTGGTCTTTCGTTGATGAAATTGAGCTTGGTAAGAAGTCGCACGAGGCGCGCATTTTCTAACTCTCGGCTGATATCGGAGGTAAGTTGATCGTCGAGGTGAAGGGAGGAGTCGAAGGTTGATATAAGTTGCGAAGAGATGCCGGAAATGAAAATATCGATCGTTCGCTCCTGGTCTTTCTGCATTCCGTTGAGTAACCAGAACACAGAATTATTGAGTTGCGCGCTGTACACGCGGTTGAAATGCTCCATCGCCTTAGTCGAACTATGCGTCACCGAAGGTGAATTGGCGCCCAGTGTTAGTATTAACTGCCCAAAGCTCACGAGGTCCTGATGCTGCATCTCTCCTAGAGGTCGGTGGGAGTCGAATTGTACAACATCCAGAATCCCGCATGCGTTTAATCTGATTCTATTTTTACCGGTAAGTATAACCTTGCTTGGTTCGATGACGCGAGCTGCAAGGCCAGCGCTATGAATAGCCTTCAGGGCATTCGCAATTTGGGTCACATAGCTCCACAAGACTTGTTCGGGGATGTGTCCGGCATTGTGACGACCTTGGTAGCGGCCTTGTCCGTCTGTCAGATGTTGCTCAGCCAGAGTCTTGGACAATGGATGATAGTCAGTGACAAAAATCAGAGAACTATCTTGAAAACTTCGGTTGGTAAACGCATCGTGCACAGCGACCACACTACCACAGCTAACTCGTTTCCAGTTTTGCACCGATCGAATCGCCTTCTCGTTAGTTAAGCGAAAGCCTATATGTATTATTAGAATTAAAATAAGGGTAGAAATGGAATACTACTTCATACCTTCCAAGCGTCTGAGAACGTAAAAGTTTCCATCTTTGCTAGACTGTGCTTTATAAACCCAGCTTGGGTACCCAAAGATGGCGGCGTTTTTTTGATGTGAGAGGTCAAGTGGAACAAGGGAATGAAAGTAGTCTATTTGGGCAGGAAGCTGTGAATCTTCAATGATGTTAGTGTGATAGCTGGCAGAAATAAAGATTTCTGGCAACTAACTGGGCAAAGTCTGAAGAGTAGCTGCGGCCTTCTTTTGAAGTTCTTCTCTGAAGGAATTAGGAAGAAATAAATCATGAACATTCCTCTGGTAGCCTAGGATATTCTGATTGTGAGGCCCAATTGGGGCGTACAGATGGTATTGGACCTAAGGTATCAATCAGCATAAGCAAAACCGAATTGGGACCCGAGATTTGTACCGGTTGTTGAAATGCGCTTTGGGCTCCGAAATAGGCTGCACCGCCCATTGCGGCGGGATCGTGAGAATATGGATTTGGCTGCACTTGGTGTCCGACGGCAGTGGGCGCACCCATCGGCGTAGTGGATGAAACAAAAGGATCATAAGATGGTGTCGAAAGCCCTCCATTGCCATGACCATGTATCGTCTCCTAAATCATGATTAGTTAGAAATCCTTGAGAACGGCGCCGATGAGTCAAAAGAACGCAAAGCAACAGTAAGAATCAGATCGACGCCCAAGCTAAACTTGTAACATAGTAGATACAGGATATTGGTAAACTCCACCGCGTATACGGAGACTACTCACCACATGTGAGGTATCGAATCCTTGTGGGACGAAATCTTGAATTTCACCGACTGACCACTCGGGCACCGAAGATTCCGGTTGCGTTTGCGGTGTGGCAGCATTCGATCCTGAAGGCTTGGGTCAATATTTCCATATCACACATCCGGCGCTGACGGGGCACGAACGCGAAAGTGCGGCTTTTGGAAGAAACGGAGCTGCGTTGGCAGCCTTTGGAGATATGGTGGCCGGCTTTTTCAAGCCAGAAGATCCGTTCAGGGGTGTGGCGGAGGGCGTAAAACTAGGTGAATCGACGTTGAGACGCCTCTTACTGCTACTCCCACTATTACTACAAAGGTCGCCACGTTACCAACCTCGCGCGGTCAGAGGTACATCTAGATGGGACAACTCACTTTTCTGCATTCTGCGCTGTATTGGTCTTTTGAAGATCATGATTGAATGCGCATCCTTCAATACTCGAGAGTCAGTGTGATTGGCATTAATACGCCGGGCACACCGTTTCCGCGAACCTTTATCTTCATAGCGGCACCGACCGTATATGGTCACGTTACGGCAGAGTGTATCTTTCGCGTGATCTAGCAGTGTCAACGATCAGCAGAAGTTCTACATAGCGAGATAAGTCAACCGGCAAGCCGTAGCGATGAGTGCCCTACCGCGTCCTTTTAGCTTTGGAGAGCCAGTGCTCCGCCTGCCATCGTCGAGGTTCGGTTTACCTGCCGAAGCCATTGCAGCGGTCCCAGGAGAAATCAGCGAAGCAAGGGCTCCATGGACTTGACAAAATGGGATTCCAGATCAGTGAAGGGGACCAAAGACGTTGAAAAGGACTGCATTCCTTTGGGAGCGGCGGGAACCAGATGGCGACGATTCACGAGGGATTGGCCGGGGACCGCGGAAGGTAAGCTTTAGCTGTGGTCTGGTAAGTTTGCCCAATCCGCACAGGTGATGCTTCTTCGACATCAATCGTACAGAACGGCAGAGCGGACAATGGCTCGCGGGCAGTTGGCCTTGTGGCGTCCTCGCTGGTTGAGCTCCAGGCCTGCATCTCCATCTCTGACCAGGCATGACTAAGCATGGGCTGGCATCAGCCTCTGGGCTGACGGCTAGTGCCATATATCGGGTGTTATCTTCTGCCGTTAGAATTGCTTCCAGAATGGAAGATGGGTCGCCCTCGCTGCAAAGGAGTTACGTTTCGAAAGAAGCTGCCGTCATACCATGGCAGGATTTCTTCAGTTTACAAGAGAAAATATGGAACAGAATTAATCAGACTCATCCATTTCTTCACATCATCTCTTTGCATTTGCATATCAACTAGAATACATCCATGCACTTCCAACTATTAATTCAAAAATGGGTTTTTTGGCATTCTGGATGGGTACAGTGGAGTATCCTGTGCAGGTTATCCTTACCAAAATCTATGAAAGTGATTCATTACCACACCTGTTTAGTCTGGACGGCAGGGTGATGTTTGAAAGCCATGGGAGATACTTTGCGGCACGTGCTGGAGGAAGGGGGGCCTGAGTTGTGCAATGATGCAACGTAGATTCGGTCGCAATCTAGGATCGTTAGTTAGTGCAGCGGCTGCAACACTTTTCATCAGCTTCTTCTCTTGGTTGTTGCTGCTAAGCTCCGCCATCGCCGATAGCAATTGACCGTAAGCCCAGATATCATTTCTCTGGCGCATTTCAAACGGTAAAGAGAGAGGATCCAATATCTCTCGTATTTCTGGCGCTAGCCATTCATGGGTGACCCCTCCAATACCACTTATATCGATTAAAACGGCGTTCTCCTCATTATCGATCATAACGTTTGAAGGTTTCAGATCCATATGTGTATTATTGCTAAGGTGTAGCTGGTTAAGGGCTTCGGCAATCTGTAACGCCCATCCACACCATGGGCGATTGCTTCCATTTGTCCTCTTCAGCACCCGCTCCAATGTTCCTTCCAGATGGTAATCCAACAGGATGCCTCGCATAACAGGTGGGCGTTCATCCCGATCTGTCGTCGAATATGGACTCTTTGAAATAATAACAGCAGCTAGCTGCACGACGCTTGGTATACCGCGGAAGAGCTTAAGATTCTGTAGTTCTCGCTGAAGTACCACACTATCTCTCAGGGAGTAGAAAGGCCTATCGATCTCTTTGTAGATGTACCAGCTCTCGTCGTCTATGAGTTGAACTCGAGATACCCAGGGTACTACATCTTGAATTTCTTCCTTCATCTGGATATCCGACACCCATCTTGTTGGCACTGGTAGGTCCTTAAGATGAGGGTATGTCACCCTCAAAGCATCCTCGTGAACTGTGTAACTTAGTCTGCTTGCAATTTCAGCGAATCTGTTTCCCGAAGCCAAAAGAGTACTTAGTCTTGTCTTTAAGGGAAGCATTTCTGAATGAGAATCCGGGCGACTCGGTTTTGTCACAAGTGTCAACCCTATCTCTGTAACAGTGTCGTGGAGGAGGGGCGGAAGGGAGTCGAAATCGATGTGTGAAATGAAAGCTTCAAATTCCAGGCGTCTCTCTGGTTTTCTCTTCTTTGGCTGGTCGGGCATCCATCTAGAGGATACCTTGATGTGCCATTTGTTGTGGCCCGAACGATCAATGGCGTTCAGCGAGCAGCGAGAGGGCTGGGACCCTCCAACGCAACGGTAGGACTCATCTTCTTGGTACGTCCGGCGAACAAATTCAACGCTGCGTAATTCCATTAGAATGAGCACTGCAGATTGCCAGTGTAGACATAAATATTGGCAAGTTAAGGGATAGTAAGTAGCATTTGATGCTGGTTCATTTGGTTGGATTCGCGCCGAAATCCAAACCATGACTCAGCGGGCTGTTTAACTTAGTTACTCTTGGCAGGGGTGAAAGGTGCATCCCACGATGACATTGTCCATGGAGCCATTAGTTATTGGGGGTATTCGTACAGAGTATGGGCCTGATGAATATAAATCATAAACTGACAATCCCCTGACGAAATTGCAATGTTGATTAACATTATCGACGCGCAGTTCTCTTTCCTTCCACGCTGCTTTATCGACAGCCATCCTTCCTCGGATCGGCTGCTTGGACAGCGGCGGCAATGTTTTCGAATCTCGGGGCAGGTGGCTGAAGAAACGTCCTCTCTCTGTCCTGGCTGCTCTGTTTTCTGTTAACTTACGGCTTGGAGATACCTCAATCGCCCTGCAAGCTAGGCTTATGTTTATTGTGGATTCCTTGACTGTGTTCTTCCGCCTTTACTGTCTTATCGTCTAGCTTGATCAGGAGGAATCCGAAGCAATATGAGGCATTGTCCAGAGGATGGTTAGCTCGTCTACTCCTCCACATTGGAAACAGTGTGGAACGATCACTGACTGATTATCTCCCTCCCGAAAGCCGGTATGGAACCAGGGCAGAACCAGCTTATACTGCAGGGTTTTGAGTGGAATACTCCGGCTGATGGCCAGCATTGGAAACGGCTAACTAAGTCTCTTACCTGGTTCAAATCAATCGGGGTCACCGCAATCTGGATTCCGCCTGGCTGCAAAGCTATGGAGCCGGCTCGCAATGGGTATGATATCTATGATCTGTATGACATCGGTGAATTCGACCAGAAAGGCTCAGTGGCTACAAAATGGGGATCCAAACAAGAGCTGCAGGTTTTGGTAACGAAAGCGCAAGAGATGGACATACGGATACTCTGGGATGCAGTACTAAACCACAAAGCTGGAGCTGATAGCCAAGAAAGGTGCCAAGCAGTCAGAGTGAACTCAGATGGTAAGGCCCCTTTCTCCCTGACATATGCTGCTCCGTTAACAACACATTCCTTGTAGACCGAAATACGGAAATGGATGCTACACCCGAGGAAATTGAGGCTTGGCTTGGATTCGAGTTTCCAGGGCGTGGTACTCAATATAGCTCCATGAAATACCACTGGCGCCATTTCACCGGGGTCGACCACGATCTTGAATCCGGAACAAAGGCTATATACAAAATAGTTGGTGATGGTAAAAAAGGTTGGGCTACTGATGTTAGCAGGGAATTCGGAAATTATGATTACCTCATGTTTGCCGATGTCGACTTCTCTAGCGATGAAGTCAAAAACGATGTTAAGAACTGGATCTATTGGCTTCATAGCCAGATTCCCATTGGCGGGCTTCGACTTGATTCTGTGAAACATTATTCTCGGTCGTTTCTGCTAGAGTTCATCCTGCACATAAAGGATCAAATCGGACCTGACTGGCTTTTCGTCGCCGAATATTGGAAAAATGACGCTAAAGAGCTCATAGACTACTTGGATCAGATGAAGAACTTATTGCTTCTTGCTGACGTTCCACTGGCGCATAATATCTCTGAAATTTCACACCAGCGAAACGTCCCTCTCCGACAAATCCTCAATGGAACCCTGCTGAAGGAGCGGCCGGATCATGCAATGGTAAGAACATTCAATGTGACAACATAAATATGTCTCTATATGTTAGGGGCTGACCTTTGGTAGACGTTTGTCACCAACCATGACACGGTACGTCCTTGAGGGATTACGGGTTCTAATGAGATTTTGCTTACTGTTTTAGCAACCAGGGCAATCATTAGAGGTAAAAAGCATTTGCTTTTCTCTCTCGACACCTCGCCACCCTGGCAAGCTTGGTGCTGACTTTGGGTTGTATCCTCATAGCTTCCAGTGGAAGGGTGGTTCAAGCCACTGGCATACGCATTGATTCTACTTCGCAAACAAGGGCATCCATGCCTCTTCTACGGTGATCTTTGTGGTATCAATAAGGGCCTCCTGAATGCTGCCGAGCCCCCAGTGCCCGATCTAGAGTCTCTTGTTTTGGCACGTAAACTTTATGCATATGGACCGCAACGCGATTATTTCGCCAGAAAACACTGCATTGGTGAGCCCGTTCCTCGCCCAAGGCACTATATTCCTCTCAAGTGTTTGGCCAGCAAAAGATTAAATGGTACTTAGGTTTTGTACGATTTGGAAATGCAAAACACCCATCCGGCCTTGTTTGTCTCATGAGCACTAGAGGTCGCCGCGTTAAGCTTATGAAAGTTGGAAAAAGCCATGCCGGAGAAAAATGGAAAGAGTTTTATGGCGCGCATGGTGGAACTGTGACGATCAACCGCCTGGGTTACGGCCTCTTTGGAGTTTCTCCAAAAAGTGTCAGCGTTTGGGTTAATCCCCGAGCTGCAGGGAGAGCCGAAAGTCGGGATTCCTAAAAAGCAAGTTATCGAAATAAGGCTGCCCTTGAAAGTATGTGACTCTTTTTCTCTGTTATCGTCTACTTACGAGTGACCAGTTCCAAGGTAATTAGGTCAGTATTGGAGAGGCGATCGTCCAAGGGAGATGCAAAGGGGGTTATGTGATGGACAAATGACTTGATTCCCACGTTTTATGTGCGGGAAGATGATATTTGACCCGAATAGTCCATGCTGAGAACAACACGAGCGGTCAGACCTGAACACCGGGATTTCATTTTCCAATTGCTATGATTCGCTTTAACGGGAATGTTTGGGCCTTCTGGGCGGGATTGCAATCCAAATGCACTGCTTGATATCGTGCTAGTCAAAGCACGCGATGAGTGTTTTGTTTTATTATCGAAGCTGTAACCAGTTCACACTGTCTCTACTCTGTAAGTCAAGGTGAAAGGCAGTCATTATACTCTGTATAGTTAACTTACCTGCTGAGGCCATTTGAACCAACTTCACAAGACAGTAGTTAAACCCCAACATCAAGACTCAACACTCACTACCTGCTTCCCGGTGCTTTTCCATGGACTAATAAATAATGATGGACTTTTGTGTTGCCGTTCCGAGAGCTAACTAACTAGTTAACGCTTGTTAGCCCGGCTGGGCTGCTGTGAAGCCGTGTTATCCGAGCCGCCGGCGTTTCTCGTCGACTTTGCCCCATGGAGTGCTGGATTGGCGGTTCCCCACGCCCCCTTAGAATGAACTCGAGCATGCGAAAACCGGGGTAGACATGGAGCATTCTCCCCTTCGTTTTTGGCCTGGAAAAGACGGCGCCAGACGAATGTGATCTCCAGCAGCCAAGGATGTCTGGCCGGACGGCACTGCTACATAGACCTGCTTCGCTGTGGGGCAGGATGACCGAGAAACGAATGTTATTGATATTTCTTTCTTTTTTTTCCCCAATTATTTTGTGAAGAATATTATAAGTGGGATTCCCCAAGATTGAGGGGGGATTTATGGGGAAGGCTTTCCTGCCTTTTACCTGTCCCTCATCGTTGCCTGTGAAGATATCATACGGCGTGCGATGAAATGTCGGAAATTGAAGCTACAAGCGCTGGCGGGATGGCAATAGGCGGTGATAAAATGACGCCGGCTGCTGGTATGTGGTCCACAGGCCTGAGAAAAGGGATACTGAGCAGAACCCCCGGACTAACCACATTCACATCAGAAACTATCACTTCGGTGAGCTCGACGCAGGTATCGATTGGCGCGAACGAGGCGGCTGGCTCTCCCAGCGACGGGGGAGAGTCTGGCGGGTATAAATTCCGGCGAGTGGCGTCCAAGATGGTGGTTTCGTTTGGCTCGCAGGATCCCGAGAATCCTGTCAACTGGTCAGCGGTAAAAGAAACTTGGAAAAACTCCCTGGGCTATTCGGTTCATGTTGGCTAAAGGATGATCTCGATTTTAGAGAAAGAAGTTGTTCATTTTAACGTCGGGGGTCCTCGGGGTCCTGAATAGCACCCTAGGGAGCTCCCTCCCCAGCGGTGCAGTGCCTTATATTGCGCGGGACTTTGGGATTGAAGGCAAAGAGCAGCTGGCCCTCCCAATATCGATGTTCCTTATTGGTTACGTTGTTGGTCCGATTATATGTGGCTCGTTATCAGAAGCATATGGAAGGAAACCGGTTATTGTCACCGGTTTCATAGGATTCATGGCCTTCACGCTTGCATGTGCGGTTTGCCAGAACTGGGCTTCACTTCTGGTGTTGAGACTTCTAGTTGGAGTCGTAGCATCGGCTCCGGTGGCTGTTATTGGCGGAGTATTTGCGGATATACACGACGAACCAAGGGAGCGTGGTCGGGTGATGGCATACTATATGGCTGTAAGATGGTCCCATCACAACGTCAACATGCTGGAAATTTCTGCTAACAAACTTGATAGGCGACATGTGTTGGACCTGTTGCCGCGCCGTTTATTAGTGGATACGTTTCCGGTGTCACTTGGAGATGGGCCTTTTGGGTAGGGCTTATATTTGCAGGATTCTCGCTGCCTTTTGTGGTATTCATGCCTGAAACATATGCTCCGATTTTATTGAAGAAAAGGGCGAAAAAGCTGCGCAAGGAAACGGGGAATAATAATATTGTTGCGCCGTTTGATCTCGAAAAGCGCGACCTGAAAGTTACTTTAACGGTGACTTTAACACGCCCGATACGGATGATAATCCATGAATCTATTGTCCTGTTTAGCTGTTTGTATCTTGCGTTGGTGTATGCAATCTTTTTCCTTTATTTTCAGGCATATCCAGTGATCTTTCAAGGTAAACTTCCCTATTTACCACCTCCTCCCTTAATATCTGCTAACACGGCTTCATCAAGGAATATATCACATGTCCTCTGGGAAATCTGGATTAACGTATCTCATTAGTGAGTAATAAACCCGGGAAGAGAGTCACGTTTATGGAGCTAACGAGTTGGTAGTTGGGCGCGGGTGCCTTTCTCTCAGTAGGAATTTTCCTTTGGTGGGATAGTATTCTATACAAAGCAAAGGCTCAAGGCGCAGCCTGGTCCGAACTCGAGGAATATAGACGTCTCCCACTCGCCTGCCTGGGGGGACCTTTATATGTTATTGCCCTGTTCTGGCTGGGCTGGACCGCAAGACCAGAAATCCACTGGGTTGTTCCAGCACTCTCAGGTATACCATTTGGCATGGGATTCATGTTGATCTTCATGGCAATTTTGAATTATCTGGCCGATGCGTACGAAACCTTCTCCGCCAGCGCCCAGTCTGCGGCCAGCTGTACTCGAAGCATCTTTGGTGCCGGTCTTCCTGTCGCTGCTGTCCCTATGTTCAACGCGCTGGGCGCCAGCTGGGCGTGTAGCTTGCTGGCGTTTTTCAGTCTTGCAATGTCAATAGTGCCGTTTGCGTTCATCAAGTATGGAACGCGGATCAGGGCGAATAGTAAGTTTTGTCAGTATCTGAAGGACCTGAAGGAGAAGCAAAGGAGAGAAGAGGAGGCAGAACAGAGAGGTGCGAGTGCAGTAGATAGCGAAAAGGCTGCTGATGGGTTGTCTTTGAATGAAGTGGATGAAAAGCTATCTTGATGTGATTTTTGTTTGATAGCTGATTAGAGCAATGAAAAATTCTGAAGGCAACTGACTCTCTAACTAGTTAACTGGCTACATATGGCTTTGTCAGGTGTAACAGCCACCAGCAACAAGCCCGTTGGATGCTTTTCACTGATCGCCAGGCAAAGCAAAGTGCTAACTAGTTGATCAACGAACTAGAGCACTAGATTAACTAGTATTCAAAAATTCAACAATCCTGGCGGTGCTTTATATGCGATCACTGTGACACCTGTCCTCTCGGCTTTGAGACTGCAGCCTAAATATGACACTGGCACATCCAGGTCCAATCGAGCATCGCGACCGGCATCAAGTTCAATCAACCAAACACACCAACTTGCCCTTGGTTTCATTCCTCTCCATCATCTCGTGCGCAATCCCTACGTCTTGCCAGTTGAACACTTTCTCCGTGTGATGCTCGTACGTTCCATCCAAAAGACCGGGCATAACCTTCTCCTCAAATAGCCCTCTCAATCGAGCCTGGTAATCCACGTCTCTTGAACGGAGGGTGCTTCCTTCGACCCGCGCCCTTTTCCTCAACAGTGGAGCGATATTGACTTTGTCGGGGAGGATTGAACCGCCCATAAGGCCTAGCACGACGACCCGGCCGTCCTGAGCAAGCACGTCGAGATTCGACTGGAAGTACGAAGCCCCGACAAAATCGATAACCAGATCCATGCCGCGATCGTCGTTTTGCTTCTTGAGCTCTTCAACCCAATTTGGATGATTCGTGTTCACGGCGCCAGTGCAACGCAATCTTTCGACGCAGAATGTACACTTTTCATCCGTGCGGGACGTCGCGAATACCTTTGGCGCTGAGTTGGTTTCGGTCGGTGCGTTTCTGGAGAGCTGGATTCCCGCAATCGACACAGACGATGCGCCCGCATGCCAGAGAATAGAGCGCGTACGCCTAGGATCATACTCGCCAACGAGATAGAGGGCTTGAAGGGCTGTGAACCAGACTTCGCACAGGCCCGCAGCGTAGTCCCAGCTCCAATCTTTGGGCTTTTGGATCAGCATTCTTTTATCAACCACCACATACTCCGCGTAGCCACCGCCATATAGCAAGCCAAACACTTCGTCACCGGCTTTCCACAGCGGGGTATGCCCTTTCTCCACATCAGAGCCAACTTCCTCCACAACACCGCTGAATTCTAGGCCCAAGATGTTGGTAATGCCGGGGAGGGGCGGGTAAGCGCCCCGACGTTGAAGCGTGTCGGCCCTGTTAAGCCCGAAGGCTTTGACGCGAACGAGGCAATCCGTCGGCGAAGGTTTGGGTTTGGGTACGGAGGGATTGATAAAAAGGTCTGAGGCTGAGCCTTTACCCCCTTTGATATCTGAGAAAAAGGCTATTAGCAGCTAAACGTGGACCGGGGATAACATCAAGCCTACCGACGGCCCGCATTGTTTCCGCCATGGCTCCTATTAGGATAATCTCTTGAGGATGATAATTGCAGCAAAAGTAGCTGCTTGACGAGGGCCCAATTGCCAAACTAAATACCCTCAATAAGGGGGCGGGGATCAATGCTCAAGCGCGAGCCGGTGATTTCATTGGCTGGAACCGGGAATCGGGATTTAGTCGGAGAAAAAGATCCCGCGCGGGGCTCAGCTTACTAATACGAGACGAGTGACATCATTGCCAAGACATAGTCACGTGTAGATATAGTTCTTGGCATAGAACGAGATCAGATTCCAAATGCTTGACGGCTCAAAAGGTGGAAAGATATTTGCACTGTATGACGATTCATCAATGCAACTGATGAAGGTATTTATATACAATTAAGCAAAATTTTCACAATCCTTACTGCTTCATGCAACACCCCTATAGCAAGTTTCCACATGTGTGTAAAGAATATGGAAATCCAATAACCAAACTCCAAAGAAAAAGCTTTAGCCAAGATATATCATACCACAACAGTAATATAAGGCCGCATAGCTCCATCTACATCTCATGTTGTACATAAAGATGTCGTCGAAACCAACTGAACACCTGGGAAAAGTCTGCACTGGGTTTATATCGGCCACGGCTTTGGGTAGTCTTGGCAGAATCAAAATTAGCGTCCAAATTGACCTGGGCAAAGAGCGCTGATTTACTCACTCTGCTTGCAGATGGGTTGCATACTAGCACACAGCTAAGACCTGACAGGAAGGCGGCGGCGAGAGCCGGGGCCGCCAGGACCACCGGGAGGACCACCTGGACCGCCTGGACCGCCGGGACCTCCTGGAGGGAAGCCAGGACCACCAGGGCCACCGGGAGGACCACCTGGACCACCTGGGGCGGCTGGAGGGAAGGCCGGGGCCACCAGGACCACCGGGACCACCTGGACCACCCTGGACCACCTGGGCCCGCCTGGAGGGAAGCCAGGGCCACCGGGACCACCGGGACCACCGGGAGGACCACCTGGACCACCTGGGCCGCCTGGAGGGAAGCAGGGGCACCAGGACCACCTGGACCGCCTGGACCGCCTGGACCTCCTGGCAGGGACACCAGGACCACCAGGACCACCGGGACCACCGGGAGGACCGCCAGGACCGCCCGGACCGCCTGGAGGGAAGCCAGGGCCACCAGGGCCACCGGGAGGACCACGTGGGCCACCTGGACCTCCTGGACCGCCTGGAGGGAAGCCAGGGCCACCGGGAGGACCGCCAGGACCGCCAGGACCGCCTGGAGGGAAGCCGGGGCCACCAGGGCCACCAGGGCCACCGGGAGGACCACCTGGACCACCTGGACCGCCGGGAGGACCGCCTGGACCATCAGGGGGACCGCATGGAGGGCAGCCGGGAGGGCCGTCGGGTGGACCATCTGGAGGACCGTCTGGAGGACCGTCTGGCGGACCGTCTGGAGGGCCATCTGGTGGACCGTCTGGCGGACCGGGGGGTGGACAGTCGGGACAATCTGGAGGACCGTCTGGAGGGCCATCTGGTGGACCGTCTGGCGGACCGGGGGGTGGACAGTCGGGACAATCTGGAGGACCGTCTGGAGGGCCATCTGGTGGACCCGGAGGAGGACAATCGGGGCCACCAGGAGGGCAGTCTGGAGGAGGAGTGCCCTGGGCCACTCTTTTGGCTATAGAGTAATCTCGAGAGTTGGGTCTTGTAGGCGCTGAAATGGCCCCGAGCGCCAGCAGGCCCATGACAACGAGTTGGAAACGCATGATCAGAAAAATTAACCGATCAACGGAGGAAAAGAAACATAAACGTAATCGGAAGAGAAGATTGTCGTAGCTGCTTTGATTGGTGGTTTGGGGTGGCTTTCGGTTTAGACGTGTCCTGAGAACTGAACTCGAAGAGTGCGGAAACGCTACCTTATATGTTGTTCTCCGAGTGTAGGAATCACTCTAAAATGGTAGATCTGCGCTCAAAGGGACGCGGTCGAGATTTACCCCAGATTGACAAAAGATCCATGGGAGTGTTGAAGGAGTCGAATCATCCCAGTGCGTTTACGTCTGCTTCCGCCAAAGCTACCTTGAATAGCTTCAGTTTGTGTCCGAAGCTGAAGTCTTGCCCTTGTTTGCCATCGTAACCAGTCGACGAGGTTCCCCTCAGCCCACAGCGTATTGGCATAAGGGATATGAGGATCAACTCTAGGGGTATACGTTCTGGTATTTTCTCGAAGGATGCCCGAAACACCACCCAGGATGTAGAGCGGTTCAAAAACGCCTTGAAACAGAAGCGACTATCTCATCCTTGGATGTTTGCCATTGGCTTGTTTCTTGAACCCGGGTATGAAACATGGTCCAATGGAGTTGGTCTTTCCATTGCCTATTCAGACGCTGAGAAGCGAAGATCGCGCTTGGGGTCAAAATGCGAGCCACGTCAGGTGTTGACGCTCGAGGAAACAGAGAATGTCAAGCACCGTCGTTGAAGCCATCGTCGTCTGATCGGCCGGGGAAGACTGAAGATCTGTGCCAATCGTTAAAGAGACGATGTTCGAGGTCGTCTTGGCCAAATCCGGTTAACTAACTTAGCGATGATGCACGTGACCTTCATTTTGGGCAACGAGTCAACGACATCCTCAGCAGTCAGCATCACCGCACAACCGCTTTACAGGTGCTATCAGAGCCCGTTGGTGAAATGATTTGATAGCTAACTAACTGTTGAACCCTTTCCGACCTTCAGGTACTATTCGCGAGAAGCGCAGCCATTGATTGCCTTTTTCGTTACCCATGATGCTCTTCCCCTTGGCCAACCACCTTTCCACGCCACTGGAGCTTCCCCGAACTTCTTGCCGGGGCCCATTGTAATGGTTTCCCGCCGGATCAATCCCCAGTACCCGGAACGACGATATGTTCCTCGCTCGGATAACCATAATTCGAGAATCCAGTTTCTCAGTTGGGCAGAAGAGAGCTTGTGACACCACGGAACCAGCCCGCTCATGTTTCAATTCTTTGAAACGGGGCCTGTTTCTTTCAACCCGTGACGCAACCATCTCCAGGCTCACCCTTCAATCTTCCAATGTCTTGGGGAACCCTGCCTTTTGTCCTGAGACGGAGTTGGAGGCGTCGTCTCGAGCACCAATTGTTCAATATGCTTTTGGGCCTGAAACTGCGCATCTTCTTCCACCTCCCTCTTCCTCACAATCCAAGTTCCGTTTCCTGATTACATTTATCGGTTCATAACACTAGGGGAAGAGTGTCGACGAATTACAGCCTTGCAAAAGGGTCACAATCACTGGACATTTCTACCCTGAAATGGCCTCGTAGGAACGCTCTCGAAAGCATACGGTTCAACCGATATGCCTCCAGTTGTTCTACGAACACATGTCAGATCTACACTGCCATAGTATGTACATGAAAGAAACCACTTTTCCTGCTATTCCTATAGACCATGAAAATGCCACCCCTTCTTTGTTGAAACCACCCATCTCAGCAATTCACAATTCATAGATGTACTTGAAATCGAGGATGCGTTCTGATTTTCTCCCCGTATTTGAGCAATACAAATGGGACAGGGGCCAATGCTAACGCGATAAACGCTAGCAGACTTGTTCCCCACCCTATCCCCAGATTTTCATACAGCCTAGTCCCCGCCAGGGGGAGCGTCGCCGCGACGATGGATCGGAGCACGATATTCGCGGAAATAGCACTTGCGGAGTAAATCGTATAGACGTCGATCAAATACGCCATAATGGAGAAGAAGTAGCACAGAGTTCCTGCTCCGATGAATGCTGTGCCGAGGATCGGAATGGACCAGTGAAGTCGATACATCGCCGTCCAGCCATAGAACAAGTATCCCAAGGGAAGGATTATGGCGCCCAGGGCAAGTGGCGGGAGACGCCATTCTGGCTTTGGAGGACCGTCCGGGTTCGATTTTCTCATTCTGATGACGTATCGATCAGAGAAGAGCGCTGCAATGATCTGTGTGCCCACGTAACCTATGCCGATCCCAATGTACGCAAGGCCAACGGAGGAGGGCTTGAAGCCATATTGCTTCTCAAAGACGAATGTATACGTTGTAAAGAGAAAATAGCTGTAGCCATACGAAATGGTGATCATGAGTGCCATGAGAAAGACTATTGGGGAGAATAGAAGTAACTTGGAGGGACGGAGGATTGCCATCTTGAAAAGAGATTTGGCACTTTCACCGGTGTCATATTTTGATACCAGGTCCATGTTTTCTGTTTCTTGCCTTAAACGGGCGGCTTTGCGGGCTAGGATGGTCGGCGCATACGTTTCACGCAACAACGCCAAAGAGATAATGGTAAGCGTTCCGCTCTATCGATGTTAATAAACGTACACCGCGTCAGTCTTTAGAATGCTCAAACGTACCGCAATTGTCATCATCCAGAATATCCACCGCCATCCAGTGCTATCGGTCATGAAACCGCCTACAATCGGTCCTAACGCGGCGTGTCAGAAAGGAATTGGCTGGCTAGATTTGAATGCATACCGACGACCGGCCCCTACGCTGGCGGTTAGTTGACAGAACCCACAACTTTCTAAACGAATCAATTCAACCGCCAAAATGAACGCACCATTAAGGGCCCCATCCCCCATATGCTCAAAGCGACCCCTCGCCTTTCCAGCGGAATAAGATCAGCTATAGATCCGCCACTCAGGGACAGTGAAGGACAGCCCGCCAACCCCATAAAGAATCTAAAGGCGATAAGCATGGAGAGATTGGTACTCAGGGCACATCCCATTGACGAGATGGTAAGGAATATGTTGGAAGCGTGATATAGTGGATTCCTTCCATACAGCTCGCTTAACGGAGGCAAGACAAGCGGACCGATAGCCCAGCCTATCGCAAAGACAGAGACGACAAAACTCGATAGAGCTCCGTTATGTGAATTGAATTCGTGCATCACCCCTTGTACACTGGGAGCAAAGACTGTGGATCCAAAGGCGCTGTGAAAAGACGTTACTCCCGAGTGCTCAGCTGTGTAGGTGGTCCACCACCTACTTCAGAAACGTAACGATAGAGACTATCGTGATGGTCATCCATTTCCGGGCAGACGACCAGTTCATCGGGTTTTCAGGATCGTTTGGTCCATCCCAGTCAACTACATTTGACTTTTCGGTACCATTGTGGAAAGAGGTTTGGGCTTCTAACCCCTGGGGATTTTCTCTGCTTGAAGGCCGTGAGTGAGGGCTCATTTCAATGACGGAGGTATTTGTCGCCATGATACGAATAAAAGGAGATACGCAGCCCAAAGTGCTATCAGCTAACAGAGGCACATGTGCTCCTGAATTGCAGCGCCATCAAGCGTTTTATATTCAGTCAGCTTTTTCCGGATCTCCGGGGAGACTTGGGTTCAGCCCCGAAGAGTAGCGGAGGGCGGAACAGCAGGGGCAAACATGTCCCTATGCTGATATATGCCGAGTTATGGTGCCCTTATTGCATATGAAAGTACAGGCCTGGATGGTGGCTACTCGCGGGGCGGAATCCAGTAGCATCTCACAGATTGGCCCTAAATCGGATTGTGTGACGCAAGAGAGAGCGGCATTTTGGCAATTGGTAATTCGGTTCTGGCTGTCCAACATATGTTTTAGAGCCTACGGGCTCTTTCACCCGAGTCCAAGGGGGTCATGCTGTTAAGTTAAAACTGGAAAATTGTTGTGTGGATGGATCTCGTGGAACTTGGACCATGGTGTAACTCTCCATATAGGCCCAAGCTTGTTTTTCTTCGATACTGGCGGTGCACATTCTTCGGCAGCGAATTGATATCGCCTTAGACTTGCACGTGGCCATGCCTAACAAGGCGTGCAGAGAATTGCTCCGAAAGCATTCTATCCAAAAGTGAGAGTCCTCGGCCCGATTTTCTCAGCCAGTAAACAAAATGGTAGTAAATTCTGGATGAAGGCATGAGCAGGCATAGCACTACCCAACAGAAGTCAAAGGACAAGCCGGAAAATCCCTAAGCCAATTTGGATGCAAGGGCAGCTTGTTTGCTGAGCACGTATTGCGAACCAGCGCGAAACAGCATATATGTAAAGCCTTCCTCCATGCGAAAGAAAAGGCAAAAGAGCATCAGCCATGATTGAAGGGCTAGAGCGTAAATAGAAAATGTAGGATTTCTCCCAGCTTGCCTGCAGGGCAGCTCTTTGGGCTGCATTTCATGGAACGAACAATTCCAACAGGAAGCATTTGTGCTTCTAGTTACCGGGTTGGACAGCCAGGCTGCAGGTTCATTTCGCCCCTTGATCCCAAACCTGTGGTTGGATTTGGCTGTTGAAACGCTCTGGGTATCTCGGATGGATGCTAACGAGTTTCAAAGCGCGCAGAATCTGTGGCATCGCGTCAGGGCGTCAAAACAAACTGCTGAGAGCGTGAGTGATTGGTGATTGTAGTTGAATGGTTGTTTCATTGCAAGTTGAGAGACACCTGCGTTGGTGACTTGTCTCAGCCAGTGCATAGTTATCAGCAATGGAGAAGCTGATGTCTCGCTAGAAGTTGCTGTCAGGCTAACAGTTCGTCAGCCTTATGTGTGGTCCGCGAAGGCGAACTAATAACTAGCTACCAACAAGGGACGGAGGACTCGGGAATTCAGCCCATTCGACTCTGTTGACGATATCCATCCTCCTCAATATGCGCTCCTCCAGCCACAGCGCCAATCCAGCATGGCGTCCAGCAGCAGATGCCAGGTCCTGGAGAGTGAAACCTGCACTCTGCTCTTGGCCTATGGTGTTGCAGGACTAGCCGCCGCATCCCAGCCTCTCGAAATAGCCCGAGGTGCCCTGGCTGGGGATGCTCGCAGAAAAGGCCTGTCCAGGTCTCATTGTTACGTCGTCCTTCGCCTATCCACTTGTCTGCTTGGGATGCCCAGAATAGCAGACGGCTATTATTGCTGTGAACCCGCGGACCTACGCCACACAAGACGGATGCTGCAACCCTGACGGCCAGAGCTCGTTCTCGACAACAACCCTGTCGAGGGACAAGAAGCGACGGCGACATCTGCAACGTACGCCCATGACTAAGACAGCGCAAGTCTCAAGCCCTCCGGTTGCTTTCACGTTCACGACATCTGCAAGGCTCGAACGGCTTTCCTCCTCGGCCACGTTGACCACAACCGGCTGCCTGTTTTCCCTCGTCCAGTCTTTCGTTTGACGCTGGCATTTATCCAGTCTTCACTCTACCCAATTCGCTCGAATTACTTACTCAAAGAGTCGCTCGTTCGCCCCGCTTCGCAGTTCCTATCCCACATATCCCCGGAGGCTCTGCCGTGCTGTTCTCTCGTGTCTTTCAGATGCCAATGTAGTGACGCCAAACCAAGATGGGTCCCCATCGCTACTCAGAACTTACACGCAGCATTGGGATATTCAATGATCAGCTACCATGGTATTGGAAGCTCTTCGCAAGCGGTTCGGCATGGCTCCTTTTGGCAGGGTAGGTCGCCACAGGCCAGCGTCGATAAGCCATTGTTGCTGACAGATTGTCGGATTCCCAGGTTTCTGATGCTCCCGGTTGCAATGGAGCACGAGTCTTCGAAATTACGAGGAAATAGACAAGCGTTGATTGCTATAGCTCTCGCTTTGGTTGTCGTCGCATCCGTCAATTGTGTCGTATACTGCGTCAAGTGGAGGAAGGCTTACGAGCTCGTGGATTCAATTTTCTTGTATGCCGTTTCTCCTCCCTAGATGCTTGCTTTATCTCTCCTCAGTAATTAACTTTGTCCCCCTTAGAGCATATTTTGGATCTAGTATCACCGGGCTATTCAACCTTGTGTTGAATATCATGCTTCGACGCCTAGCTCTGGATAGTTTGGCCATAGTTGGCATTGCAATATGCTCCATCTTCACAATTGGATGTGGAATAGCTGTTATATATCACTGGCGGGATGAGTTTCTGGCCTCTGGGAGACTGGGGCGGAAAAGAAGACGCTGTGGAGACGATCGTCTCGATGATGGCGAGCTACAGAGACAGCAGCTCGCTAAGCTCCTTTTCAAGAATTCTGATCGAGCGCCTAGTCCCGACGTTACTCAAAATACTTTCCGCATTGATATCCCTGACGGGGCAGGGGCAGGGGAAGATGAAGCGACTGCGCTCCCACAACAGCCGTACGAATTCCCTCTCGCACCGCCACCTCCTAAAACCAGCTATCACCCAAAAGGACGCCCGGCAAGCTCTAGACGGTCGTCTACGCCCGATAGCACAAAATTGCGTGATGTCAAGTCGGACCAGCCTCGACGCCATAGGCTTGCTGAGCTAGGCGACCTTTGAATGTTAACGACCGTTCTATCTCTTATTCGTTGCCATGGGGGCTGCTACGACTTGGTCTTTCTTCGGTGCCATATATAACGTGCTGCTGTTCATTTGAATTTCTATCCCTATATTCTGGGGCTTGGCCGGATGGTGGCGCCCGGAGCTGAGAGATGATTTTATTAATATATTAACCATTGGCTGACTTAATTAGACACGCGTTTCTCTTACTCAATACGTCGACTTCTAGCAATATAGCCTGGTCCTACCTCTTGTGCGGCTTGCTCCTAATTCATCAACGACAATACGGAATGGGTTCGAAAACGACCAGGACACTAATTGCGCAACTGATATTTCTGTTCAACTTGCCTTGCAGAAGGCTGGATTGTCTTCCTGTCTTGAAAATTTCATGTACGATGTGATGTCAGGTACAACGTGGGCGATGTCCTTTCGACATAATTCCTGCCTGCGCAAAAATGATTACTTCAAAAATGCTCCGTTTGTCTTCGCAACCTGCTCATCATAATACCCTTGAAAAGCCAGCCATCCTTTATCTGGCCCACCAACCTGCTTTGCAGTGACCTCGGCCTCTTCCTCATCAATCATTATTTTCTTATACCCTGACCCATTCGCGGCGGCGTCGGCGAGTAACTGCGCGTGGCACGTCTTGTCCAAACTAATGAACCAAAATGCCGCCTCGTCCACACTTTCTCCGACAGTCAACAGCCCGTGGTTTCGCAGAATTACAGCTTTGCCGTCGCCCAAGGCTTTTGTGATTCTGACTCCCTCCTCGCGATCAAGTACCACGCCGCCAAAGTTATTGTACACACCATGCGATTTGTAAAATCGCAAAGCGTCTTGCGTCATCATGTCCAACTCCCTTCCAAACACCGAAAACGCTTTTCCATGCACGCTATGGGCGTGGCATGCAGCGTTGATGTTTGGGCGTGCCTTGTGGATCTCCGAGTGGATGGCGAATGCTGCTGCGTTAATGGGCTCGTTCCCAATGACGACCTGCCCTGCTTCATTGACCAGGATAAGGTCGGAGACACATATCTGTGAGAAATGCTGCGAAAGAGGATTCAACCCTTCTCAGGCACCATGTTATTACATGCTTTTCTACAAGCAAGAAGCCCGTCCCATGAACTGGCTGGGTTGCGGGGGAGGGTAGCAAAACATACAAAAATGATCTGTCAGAATCGGATCTCTCACCGAGATATGTCCTGCCACACCCTCGTCGAATCCGCGATCAGCAAAGACTCGAAAGGCAGCTGCGAGATGCTGCTTGCGATATAGACGTTCCTCTTCGAGAGTGTCGAATTTTGGATAGCTTCTGATATGCAGTTCCTGACCGCTGACGGTCCGATTGTTCATCTGAACCTGTTCGATTACTTCACTGCGTTCGGCACCCCGATCGTCGTCCGCGTGGGTCTCCTTCTGAGGAACCACAGCTGGGGCTAGCGCTTCCACAACTGATGGGGCCATTGTTTTCCTGGTCAAGTTTTGCTCTGCTTTTCTATTTCTTTTTTCCACTTTTGCTCGGTGCTTGATATTAGGGATTCTGGGTATGTTATCTCTTTTGCGATAAATGGTTTTGCCGCTTTGTTCCCACATCAACCTTCAGGCTTGCTCTTCTTTTCCCAGTAATATAGAAATCCAGCAAGATTAAGTAGTGAATGACCAGCTCGGCCCGGGCTTTTTACCCCGGATGCCGAGGGCAAAAGCCGGCATCCCGCAACGTCTGGTGATTTGTTGTGTACTTCGTATTTATTGGATGGGATCCGGGAATTAAACCAGTATATCATCCCAACTCGTTCAAAACTTCGAAGTTGGCCTAATTGGGGGGCGAACAAGCCCCCTTGACAAAGACCCATACCGCCACTGTGGTCCAAATGGAAGCCGGGAGAAGGAATGAGAATGGGTAGTGCCGACGGACCGCATGGCTGGTGCGGAGTCGAGTAGTTAAACCACTTAACTAGTTAGTCAATTAGGAGTGGGGGACGACATCCTCATGTTTCAAGGGAGGCGGGCGAAATATCATTGTTTGTGAGCGCAGTGAACCCAACCGCACACGCCCAGTAGAGAAGTGAATCAGAGTTGCTAAGATGACAGATTTGTGGGAGATGCTCGAGTTGTTACCTCTCTTGCTACTTGGCATGATATGGATTGTAGGTAGAGGAGATAGTGAACCATTCCTGCGAGCCTGAGGGATATAGCTTTGATATATCAGGTATGGATGAGAAAGCAATGCGGGCATATTGAGCTCTGCTTATCCCTCCAGTCCCAATATCTTATCGCCGCTGAAGGACGGTTAGCATGGCTACAGGAGGCTGGTCCTTTGGGGTCTTTATTTCAAAGTGATTATCCTCAAATTAGTCATTATTTAACATCTTTCGGAATTATCATCACTGGATTGTAAGGATTTGGGTTTAAAACGTATGTGAGCCTAGGGTCCGAGAAGAAGGATGTGACCCCTGGCATCTTCCGCCATATTAGCAACATAACATCCCCAACTCAGCCATATCCAGCCGTAGAACCGTAGAATAAAAAGTAGGAAAAGTGCTGGACGACCCCCTGTTAAGCAGATTGCGCCTGCCCACCCATTCCAGCAACACCACAACGCTGTCCAGAACCCGCATGTCAATGAGCTCCCTAAGCCACCCTACCAATCAACCTTGACGGCGAGGGCAAGACGAGGGGCTATTTTCCACCTCTGCCTCCATATCTCCAAGAAGAACGTTGATTGGTATCTTAAGCCGGTTTGCCACTTCCTTAATCACTCGAACACGATGGTCAAGTGTTGCATGGCCCCCAGCGGCTTCAGAGATATCATCTTGAGAGACAGTTTCATCCACAAGAGACGCGATTGCTGGGGAGAGAATTTGAAGATTGCTTAGGGACAAATGGTAGTTGATTATCGCATTTGTAACAAGTTCAGATCGCACTGACATTGCAGTCTCGACCTGCTCCATCTGGGAGAGTAACCCTTGCTCTTTGGCCTGGGAACGCTTGAGGGCGGCTTGTAGCTGGTCAATTTCATATTGGAGTTCAACCACCTTTTCACTATCTTTTTCATCCCGAAGCAACACGAGCTTTGAAGGCTTTTTCCCATTGGGTTCATCCAGCTTTCTCTTCTTATTCTCATTCACAGTATATTCATTAGATGACAAGTATTGCATATCTGCCATTGGCCTTCCGCAGCTTTGATATGTCCAGTACATTGGTCTTGCGGCTAGGCTCTTATTTTCGCCTTGTTTCCAGGGACGTCGATTTCTTTTCACTTTGCCGTCACCGTTGAAATCTCCCGGCCAATACAATCCCATTAATTCTTTCGACATGTTTCCCTTTGACGCCCACGATGAAAGGGCATGGACTTGTTCATCACACAATAAGCGATAAAACGGAGGCAGATTAGTTGAGGCTAAGAGCGGCTCAGGTATGACATGCTGGAAAAGGGGGAAGGAATCGAAGTCGAGAGTCGCAATGCCATCCATCCAGTCTGGGCCCTCCCGGTCGGTAACCGCATTGCTCACAAGGAATCTTGGAAGTCGCGTTGCTCGGTTGATTCGGTTGGCCATGGCGAGTAAGTGAACCAGCTTCGTAGTTCTGCCCTTTTTCCAAATGGTTTTTCTCAGAAACCAAGCACGCAATTGAAAAGAGGTAGATATTTCAAATGGGGCAATGAGCGTGAGTACAAAAGTAACGGTAAACAAATTTTGACCTGAATAGGATAGTCAAGAATAATGTGAAGAAAAGCAGGCCAGGCTTGTCAGAGAAGCGAAGGGCTTGCGGGTAGTATATTCTTCCAGTGGCTCAATGAGTGTCGAGCATGAGAGTAAGCACCTGATAGTCACTCAGTTGTTGGTAAGTGTTTAGTGCAAGCTGACTTTTCCTGGTTTTAAGACGAAAAGATGCTGATTTTGTTGTTCTGGGGAGACATGGTTGTAGAGGTGAGAAAGGTCGGCTTAGTGAACGTGGGAACTTCCCGCTATAAATCCACCACAGATGCGTTACCCGTGAGCTTTCCGCTCCCCCAGCCATCCATACATGCAGCGTTAACCATCCAGCCCTCCCTGCCTAGACATCTCTGCCCACCCCAGACCCGCGTCCAGAGGATGGCCTTTCCAGTGCCCCAAAAGACCCAGAAAGTGTCTTTCCAGGCCCAGAAGATGCCAAACATATCTGCCCACAGACCTCCACGGAAGAGCCACCAGATCCACGATCTGTTTCCACGGTTCCAGAGTAAGCCGGCTTCACGGCGACGCTCTGCCATTATTTCCAAGGCTCTCTGTGCTTCGTCATAGTATGCCCTCTCGACGTTTCGACCTACGTGGACATGGCCAAACACATAGAGCATTGGTCTAATACGCCAGGCCGCCTCCAACAAGAACTGACAGCCGACTGAGTATGGGAAGTTGTCGCTGTGATGCTGTGGGGGGCTGTGGGAGACCAGAATATCGGTGTCCAGCGGGATGGGCGAGGGCCATGGGTCACCTCTTGTCGAAGGCGGATATTGGAAGGCGTGGATAGACGGGGAGGCGGGGTCGAGTTGAGGGATCTGGGGCGCCCCATGGACTTTAAGTGTCCTTGTAGACGACGCGGATCCAGGATGGAAGGACAGGATGACTGAAGAGTTCTGGAGATAATGGATGTCTCCCCACTCTATTGCTTCCTCGCCGCCAGAGTGCGGGACGAGTGTCCTGGCCTCTGGATCGAACCAGCTGTCATGATTCCCAGCAACGACCACCTTGTGCTTGTGCGGCAGGCTTCTCAGCCAGTTGACTGCTGCTTGGATTTCTTCGACGGTCCCGGCGTTGGAGAGGTCGCCGGAGTGGATCAGCAGGTCGCCATCAGGCACTTCGGGCAGCTGGAGCGTGTGGGTGTCGGAGATGCAGACGACACGGATGGGGGGCTGCGAGGGCGAGCGTGTATAGGGATCCGGACGCAGGGCAGAGAGTAGACCGTAGACGGGCCGCACGATAAAGAGGAGCGGCGAGGCAAAGAAGCGTGAAGCCAGCGACGGCGGATCAAAGGGAGCCATGTGCAGCGGCGGTCAGCTCAATGAACCGGGTTGGACGGCGAGACGATGGTGAATGCAGCACGACTGACTGTCTCTGGACCTCGTCAAGCGCCCAACAGGCCATTCCCACTCGTTCGCCATCTCGTCCTGCAGCGTGTCGTCGTCGCCGTCTTGCTGGCTGGCACCGCTTACATAACACCTGTGAAAACAAGGCGCTCAAACCGCGATGCAGCAACGAGAGCGTCTTTCTCCTCCTCCTTTGATGCCTGGCTCGTTGTTTTGTTGTTTATTTATAGAAATCGCCTGCATTGTTCGTTCTTGTCGGCGCCCGTCTTAAGTCGGGGCTGCTAGCCGCCCGCTCTGTTTCACCTGCTCGCCAAATCCCCAGCTTGCGGCGATTGAGTTGGTCTGCACAGCTCCTTGAAGACCATCCCATCACCACCCTGGCGGGGCTCGTCCACCACCTCCCACTCCCAACGCCCGTCGTCCACCACTGCTTGTCTGCCGCCTGCGCTCCATTCGAAACAGCCTGTGCCTCAAGGGTATGGATGGCGATGACATAGCCGCCACTTCGCAACACATGGCCTCCCTCAGCTCCAGCGCCAACGGTAACCCTGGGAAGAAGAGGAGGAAGGCTGATTTGAAACCCATCGTCACCAACGACCCGCCGTCCGCTGCCAGCCCGTCCTCCGCGGCTACTGCAAATAACATGGCTGCACAGTCTGGGTAAGACTTGCCTTTTTGTCTTTCTCTCTATCTCCCTTTCTCTGTCTCGCTCTTCTCCCATGCCCAATTCCTCCCTGATTCTACCGTCGCCATGTATTTCTCTATTCTGAAAAGTGGTCATCCCCGGAAACGCCGCCATTATATTCCAAAGACCCGCGGCATTGCTTCTTCTAGAGATTATGTCTGTCCTTCCTGCGCAGGAGGCCTTTTCTCTTCCTCCAGCGGGGCATACAACCCTCCCTCTAGAGCCGATAATCGTCACTCGTCAGCGCGCCACCTTTGGGTATCAACTGATTCCTTTGGCAGTCTCTCGTCCTCACAGCACCCTATATCCACCTCCTATACCTCTCCCCTTTCGCGATCCCCTTCCTCCTCCTCCACCGAAGACCTCGCCGAGACTGCAGCAGACGAAGAAGACTCTGAAGACTATTGCAAAGGCGGCTATCATCCCGTCCGAGTCGGAGAAACCTATAACAACGGTCGTTATGTCGTCATTAGAAAGCTCGGTTGGGGCCATTTTTCCACTGTTTGGTTATCGCGAGATACAACGACTGGCAAGCACGTTGCTCTAAAGGTCGTACGCTCCGCCGCGCATTATACAGAAACCGCTATAGATGAGATCAAACTCTTAAAACGAATTGTCGATGCAAAACCCGATCACCCCGGTCGCAAACATGTTGTCAGCCTTCTCGATTCATTTGAACACAAAGGGCCAAACGGTGTCCATGTATGCATGGTGTTTGAAGTGCTTGGTGAAAACTTGCTAGGTTTGATCAAGCGATGGAATCATCGCGGAATCCCTATGCCTCTCGTCAAGCAAATCACAAAACAAGTCCTTTTGGGCTTGGACTACCTCCATCGTGAATGTGGCATCATCCACACAGACCTAAAACCGGAAAATGTACTGATTGAGATTGGAGATGTCGAGCAAATCGTCAAAGCCCACGTCAAGGAAGAAGAAATGAAAAACGAGAAAGAAGACCACCGAAATGGCCGCAGGAGGAGACGCACCCTCATTACCGGCAGTCAACCCCTCCCGAGCCCGCTTAACACAAGCTTCAACAATGTAGATCCATTCAAGTCCTATACCCCCACCCAAAGCTCTCATAGTAGCCTACACCAGGTGTTATATGACTCGCCAGGTAAGGTTATCCGGCCGGCCAAAGATTTCCTAGGTATTCCAGCTTACGTTACTTCAAATAGCGACGCCATCGGGGTTATCCATGAAGGATCTGCTCGGGATCAAAGACGCGGAGAAGCTTGCAGACGAGAAACAAAAGCAAAGAGAGAAGACAACGTAAGACTTTCTCAGTCTATTGCGTTTTGCTTGTGCTTACCCTTCCTAGTGACATTCTGGAACGTGAGGTGTCTGGTATAAACCTAGAGAGAACCGCAACACCGGACCAGATGACCGGAGATGAGCCAACTGTCGAGATAATTTCTGTCAAAATTGCTGACTTGGGAAATGCCTGCTGGGTCGGGCACCATTTCACGAATGACATTCAGACCCGGCAATACCGGTCGCCAGAAGTTATCCTTGGTGCAAAATGGGGTGCCAGCACAGATGTATGGAGTATGGCAGCAATGGTAAAGATGATCCATCATTCGAATTGCTTTTACAAGATTGAGCCTAATGCCGTGATCTAGGTTTTCGAACTCGTCACAGGGGACTACCTCTTTGACCCCCAGTCCGGCACCAAATACGGAAAAGATGACGACCACATTGCACAAATAATCGAGCTCTTAGGCCCCTTTCCCCGATCCATGTGTGTATCCGGCAAATGGAGTCAAGAAATTTTCAACCGTAAAGGGGAACTGCGCCACATCCACCGTCTCCGCCATTGGGCTTTACCGGATGTGCTTCGCGAGAAATATCACTTCAGCACCGAAGAAAGCAAAGCCATTTCGGATTTTCTCACGCCAATGTTGGAGCTCATACCTGAGAGAAGGGCAAATGCTGGTGGCATGGCAAACCACCCTTATCTCAAGGGTACGAAGGGAATGGATCATATACATTTGAGCGTTCCTGTTGGAAGTAGAGGTGAAGGCATCTCTGGTTGGGCATCAGAAGTCAAGAAAAGATAGATCAAGTCCATTCAATGATCTCTTTCGCTTTTGGTTGCAAGTAACTACTGGATGTCTTAACCTTGGCTCATCTTTCCCACCTGTTTAACCATTTATTCACGGCTGTTAAAGGTATACTGGCTCAATTTCCTGATGAGTGTTGGCGCGGTGTCTCCATTGAACAAGAGATATAATTTTGCAATGACTTGGCTTTCCCTCTTTTACCCCCGTTACATTGGATCCAGCGTTGTCCTGATCTCTCTCCATTCGGTTGTATTTTTCCTTTTGGTTCGTTTTCCGTCCGCCTCCCCCATCTGATAGCATACATGTTCGACCCGACCATTAATCTCCAACCCCTATATCTCGGTGCAGGAAAGCAAATGGATTTAGATAGATAGATCAGCTATGGTTGTTTTGTATCACACCCGTTGTTGGCGTTTGTTTGTGCGATGAAAGAAGGGGCGGTGGTGCCTATGATTCGACCCGAAATACAAGAAAATAGGACGGGGAAGAGATTGCATTGGAAATGGAAGGGTATCTGATATATGTTCTTTCTACGCTTCAAACGGCTTGGTTTTCGTCTATTGTTCTTCACAAAATAAAACAGAGATACGACTTGGATGACTTGGATGTGTTTTACGTCTCTCCTTTTTCCTTCCCTCCCCCTTTTCTTTGTACTTAGTGGGATCCTTCTCTCATTCCGGTCTTGCGCGATGGTTCTATTGTGCCCGCTCGTTTCTGCAATTTGCTGTCGTATATTCTCTCTGACATAAAAGGCGAAAGCGTCTACAAAGGTGTAAGGGTCGTAAAATTCTCCTTTCCAAAAACGGGCCGTAAATGTTTTAGCAGCATCCACAGCCGCGATGGGCGTTTTGCATAAAGCGACCAAATGGTATTAATTCATTCAATGGAATAACTTCCTAAGTTTTTTCCAGTCAAACACCTGCGCTTGCGTCCCTAACTCCCTCATTACGCCGATAAACCACCAAAGGCCCCCAGCCCGCAGGATGTGCTCACTCATCCATCTGCCATGCATATTCCAACCCTTCATTCCTCTCCCGGCGATTGCGCGCATCAAACCACTGCTTTTCAAACCCATTACTCCGATCCACCCCATCCCATCTATGCCCAGGGCGAATCCCATACCGATTCGGCGGCGCGGCGCCCTTGTACGCTTTCTTCCCACCCAGCCCCCCCCACCGCCGCGCGCAGACGGCTTGGTCAAAAACTCCGCCGCGGGGTCATTCCACCTCTCTCGCGCCCTCAGCTCCGCATTCAGGTCCTCATCCTCCGCCGTGCGCGCCAACGGCATATACCTCGCCTCCTCCACCAGCTTCCTCCGCTCCTCCTTTTGCTTCCGCTGCACATCGCCCGTCAGCGCCTCCTTCGCCGCCACCTCCTTTGCCGCCGCCTCCTCCGCAGCTTTGCGCACTTCTGCCCGCTTCATGGCAACATTGATAATCCGCCCCGACGCGTCTCGATAGATGGTCTCCGCCTCTTGGTTCTGCGCCTTGCCGCCGGCTCCCTTTGCACGCAGCGACGCTGCGTCCTTGGCGTGCTTGCGTTCTTGCGCCGCGACCATGGCCGCCGTCTGGGCGGCGGTCTGCAGTCCCGCCCGCGCCCCGGATTCCATTCGCAGGCCTGCATTCTCGCCGTCCTCGTCGGCGACGACTAGGGGTTTCTCATCGTCTGCATCTGTTCGCGCCGTTTGTTCCGCGGCCGCGGAGGCGAGGATTGCGTCGGCGGCGATTTGGTCCGCGTTGCTGGGGGCGGTTGGGCCGGCGACGGTTTTCCATTTGGAGGTGGATTTTTTGAATTCTCTGGTTGATCCGGCGATCGTTGCTTCTAAGCCTGTATCGTCGTCATCGTCGTAGCCCGTTCTTCGACGGGAGGGTTGAGGCGCAGCAGCGGTTGAGCGGAGGTCTGGAGGGTCGTCGTCGGCGATTATAAGACCCTCTCCAGTGTCATCGGTGTGCTTGGTCTTTTTGCGCTTCTTTTTGGGGCGATCGGAGGGTAAGGAGTCTGCGTTGAGGTAGTTTTTGGCTAGGTAATCTGCGAGGGACATGATTTATTCTTCATGTTTTGTCGAATTGCTGGATGTCGTCGAGCTGGGAAGCTTTCAAGCAAACCATGATTATGTAATCACAATGTCCACGAAGCAAACGAGGAGCTCAGGACTCTTCTCATACACAGTGATTATTGGAAATCAGGATAATATATACATAATGATAAATTCCCTCAATGAGTGGCATCGAAAAACCCACGCCTGTCCCCCATTAAAACGAGTATATAGATAACCAGACTGCCAAAATTATATCCGAGGTCTATATCATTCACAGTTTCGATCCACCTCCCACGGACGCTGGAGGTCTATCTGATGGCGTGATCAAAGGATCGTATACCGACTCAGCAAGTCTGTCCACTGGATTTGGAACGGAGTGGTGACCTAGGCCTCGAATATCAAGCAAGTCTGGGGTCAGCTGGTCAACGCTTGTGCAGCCCAAGAGTCGCATGTTCATAGTCATTTCATCCTTGAGCAATTGCATTGCTCGTTCAACGCCGGGGACGCCGTAGGTGCTCATGGCATAGAGGAATGGTCTACCAATTCCAACACCTTTCGCACCGAGACAAAGAGCTTTGATGATATCGGTGGCCCGTCGAACGCCGCCATCCACAAAAACCTCGATTTTGTTTTCCCATCCCCGGGCTCGAAGAGCCGGCATTACATCAGCCAGTAGTTCAATCGCCGACGGAGCGAATTCGAGTTGACGTCCACCGTGGTTGGACAAAACAACAGCGGGAACGCCCATTTCCACTGCGCGGAGGACGTCATCCACACGCTGTACTCCTTTTAGCGCAATGGGCATTTTGGTAATGGACTGGAACCATGGAATATCTTTCCACGAGAGCGAAGGGTCGATAAAAGAGGAGATTGCTCTTGCAGCTCCTTGAGAGCGGTCTACGCTGTTATCGGTTTGTTGAACATCTGAGCCGGGATCAGAAAATTTAGATCGCATATCTTTTTCTCGTCGACCTAGCTGTGGGGCGTCGACGGTAATAAAAAGACCTTTGCAGCCTCGCTTTTCTGCATGGTTCACAATCTTTCTCGTTATGTCACGGTCTTTATTGACATATAGCTGCAACCATTGAGTCTGCTTGTCTATCGCAGCATCGACAATCTCGTCAAATGAGCAGGATGCGAGAGTGGGTATCATCTGGACAACATCGTGAGATGCGGCGGCTTTGGTCAGGCAAACTTCGCCGTCGGCATGGCCAAGTTTGCCAAGAGCCGTGGCGGTGACGTAGAATGGAACAGACACTGGAGTTCCAAGCATGGTGGTCGAGATATCAACATTCTCGACGTCGACCAGGATACGGGGACGGAACCAGATTTTGTGGAAGGCGGAATGGTTTTCTCGCATGGTCTGTTTCCCATTGTCAGCAGTGGAAGGGGTTTCACGGGCATGGGATTGCCCTACAATTTCATCATCTGCGCCACTCGAATAGTATCCCCAAGCCGTTTTCTTCATCACTCGGCGAGCGACGGCTTCAAAGTCCATCAGGTTATAGCACTGTTCCAGCAAGGGCATCCGCTTGACACGCTCCTGGCGCGCCTCCTCCTCTGGATCCACCCCTTTGTCTTCCTGCATGACGGTGTTCATGTCGACGGGGCCTAGGTGCTTGGAGGGATCGAGATACTTGTCCAGTGTGTCTGGGGGGTGAATTGGGTCGAACTCTTCGGTCGCGTCCTTACCCGCATATTTGAGGATGATCTTCTGGCCACCCGGATGCTCTTTGTTAATGTTAGCAAAGCTGACGACCCGGTGATCAAGGCGTCCGTGGAGAGTTCGTACCGGGAAGGAAATCGGTCACATCGTAGGCCTTGCCGTGGACGATGACCCAGCATGATTTAGCAGAGTTGTGTTTCGCAATCTCCGCCCCGGTCAGGGGCTTCTTGGTTGACATCCTAACTGTGAATTGAGGAGTCAGGAGCGAAGAGCTCGTTCAGACGAGACACCACAAGGCGGCAACGAGATAGTGTATGTCTAAGAGTCTAGCAATGAGGGTATCTTAGGATTGATCAGGCAAGCAAAGATATTACAGAGAAGATGCCAACTAGTCTAGACGCAGGCGCATGGCCGGGGTTGGCGGTTTTATTAGACCGGGAGCAAAGGGAGTCCTGAGCAAGGGCAATGAGACCTATTGAAGTGGGTAGCAGGACGTTGCCATCACCGATTAGGCGGTCTCGTGCGAGAAGGCCAGAGGATCCCGTCGCTCAGATCTGATGCAGAGCGGCTTCTTCTCGTTTTATCTTCCTGCTTTCGACGAGCGAAGCAGCGAGAGACAAACAGAGCAAAATCGGAGCGCGGGAACGGATTATGTAAGCACAAGAGTCTGGCGCTAGGCCTATTGCGGCAACATCCTCGGCACAACGGGGTGCACCAGCCACAGATGCCGGCCCACCAGCCACACTCTCGGCTTTAACGACCCCGCCATTTCGGCCCAGACCGCCCGGCGGCAAAAGCGCGCGGCCGAAACGGACAATTAAGATCGCAACAACATCACCAAGGGGTTGCGACGGTGAGGCCAGGCGACCTGGTTCATCCTTGACCGCTCTGCCGCACCCAAGTCGAGCGACGCACACCGCGACATCAGAGCCGACATCGTTTGCAGAGAAGAAACACGAAGGGAGTGCGCCAGCTCCCCCTCTCGGCCGACTTGCTCCCCATGCCAAGCCGTTTCCAGCGCGCTCTTTCGCTTCAGGGCCGCTCGTTGAAGAATGGGACCTGCTCTTTCGCTGTGAGGTGGAGAGGAAAAGTCGGAGAACGCAACCCCCTGGAGCTGAGCTCCCAACCCTGGCCCCTGGTACTGGAATCGTCCCCACCAATTGATCCATCGAGCTCTGACTCTATGCTCGGGCTCTCCGATTTCTCCTCCAGATCCCTTGTGCTGGCATCGGCCCGACTGCAGCATTGTGGATGAAGAGCGACTTCCCACATCAGTTAGCGTGGAATATCTCCCGATTCCTTTGGGTGCGCTTGTCGATGAGAAGCATCAATTTGGAGATCTCCTGGCGTCATCGCATCATTAACCGGCACTGTCGCTTGGTGGCCAAACACCTCTGCTCAAAGGGCGGGTTCAGAACGCAAGAGAACTGTTCGAAGCAGCGATGCAGTGTAGAAAACTGCGCAGGGTAGGTACAATCGTCAAATTCCGAACGGACCAAAGCTGGCATCAAACCGTACCTCCGGTAGGTCTCAAGCGGTTTGTTATGCGTGTTTTGCAGCCATGGCTAGCACAAGGAGGGCCAGCCTCCTACGAGGAGATATCTCCCTGGAACGGGCGCTCGAAAAGGAGGAAAACATGATTGTGCGTCTCCAGTGGCCGAAGGACAAGTTGGCCTTCCGCGACTACCTTGACGACAGCCACCATTCCATCCAACAGATTGTGTCTCATCACCTGGGCCTCTCGCGGTCTCATCTTTGCCAGATATCCCACCATTCCGACTGGATCTATGGCGGCTTCAATGTTTGCATTCCAGTCGCTGTCACCGACTCTCGTTCCCGGCGCCGTTTTATGCTGAGATGCCCCTTGCCCTATCAACTAGGCTCGGATATCGAGGAGAAGTTGAGATGCGAAGCCGCTACCTTTGAGTATATCCGGGAAAACTGCCCCGACATACCAATTCCATACCTCTGGGGCGTCGGTCTCCCGAGTGGAGAAGCTGTAAGTACAAATATAAACGTGGGAATGCGCAAAGGCCTGACTAACTTGTCCTAATTACTACGATAATTTTAGTTTACTCCGCTTTCCCAGCTGCCGCTTCTTCGTCGATGCTTAGAACATCTGCGGCGTACTTTTTTGTGGCTGTTCCGAAAACCCCTTCCCTGCGCACTATCCAGCCACCCATCTCGCTATACCTTGAGTTCAGGCTATCTTTTGATGGATTACATTGATAGTTCGCAGGGGCAACTCCTTTCTTCCGTTTGGCCTGACGCACGTCATGACGAGGAGCTGCGGCATAACTTTTTCAAGTCCCTCTCTAGGATCATTCTTTCTTTAGGTCGAACCCCGTTGCCGCGCATAGGTTCTTTCACCTTGAGCAACGATGGCGTTTTGAGCCTCACGAATCGCCCACTGACCCTCAGGCTCCCGGCTCTAGAAAATGAAGGCATTCCTACTGACATTCCGCGAGACCTCACGTACATCACGGTGGATTCTTACCTTGCCGATATATTGCGATGCCACGACGCTCGCCTAAAACTCCAGCCTAACGCTGTTAATGACCAGTACGATGCTGAGGGACAGATGGCCGTTTTAACCATAATGCGTGCCCTGCCGCTAACCAGACGTGATCTTCGGCATGGGCCTTTTGTCTTCCATCTTACGGACCTCCACCCTGGCAATATATTTGTGGATGGTCAATGCAATATCATCGCCGTGGTCGATTTGGAGTGGGGTTGCTCATTACCTGTAGAGATGGTCTCTCTGCCATACTGGTTGACGGGCCGATATGTCGATATGCTGACTGGGGATGCGCTTGACAGATTCAACGCTATGCGCGAAACATTTATGGCTGTCTTTGCACAGGAAGAGCAGTCCTATTGCAACCGCGACCCCACCGATGAGCAATCTCGTACTATGATCATGAAAAGGGCCTGGGAGATTGGTACATTTTGGTATTTGAGTGCTCTCGCTAATCCAAAAGGAACATACAACTTGTTCCACCATCATTTGCAGCCTATTTTCGCGCCAGAACAATGCATCGATGCCGATGAAGAAGATGCCGTGATTGCGTTTCATGAGATAGTATCCAAGTATTGGATTGCGGGAGCCGACGAATTTATTGACGTGAAAATCAATGATAGAAAGCGATACCGACGAGATTTGCGAGTTAGTTTTCAAAATGCTCTGCATGTCCCTGTGGACACACCGCTACATGCAGGCTTGCCTCAGAACCAGGATGCATCACTCGACTAGAGCAATACGGCCATTCCTCTCCTCGGAGTCATGGACGAGCATGGGTGGAATACTACGTAGCGGCTGAATTTTAACCCAGTGGGAGACATGGCCTAGAAGGGGATATTGTCATAAAATTCGTATAGATCATGTTACAAGTCTTGAAATAGCAATCATAATGCTAAGTGGTATCTCATAGAAGCATCAAGCATGTATTTACTGTTCCGAAGGTGTACTCAAATGCTATCCCAAGACAAGACGGGCTTGATAACCTGCAGCACAAAAGGACTCAGTATGTGGTCTGGTTATTTATTGGGCTTGGAAATCTCTGCAAGCCTACCTTTCCGGTTTTAAGATCTTCTATCGCCTGGTCCAACCGTTCAGCGGGATAGACGGTTGAAATGCGATCAACGGGGAAGTTTCCTTGTCGATATAACTTCACGAGTTGAGGAATGATCTAGGGGTCAACAGTATCAGTTTCTAGAAAAACGGGGCAAGCACTTTTTTTTCAGTTTGGAATGCGTTTACCTCCTTTGAATCCGCAAAACCTTCAATCACGCCAATGACTCGTTTGCATGAGACAAGTAAATCCAAGGCATCGATCTGAATCGAGTCTCCAGGGCGCGGAACGCCGACCACGGCGAGCACGCCCTCGTGCCCCAGGGCTTTCATGGAAGCTTGCATAAGGGCCGACACGCCGGTAGTATCGATGATCTGGTCCACGCCATCCGGGAAAAGCGCTCGAATACCGGAGCAGAGGTCGGGAACTTGTTTGGTGTTGATGGTGTGCGTCGCGCCCATGGAGAGGGCCAGTTCGAGCTTGGAGTCCACAATGTCCACGGCGATGATCTGACCAACGCCCATGGATTTGGCGGCAAGCAATGCCGCCAGGCCGACGGCACCCATTCCCAAGATGGCGATTGTGGACTCGGGTTTGGGGCGGAGGGCGTTGAACACGGTTCCGGCGCCGGTGGAATACCCGCAGCCCAGGGGGGCTAGGTATTGAAGCGACTTGTCGTCCACCTCGCATTTGACGACGGAGTCTTGTGCGACGATGGCGAGTTTGCTGAGGGAGGATTGCCCGAAGAACTGGCCATGAACGGGCGTGCCGTCGGGAAAGGAGTATATGGGCTTCGCGCCCTCGCGGCGACGGGCGCTGACAAAGTTGTATTCGGTCATATGGGGGCACGCTCCGCACCGGCCCTCCAGGCAGGGCGAGCACTGTCGACAGGTACGGAATCCGAGGAGGACGGCATCCCCTTCGCTGAGAGATTTATCTTTCACCTGCGATCCAATCTGCCGCACGATGCCCACGCCCTCGTGGCCGAGGATGGCTGGGTAGCTTCCAATGGGCATTCCGCCATGTTGGACGACAATGTCCTAGGATTAAGGAAATGAGCACTTGAAAGCCAGAGCCCTTCATTTGAAGAGTGCTTGATCAGGTAATGGACTAACAGTATGACAGATCCCTGTGTACTTTAATTCCACCAGGACTTCGTCTGGCTGCAAGGCGTCTAGGATGACATCTCGCAGGGTAAACGGAGCGCCTTGGGACTCCACCACATACGCCTTGGTAGTAATTCTCTGGGAATCAGCCATTGCTTCTTCGATGGCTCATCAGAGAGGAAAGCGATCTCTAATTTTTCAAGCCGAAAATCCGCCATCTTGTCCCAAACCCGTCTTTATGGATATAGTTATACCGGCAACAACTCTACCCCACAGAGTCCGCTTCCGACTCGGACTCCAGCCACGAAGAAATCCTCACAGAACCGCAGTATCATTATGCCGGGCGACGTGCGGGGTGGGAAACGCCCTCGACGATCCGAATTCTCGGGAGCAGATTTCGGAAGCAAAACCGAACGGGATCGCGATCCACGGTTGGATGGAGAGGCTGCGGAAAGCTTCTTTGCAGCCGAGTTTGAAGCGGAGGTTTAATCAGCGGTTGCGGGATTCCGACTAGATATTCAATCTGAAATGTCGTGTTGTTGGTACCTCCATAGCTGTGTAGTGTTGACAAGCTACAGAGTAGTTAACAGTATGATGGCTTGTTCGCGTCTGACTCCCTAGCGTGACTCTTCCTGATGGCACAGCATGTCAGCTTAGGCTGAGTAGCCGGAGCCACTGGCATGCTTCAGCAAACTCCGGCTGCATGAAGCACGGAGAAGACAGCTTGCACCCGTGACTGGCCCTCCAGGATGAATGATACCGTCAGCCTCCTTGAATGAGTCTCGTTTGGCTGAGGATTTCTGCCTTGGACCTTTGACGATTCTCGTCCAACCGGCCTCGAAACAGAAGAGTGACTCGAGAACAATTCCACTCGTTTCACAATCCCCCAGCTGCTTTCAACCCGGTTGCCTTTCAAATCTTGCAGTGACATGAGCGTGCTCTTCCCTCCAACACTCCCCCATAGGCAGTGCCGCTCTCGTTATGAGTAATAGCCTCGAGGCCAAAATCGTCGTGCTGGGTGCTCAAGGTAAGTTGCTCCGCCCGAGCTCTGTTTCCTGCGTTAACTAACCGCTACGCTCGGTGGCCCGTCCAGGCGTCGGAAAGACCTCCCTCGTCCAGCGCTATGTCAGAAATTCCTTCAACCCCTCCACCACTGTCTCGACGGTAGGCGCGTCTTTCGTGACGAAACGCGTCCTCGATTCTACTTCCGACACTATTGTGAGATTACAAATCTGGGACACCGCCGGCCAGGAACGGTTTCGCAGCATATCCCGTCTCTACTACCGTGGAGCCAACGCCGGTGTTCTCTGCTACGATATCACGGATGAAGACAGCTTCCGGGAGATGACGGGCTGGCTGGGTGAGCTGAAGGAGAATCTCGGGGAGGAGAACCCCATCATAATTCACGTGGTTGGGACAAAGTCCGACATTGTCGCGGATGATCCAAGCAAGCGGAAGGTCCCTTTTGAAAAGACCATAGCCTACGTGGCGGAACAACTGTATCCATCGCAAGCGTCAACACCCCCGCCGAGCTCAGGAATGGGAATGTTGGGCGCCTCAGCAGCTACAGCTTCAAATCACAATGGGCCCGAGAGCAAACGCAGCAGCGGATTTTGGGGTCAAGATATCGGCTGGGACTGTTGCCACGAGATCAGTGCCAAAGATGGAGAAGGAATCGAGGAAGTATTCCGGGTCATCACTCGGAAGCTAGTTGAGCAAAAGAACAAGAAAGTCGAGGCGCAGGCAACACGGCAGAGAAGCGTTCGCAGGAGAGAGAGGCCGTCGACATCCATAGATGGCCACACAATTGACAACAATGCGGACAAACGGCGCAGCTGGCTGGGATTTCCGCCTACCTTGGTTTTGAATGACGAGAGCGAGAATGACGAGACGAATTGCTCTCCTAAACGAAAACAGGGGAAATGCTGTTGACCTTTTTCCAAACGGCACGCAAGAGCCTTTGAATGCTAATGAAGAACTACAGATGTTTGTTACGTCAACAAATGGATAGAGCGGTCATGGCGTATCGGGTTTCGGGGGCATCAATTTCGGACATGACCATATGGGCGCTTTTCATATTTGACTATTGCTTTGCTGGAGATTTCTGGTGTTGTTGCATCTATGCAGAATTCCACTCTCGCATTTCAAAGCGTTTTGCTTTTCCATCTCCTTTTATGGAATGCGTTAACCCTGCAGAATACTTTTTATAATATTAATGAAGAATACTATGGAGACCCTATTCGGGCAAGCCAGCTAGGCCCCTTTTCAGACTTGATTGCATACTATGCTCTCTGCAAAGGACAGAGCAATCTGATACTCTCTCCCAATGCATTTGGAACAGGCTGGAAGGAGATGTCGACCCGGTGACTGAGCGACCTTCCATTCCAGTGAATCAGCAGGTGAGCCTCAGTCGAGTATAAATGAGGCATGCACCGCTGTTCTTGTACGTTCCATCTCCAAGCACATACCGTCTCTTCACTTGGGAAATTCGACATGGCGTCCCAGTACAATGTCCACGAGTATGACTCCGAGGCCGAGCGCAGAAAGTATCCTCTCGTCCAGATGGAGAACCTAACATCTGCCGCTCTGTATTTTACTGGAAAGCTCAATTCTAAAAACATCGCATCCTCGCTCTGGGGCGGGCTTGCCGTCAAAGTGCTAGGGGGAACACGCGACACGCGCAATGTCGATATCATTTTTCAGGCGCGGATGGAGGACGTATGGAAGATCGTGCAAACTGAACGTCGGTATGGCTGGCTGGGGGGCGATTGCAGGCGCATCTTGTCGATTGCGATTTGGCTAACGCGATAGTCCATCAGCCTGATCATCCCTAGCACCAAGCCGGGTGGAGCGACGGTCAAAATTTTTGTTCATACGGGCCCCGGCTACGATGATTGTGAGCTGAGAGTGCCAGTGGCAGTCAACCTGTGTGAATCCGGTATATCCATTCCAGTCTTTGTCGCCTTGATCCCCTTCATAGTGCTAAGATACTCGAACGCTATGTAGGATTCGGAGGCAGTCCCAAGGATTTGGCTACCAGCCGGCTTTTATCTACTCTTGACACGCTTGCCGGGCACAAGCCAGTGCACCTCCTGGGCATATTTGATATCGTCAACATCAAACTTGCCGCTTTTCTCGATCGCCGCCAGGACAAAGATAAAGAGGACGCGCTGTTTCTAATGGAAAGATACCCGGAAAAAGTCTGTACAAGGATCAAACGCCTGCAGGTGGAAGCAGTCAGCGAATTCATCAAGGCCATTCCAGATGAGAGCCGCAATCGGCTTATCGACGAGATTTTCGAGTACAAAATCGCTGATATCACCCCCTTGGCGCATCGCGAGTTTGCTCGGCTCCTGAAAACAAGACACTATGCAATCCAGCAAGCCGCCGCGAGCACGGCTTCGAATGCCGCGAGCCCATGAGCCCAGGCTTCGCGACGGTTGGCGGCTTGGCTGGGGCCAGGGAACAATGAACTGGCATGTGCAGCGAATCCAGAGTCTGAACGGAGCCTCGCATTGTTCTGATGGCAGTTTATTTTCTCAAGGGCTTCCGGCAAAAATGACCTGCTGTCCTTCTCATTTTCGCCCGTGTGGCTACAGTTCCTGTCGTCTCATCCTTGGGAGCACTCTGTACCATCCAGGTTAAATCGCTAATAATCCATTCAATTCAAGCCCTGCTCAAATCCGTCGTAGATGTCTATGATCATGTCGCAGGCGTCGATGGACGTGCGTTCGGTCGGAACATGTGTGTCTGCTGGTAGGGGGATTGATCTCGCTTCACGCTGCATGCGTGAGCTGCTTCTGATAACTAGTTAACGCCCTGCTCCTTTTTTAGTGATAACGTCGTTTCTGGATGCTACAAAGCTCGTGGAGCGGCTGAAGGCCTCAAACGACACAGTAACAGACGAGGCGGTGCTCGATCTCGAGAACTCTCTTCTTCTCGGCCCTCCGATTGTCCAGGGCCAGTATGATCTGAATTTCCGTCGGTTTGGAGATGCGTACGAAGCGGGAGATCAGAGCGCCCGCGAGACTCTGAAAGATGTCATGATCAATCTACAGCTCACTCTGCTGGCGACTCTTCGCATGGCGCTCCTAGACAATGCCCATCCCGATATCCCCAGTTTACAGATTGCGTCGGATAATGGCCGTTTGGATACCCTGATGTGCTTGTACAAGCTGGGCCAGCGCATGGCGGCGAACCCTGTTCCCGCGTCGCTTGCGGGAAAACGCTCGAAGCCGAATATGGCTCTGGAGTCTACGCAGCGGATGCCACCTTCACTGAATACGAAGCCGTTGACGATGCACGCGAATCCTATGCAGCAGCATCCACTCCGACTGTCCCTGACGCAGAGTGATTCGTCTTATGATACGCGCAATTACCTGTCTCCCACTTCTCCAGCCAGCGACATGTCTATTACGACCCCCATATCGCCATTTAGCCCCTTCCCCAAGGATGCGACTCAGAACAGGAACACCAGGACTGCGAGCGTCGATTCTTCAGTCGGGAGTACTTTCAGCGGGAGCCGCTACCCGTATTCTACCTACTCTTCTCGGGCGTCTGGGATGGATGCGTCGATCCCACCTATTCACGAAACCGAGATTAGATCAAGTAGTATCTACAGCGAAAGCGTATACAGCGAAATATCGACTCGCCCGTCCATGGCCCCTACAAGCGGTGGTGCAGGAGATGCGTCCGTCGTGCTAGGACCTACCCGGCATGGGCCATACGGCAGAGAAGGCGGTTCCCAAGAAACTATACCTAATGAGCAAGGCGCCCCTGCTTCCCGCTCTGGGTCGCTACTTTCCGGTTTGCCAAGTCGTAAGAAGCGGATTTCGGCTTCGTCTGATGAAAAGGATATATCTGGCCCGACTTCTCGCTCCATCTTTGGTTTCAGTCGGAAAGCCCCGTCCGCTCAAACGGAGTCTGTGCGAACGAATTCCACCGCATTATCCGTATCCACGACGGGACCAGAAAGTTCCATTCCTACGGGCCTCTATCTGCCTGGCGAAGAAAATAAATTCGCTGGTTTCTGCAAAGGCGCGTGGAAACTACAAAACGGGATGAAAAAGGCTTTCCGGCTTGATTTCCGGCCTTCTGGCATGTATCTGCAAATTTCGACGTGGCGCTGCACAAAGTGCATGTTTGAAGGCCCCATGGGCCACACGCCCACCATCAGTCGCAATTCTCCCTCCGCAGCCATCCAGGGTTACGCTCGCACCACACCTCTTACTGGAAGCTCATCACAGGATTTCGACCAGCGCGTGCGCCTCCACGGTCCCACTGGAATCCGATATCGCTGGGCCTTCCTTGCCAAAAGTCATGTTTCAGTCAGGGTTGCACCCAAATCCGATGATGGAACGGAAGGCCGGTTCGCGTGCATATACTGCTGCGTGGAGCAGCGAGGGCCTGCGCCCATGTTTGCGGATATAGATTCATTCATGCAACACTTGCTGATTCACGCTGGATCGCTAAGTGGTACGATAGACGCGAGGACACAACGGGTGCCGCCGCAAGAGTTGCTAGATTGGACCAAATGTATCCTGGGGCGGGTCGCTACGGAGGGAGAAGGGTTTGATATTAATATTCCCACACCAGTGGCGGAGATTGGTGGATGAAATGGTTCCTTCTCGCCTTGGTGATAATCCGACCTTTGCATTGATCCTGATCTTATCAATGGACGGCCGGTTGTATGAAGTTATTTGATCTGTATTAATGGAATTATAGCTTAGCCTTGGGTATTAGAATGCCATCATTGTATTGTGGCTGACCAAGCTATATTGCAAAAGACAACAAGATCAACAACCAAGTAAACCAGCACGTGTTGGGCATATTCAGATCCATATTTGCAGCACTTCACATCACCACACAGCATGAGTTTTGCTTTTTCGCCTGGCCATAGAACATCTTGCTCTGGGCGCTGAGACCATCGCTCTTTGCAACCAAACTATCAATCTTCTCACCCCGCTCCAAAACACTCTCAATCGTTTTGTGCAACACAATCTTGGTCTCATCCAACTCCTTTTGAATCTTCATGATACTATCCGCCTGGGTGGGATCCTGGTATTTGGCGATATAATCCTTCAACTGCGGGAACGGCAGATTGCCTACGTCAGGGGCAATGAAGGCGGTGCGGGGGTATTTGGCAAGGAACTCGTCGAGGATCTTGGAAAGGAGCTGATGGGCCACGAGGCCTGGATAGTCTGCGTCGGAGATTATAATGCCGGCAACGCCTTCGGTCCGGCCGTAGGCGTGGAAGGTGTAGGACTTTTCTTCAATGTCTTGTCGTTGGCCGGGGCGGGTTCGTTCGGCGACGGTTTTGGAGAAAAGGGTCATGAATTCGCCGTAGCTGGAGTTCTTTTTGTGAGCTTATTTTTTTGGTCATGATATGATATCGGGGGGCGCGGCGAATGGGAAAAAAAAAGGTACCTGTCTTTGGTGAATCGGGAGAAGCTGCTGAGGTCCATCTCGCGGCACAGCTCCATGGCTGGCCGGGTTTCGTTCCGGAGGATCTGGGAGATGGGGGGTTCGTTAGGGCATGCTAGATTTAAGAGACATACTTGGATTGGGAGGGGGAGTACGTACTCCGATGTAGAATATCTTCATGTTTATCCCTGGTTTATAGGAGTGAGGAGGCTGGTAGCTGGGTGCGAAGCGCGGGGACTGACGTTGAGGACCTTTGGGCGAGGGGCTGGGGAATGCTATGACAGAATAAATAGGGTGATGGATTCGTGCTTTTGATTAAGTGACGAGCACTGTGCTTTGTAGAGTGCTGGTGGAAGCTACAAGAGTATTGTGGTGCCTGTTCCGCTTGTAGTTCACAGAGTCACATGCGATCCTTCAATGGCGGGTTGGGATGAGGCTGTGGCTGCTCTCCTGTCTAGTTATCCCATGTGGTGATGGCGTTGCTGGTGCGGTGGGAGCGCTGTCATCTAGTTAGCTAACTAACTACCTAGCTAGCTAGTTGTATCAGTGGCTTCTAACACAATCACTTGTCTCTTCACCTTCAGCCTGGGAATTACTCCGTAGTTATCCTCACTCTGTCTTCTCTCAATGACATCAAGCAGCCGTTTCTCAGTCTGGCGCCAACTCTGGCTGCTTTAAAAACGCTGACATAAGTTCTCCTGTGCTTAGTTCATCGCACTCTGACTTCACATCAACATCAATGAAGCAGATGTTGAAACTCCCAGTCTTGAGGGATGGATGCAAGTTTAACCCAGGGATTTAAATCTATTATTTAATTGATACCCATAGACCTGGTTATTCAAGTTTGGCCCTGGAGATACTTATAGAGCCGACTCCGCCATGTCTTCCTCTTCTGCCCTGTCTGAGTCACAATGGCTCGCCCAACTACAGGCCATGAAAGATGCAATAGATAGTCTAAAGGTGCCAAATGATGCCGATATGTACGGCGCTGATTTAAACCTAAGTGATGAGGACTTTTCTTCCCTGCCTGCATCTACAGACGACATTTGGGATATGATTAGCGACGATGAAGATACTGCCGACGACTTTGACGACATTAATGGTGTCCCTTTACCGGAAGAACCAGTAATCTCATCGGATGGCTCCTATGACCAGATCTGGCTTGGAAGGAAGTGTCAGTCGATCGCACAGCGAATGCAAGGATTAGATGCCCTGGAATTACAGCAGCAGTTGAACGCCATCCTCTCAACTGACAGTTCGGACGAGGAGCTACAAATGACCCTCGCTGAAATTATTGGCTTTGATGATCTGGATCTTGTTATTGACCTTATTGCTCATCGGAAAGAGCTTTTATCGTCTCCTTCACAGCCGAACGACCCAATTCTGTCAAAACTACAAACAAAAGCCCAGAGAGAGGAGGCCCTTCGACAGCAAGATTATGAACACAAGCATGCCAAGCTTGCTTTGAAGCAAGATCGAGAAGGTCCTCGTTACCCGCACGTTTACAAAACCTACGACGCGGGGAATACGCTTTCTATCAATGGTAGAAAATACGGTCTTCCCGTCGGTAGCGCTCACAGGGAAGAGCCGCGCTATACTGAATACGCTATTCCTGCCGCCAAAGTTGGGACTTTGGGTGTTGGGCAGAAATTGGTTTCGATTTCCGAAATGGACGGTTTGTGCAGAGGCACGTTCAAAGGCTACAAAACTTTGAATCGCATGCAGAGCCTGCTTTATGATGTTGCATACAAAACGAACGAGAATATGCTCATTTGTGCTCCCACTGGTGCCGGTAAAACCGATGCCGCTATGCTTACGATTTTAAATACGGTTGCGAGATATACTCTTCCCAGCCCACTAGAAGAACCGGATGCCTCTGAATTTCTCGTTCAAACGGATGAGTTCAAGATTGTCTACGTCGCCCCAATGAAGGCTTTGGCGGCAGAAGTGACAGAAAAACTAGGGAAACGCCTAGCGTGGCTAGGAATTGAGGTCCGAGAATTGACCGGTGATATGCAGTTGACAAAGCAAGAAATCGTACAGACTCAAATAATCGTTACGACCCCTGAGAAGTGGGACGTCGTGACCCGTAAGAGCACTGGTGATACGGAACTGGTGCAAAAGGTGCGCCTGTTGATCATTGACGAAGTGCACATGCTCCACGACGAGAGAGGGGCTGTTATTGAGTCGTTAGTTGCTCGAACTCAGCGCCAGGTCGAGAGCACACAGTCCCTGATTCGTATCATCGGGCTCTCAGCAACCCTTCCCAACTACCTGGATGTTGCAGACTTTCTCAAAGTCAATCGGATGGCCGGGCTATTTTATTTTGATGCTTCTTTCCGTCCGGTTCCATTGGAGCAACATTTTGTCGGCGTTAAAGGAGATCCAGGATCGAAGAAATCTCGGGAAAATCTGGATTTGGTCACGTTCGAAAAGGTTCGCGATATGCTTGAACAGGGTCATCAAGTCATGGTCTTTGTTCACTCACGAAAAGATACGGTGAATACAGCGAGACTTATAGCGCAAATGGCGGCGGATGAGCAGTGCTCAGACTTGCTTAGCCCGGTAGATCATGAAAACTACTCTCAAGCATTACGAGAACTCAAAACAAGTCGTGGTCGGGAAATCCGTGATTTGGTCCCAAAAGGTCTGGGAACCCATCATGCTGGGATGCCCAGGTCTGATCGAAACCTCATGGAACGGCTTTTTGCCGAGGGTGTTATAAAGGTTCTTTGTTGTACGGCTACACTGGCTTGGGGTGTCAATCTCCCGGCGGCTGCGGTAGTGATCAAAGGAACCCAGTTATACAACCCACAGGAGGGTAAATTCATCGACCTAGGAATTCTCGATGTTCTCCAGATTTTCGGAAGAGCTGGGCGGCCTCAATTTCAGGATACGGGGATCGGCTTTATCTGTACCACCCACAACAAGCTACAGCACTATATTTCCGCAATTACTTCTCAGGAGCCTATTGAATCAAGATTCTCTCGCAAGCTCGTTGACAATCTCAACGCCGAGATCTCTTTAGGAACGGTGACCTCGGTCACAGAAGGGGTCCAGTGGCTTGGCTATTCGTACCTCTTCGTCCGAATGAGGCGGAACCCTCATTCATACGGAATTGACTGGTCTGAAATTCGTGATGACCCCCATCTCGTCCAACGCCGTCGGGATCTAATCATCAAAGCCGCCCGTGTTCTTCAGCAGAGTCAAATGATTATATTCAATGAGGGTACTGAGGAGCTCCGTTCTAAGGACGTGGGGCGAATTGCTAGTCAATACTACATTTTGCAGACAAGCGTGGAGATTTTCAACACGATAATGAACCCTAACGCGAGCGATGCAGACGTGATGAAGATGATTAGCATGAGCGGCGAGTTTGACAATATTCAGTCACGGGAGAATGAGTTCAAGGAGCTCGATAGGCTTCGATTAGAGGGATTACGAACTGAGGTGGAAGGCACAAATGATAGTCCCCACGCGAAGACCAATATTCTACTCCAATCATACATATCTCGGGCTCGCGTGGAGGACTTTGCGTTGGTATCCGATACGGGGTATGTCGCGCAAAATGCTGCCCGCATCTGCCGCTCCTTGTTCATGATCGCACTAAATCGACGCTGGGGGATATCAATGCCAAGTACTTCTCTCGACCTGTAAATCGATTTGAAAAGCAAATTTTGGCCCTTTCAACATCCTTTTTATCAGTTTGATTTGCCACGTCCCATCTTGAAGAATTTGGATGAGAGGTTCCCTGCCTCTTCGGTCGAGTCTATGCGGGATATGGAACCGGCAGAGCTCGGCCAACTCGTCCATAACAAACCGGGATGGGAAATGTGCTTTCGAAACTGTTGGACAATTTTCCAACCCGTAAGTATCGAAGCTGAAATTGCTCCTTTGAATCGGGACGTTCTTCGCATTCGCCTTTATCTATACCCTGATTTCGTTTGGAATGTACGGCATCACGGCACCTCAGAGCCGTTCTGGGTATGGGTTGAAAACTCGGAGACATCTGAGATTTATCACCATGAATACTTCATCCTAAACAAGAAAAAGCTCCACGACCACCATGAACTGAATTTTACAATTCCTCTCTCTGATCCTCTTCCGAGCCAGATTTATGTAAGGGCAATATCTGATCGATGGCTGGGGGCCGAAACCGTGACTCCAGTATCTTTTCAACACCTCATTCGACCAGACACTGTGAGTGTGTATACTGACTTGCTTGACCTTCAACCGTTGCCTATTTCTGCATTGAAAAATCCATCCCTCGAGGAGATATATGGACAAAGGTTTCAATTTTTTAACCCCATGCAAACCCAAATTTTCCATACCCTTTATCATACATCAGCAAATGTCTTATTAGGATCACCGACTGGGAGCGGTAAAACTGTTGCCGCAGAGCTTGCTATGTGGTGGGCTTTCCGTGAGAAACCTGGATCGAAGATCGTCTACATTGCGCCCATGAAAGCGTTGGTCCGAGAACGTGTACAGGACTGGCGCCGCAGATTAGCTATTCCACTCGGACTTAAACTAGTCGAATTGACTGGTGATAACACGCCAGATACAAGGACGATCCGCAATGCAGACATGATCATTACCACGCCTGAAAAATGGGACGGTATTTCTCGAAGTTGGCAAACAAGAGGATACGTGCGGCAGGTTAGCTTGGTTATTATCGATGAAATCCATTTGTTGGGCGGTGACCGTGGCCCCATTCTGGAAATCATTGTTTCTCGAATGAACTATATAGCATCGCAAAACAAGGGCTCTGTGCGCTTGCTCGGCATGTCCACCGCATGCGCTAATGCTACTGATCTCGGAGACTGGCTCGGTGTAAAACAGGGCCTTTACAATTTCCGGCACTCCGTTAGACCCGTTCCACTGGAGATATATATCGACGGGTTCCCGGAGCAGCGAGGCTTCTGTCCGCTAATGCAGTCGATGAACCGCCCAACTTTCCTTGCTATCAAGAATCATTCCCCAGACAAACCTGTTATCGTTTTCGTGGCTTCTCGGCGGCAAACTCGTCTGACTGCAAAGGACTTGATAAATTTCTGTGGCATGGAAGATGATCCGCGACGGTTTGTCCATATGTCGGAGGATGATTTGCAGGCCAATCTCGCTCGGGTTAAAGATGACGCTTTGAGGGAGGCATTAAGCTTCGGAATCGGGCTTCATCATGCTGGATTGGTCGAATCAGATCGACAGCTCTCAGAAGAGCTTTTCGCCAACAATAAGATTCAGATCCTTATCGCTACTAGCACCCTTGCTTGGGGTGTGAACCTACCAGCACATCTTGTCGTGGTGAAAGGAACGCAGTTCTTTGATGCAAAGATAGAGGCGTACAGAGACATGGACTTGACGGATGTATTGCAGATGCTTGGTCGTGCCGGTCGTCCGCAGTTCGACTCTTCGGGTATTGCACGCATCTTTACCCAAGACGCAAAGAAAGCGTTCTACAAGCATTTCCTGCACACTGGATTCCCGGTAGAATCTACTTTGCACAAGGTGCTCGATGACCATTTAGGCGCAGAAGTGTCGGCTGGCACAATCACAACCAAGCAAGATGCACTCGACTATTTGACATGGACATTTTTCTTTCGACGCTTGCACAAGAATCCGTCATATTATGGCCTTGAGATCTCCGCTGAGGAGCACAATTCCATTGCTGCCCAGGAGATGGCGGCGACCTTTATGATCGAGCTGGTCGATAAGTCTCTGGGTGAACTTGCAAACTCGTCTTGTATCTCGTTTGACGAAGCCACTGGGATACGTCGATCCGACTCCCTATGGAAAGATCATGAGTTACTACTACATCTTCCCACAAAACAATTCGGTTCTGGATGTCGCACGCGAAACCGGATCCTACATTCGCGGACATTCTTGGTTGTATGTGCTCTGCGACTGAATTCGATGAGCTTCCTGTTCGTCACAATGAAGATTAATAAACGGCGAGCTCGCGCGAAATTTACCGCTGCCCATCTCTGCCATAGGCACGGATATGCCGCTCTGAGACCCACATATCAAGGCATTCCTCTTGCTGCAAGCGTTTATGTCTCGCATTGACCTTCCCATCTCTGATTACGTTGGAGACCAGACTTCGGTACTCGACCAAGGGATTCGTGTTATTCAAGCCTGCATTGACGTTCTCGCTGAATTAGGCTATGCCAAGGCCTGTTGGATGATGATGACGCTGCTGCAGAGCATCAAGGCCGCCAGGTGGCCAGGCGATCATCCGTTATCGATTTTACCAGGCGTAATTCCGGAATTTGAACAGGATAAACGCATAGACTCTACGAAAATCCCTAAAACACTTCAAGAACTAGTTTCGCTACCGCCGTCGGAGATCAAAAATGTTGCACAAGCGTTACACCTAGATCAATCGACAACGACCCAATTTACGAAAACAGTCTCTCTTTTACCTAATCTCAAGGTATCTGTTACCGAATTTACCGACAAAGGTCTGGTCGTCCAGCTGGCACGTCAATCTCCAAGACCAAGTTCGCAGCGACCATCTCGCCAGCAGGACACGGAAGGAATTCGCATCTATGCGCCCAAGTTCCCAAAGCCACAAACAGAAGGCTGGTTTATCATCGTTACCGGCGATGCGACTTCTGGGAATGAAGGCGAGCTGCTAGCTTTGAAGCGCGTTTCATGGTCTAGTAATGGTATAAATAGACCGGGTACCGGGAAGCAGAACCTGACCGCACGGGCAAAGTTAAATTTCTTCTCTGGGGAGCAAGGGACAAGGGGAATGAATGATTTGAAGGGTAAAATCAAGGTGAAGGCTGTGAGCGATGCGTATCCAGGAATGGAATGGGAAATTCGTTGTTGAATGAGATATCGCACGTGCATTCATCAATGCCTGGTTTACCAATTAACAGTACCGAACGTGTCCTAGTGAGAAAGATATCGAGTCCTATACTGCGGTCCGCAGGTTGAGGTTGAGCATCTAATTCTCCACAGGCCTCATTGGTTGACAAAATGAAACTTATCGAGACATTCTTATGATTGACTCACTCCTTGTCTCAGTTGCCTTTCAAAAAATGATACTCTTCTTGAAGAAACCAACAAAAATAACCATCTCCGCATCAAAGAAAGCAGCAAATCACAATCAGAACTTTACTCTGCCCTGGTCTGTGTCACACATCGAAATAAACGCACAACATCTCCCCAGAAAACCCGCTATGAACACGTTACATCGGGCCGTCGGCCTTCATCCGCCGTTGGCCCTATATCCCTGTTCTCCCTCGCTTCGCCGGTAACCAGGTCAGCGGATCCGTTGGGCACGATCCATGCCCATTGCTACCTTGTCCGCAGCTGACGAGCTCAGCTCAGGAACCGTGTACGCGAGTACGAAGCCTCAAGAGTTCCGGAGTCGACCCCTGCCCCAAAGTCCTTTGGGCCCCAAAACCAAAAGCGGACGAACTGGCTCAACCGCAGAGCTGAGGCCCCGGTAGTGGGACCTGCCGACCGGTTTCGAAACGGATGTATGTAGAAGGAGAAACTCTTTTTTCTCCTTCGCTGAATCCTTGTATCAGTGAAGCCTTTGCAAACGTGAATCATCTAGGCCCGTCAGAGCAAGTGAACTTCCCGGCTAACTGCTTACGACGAAGCACCCTTGGATGGGAATTTCAGTTAAGGTTCGGCACCGGCATGCTCCCTGGAACCCTTGACTTTGTTCCAAACCTCGAAAGGTTCAGGTTCCGTCATGGCCCCTTCGTCTGAGCGGGTTCGAGAACGACGCGGCCAATTCCAAAGGTCAAACATAAGATCGGCATTCAACGTACGGTAGAATAATGGTCGAAAAGTCGCCTCGATGCCTTTTTAGGTGAAGACGTGGTCCTCGCTCGGTATCCAAGACTAGTTACCTCCGGCAATTTCGGCGTTGAATATCAACCCTCCCGGTTCTGTTTTCGTGGACTGGTTTGGAATCAAAATATTGGATCCGGTTGAAGGCCTACAGCTACTTTATTGAAAAGTGGCTAGCTAGGACTAATTAAGCTCACTCGCGATCATGGTTTGTATGTTTCTTGGGATTGATAATGCCCCGACACAGGAAGCAACTCAACATATATGCATGCATGTCCTGTCCATCATATTAACTAGGCATTGCGCAAACATGTCACAGGTACGGGGTACCCGGCTTGTTTCGTGATTCGTTAACTAGTTAGCTGCAGATCATCGTTTCGAAACGCATAGAAGGAGGAACAACGTATGAATGTGTACAATCAGTTCAATTAAGTCTATTCTAAAAGGAAAGGAGTGACATTAGTTAATGGTGATTTTTTGCCCTTTTCTCATAAATCCTAATGATAGAAAGTAAGGAAATGCGAATACAGAAGGAAACACAGTATATAGTTGCAAACAGGTCCGATGCATCCTTTGATTTCAATCAAGGCCCTCCCATGACATATGTATCTTGTAGAAAAAAGAAACAAAGCAGTGTCTTCGTAGCATATTCAACATTCCTTCGAATCGAACGACATCGCTATGCCCTAGATATACAGAGAAAATGTAATGGAAACATTGTGCCGCCTGGCCCATCCCGCGGTCTGGACGGTCGTAATTTGAAAATAAAATAGGAACGATAATAAAACAGGTTAACGAGGATTTGACATCATCGGGTCAAACCATTTCAAAACGCTCTAGTCTTCAAAGCATTCACGTGGAAAGAGGAGGGGGACAGTTAGGCATTTTCCAAGACGGCAGCTCGAGATTTCTCATATCGATGGCCTTTATGCAAGACTTCTGCCGTTGGTGTTGCTACCCTCCTTTCCACTAGCCGTTCATTTGACCGAAAGGCGCTCGACTTTCCCCCGATCGGAACGAGTATGTGTTTCCTCTTACTGACCGAAATGGACTTCGCGATGGAAACCTCAACTGTCTGAAAGTCATCGATATCCGAGTTTATCGATGAAGTATACCTGTGGAAATCGACTTGGCCAGATTTGGTTTTGGATACACCGGGCGAAGTAGAATCTGTGACGCCGCTGTTCTTTGTGTTTCGAGCTGAATGCAAGGACTGCTGGAATGGGAGAGGGATAGGTGGTGGAGCTAAGGTGTTTGATAAATTGGGTTTTGAATCTAACGGCGTTTTGATTTCAGTAGCATTCAATACAGGCTCCTTTGATATGAGCTTCTGTAGTGTTTCGTGTGTAGACCGTGGTGGGTTTGGGCCAGGCGTGACCATCTCCCACATCGGCTCGTTTTGCTCAGGTGGCTTAATGCACAACTTGATTGTTTCGTGGTCCTCATCTGAGAACCCATCGTCAATTTCTGAGGGAGCTGTAGAGAGGTATGAAACGCTATCGGAGGATTCCGACGTTTCTAGAGGGTATTGGAAAGGGGGCTTGTGTCGAGAGGCTATCTCAACATAGGCGTCATCCGGTGACGCGGGCATGGTGTGAGACTTTTGTAATGGAACAGGATCACGGGAAATATAATGAGGCTCTATATGATGCGAGGCGTTATTCGTGTGGGTTGCTGGAAATAAGCTGAAGCCTGGAGACTTTGGCGCAGGGGATGTGGCACGCCTGGGCCTGGCAGCACCGTTCCGCATGGGTAGCTGCTAAAGAAGCACATTCAGTAAATATTACAAGTTATCTTTGGAAAGGGTGGCCAACCATTGTTTCCGGAACGAGATCATTTCGACTGCGCGGCGCAGCTAGCTTTGAGTTTGATGTTGTATCATAAAAGGAGCCAAACATCACACTGTATCGTTCCATTTCAACTTCGGGGATATGAACATCAAGTAGCGGAGCCGTTGGGGCTACTTCATCTGTCGGGCCCTTCAAACCGTGCGCATGTGCCTGTGGCCATGCTTCCCATTGCTTTTGCCCTGTATGAGTTTCTTGCCAAAGAGCCAGCCTTGTGGGGTTGATTTGCTTGGAGTCCGTCGAAGTATCTGACAACTCTCCATGTCGTGGGAGTGATTGCGATCTCATCGCCCATGCGCGCGCGTCCGGTATTTTTGGTTCCCTCCAGAATAACTGGGAATCAGGAATGTACGCCGCGCTCTCCACCGTGAAAAGTGTCGACCATTTACACTGACTTCGTAGACGGGACACGGGGCGTGGATTCCGGACTTTTTGACTTGAACAGCTCCCCAAACTTCTTCCACCTACTTGGTTTACGCTTGAGCGACCCAAAATCCTTGTTTTGTGCCTCGTCATCGAGCCCAGTGGAACTAGTTGGAGGTATATCCGCCCATGAGTCGTTCGTACGAGCAATCGATGCAGTGCTAGGAGTGCATAATCCTTGATCACACCATGACTCATTCACGGACGCAAGACGCAGCGGGGATCCACGAGACAAGGAGGAAGTAGATTCAGCTTCCGGTGAGTTGAATTCCTGGCGGTAAGACGGGGCGGCCTTAACGATCTTCCGTCTCGGTTCTCGAGAAGCATTCTGCGCCCAGTTCTTGTTCGGGTGTGGTGACCGTTCACGAGCGGATTCAGGACGGGGTGAGTCGTTTATGCCATCAGTAGCGGATATCGCACCAGCATCGGTTGTGTGGGCCCGAGGTCTCGCCAACGGCAACTTCATGACCATTTTGCGATGTGGTATGACTTTGTGAATTCAAGAGAAAAGAAAGACATAGATGATTAAGTAGGCGTCTATGAGTTAAAAATAAAATAATAGAAACACGTGGAAAAGAAAGAAATCAGCAACCAAAAAAAAAAAAAAAAGACGGAATGAACGAGCTGCTTGAAGCTCGAAAAATGAGCGGAGGCAGTTGGTATAACTATCCCAACTCCAAGTGAAACAGGCCTGAAGTTCAAGGTACAAGACGTTGAAGGGCCAAATTAATATTATCAAGTACGAAGTATGAGGATTGCCGTCAACTCGGAGTAAGTATTTATGAGTGTCAATTAAGACAAGGTCCCCTAGAAGCGAGCATTCAGTGGTATCGGCGGTTGTCAAAAGGCACTCCGTACATCATCCAAGACTCGTATTGTCTGAGCAGACAATAATAATAGTCCAACAGGACTTTCGACATGGGGTTGATGGTTCGGGTTGCTGGATAGGTGAGTGTTTAAATTAAATGAGACCAGGGTGATGGTTGAGGTTGACATTGGGACCCTTACATTGGTGAAACTGATAATAGGGCATTTTATTGATGTGGTGTCCCCCTTCATGATATGATCACCAAATTTCTTTTGATGTTTAGCCGGGTAATAACCGGTTTCTAGAACATCTCCATTGCTGCGGGGAAGAATATCAAATATTTTCGGGCCAATAAACAATCAGTCGATGCTGAAATTTTTCCTTTGCCTTTTTCTTTTTCCTATTTTTTTTGGGCGCCTTGCAGGTGGTGGGTGCGAGACTGAGAAAATCGAAGATGATTGGGTTATTGATGTTATTGAAGAAATTCCAGATGAAATTTCCTTTCAATTCGACAACCAATAATGACAAGTCGATGAGCTCGGCGCTCGCTTCTTGAAAGGCAGTAAAGGAATAAGGGAGTGAGTTTCGAGGTCTCCTCAGGAAACCTGGGATGTTGACGGAAAGAATAATATCAGGCGAGTTGCATGGATAATTTGAGCAACTGATGGCCACGGTTTACCTCATGAGTTGAGCAGAGGATCTTGGTCCAGAACAAGAGGAATTGAATTAAGGCTGAGGCGCCAGGATCAGTGCGCAATCCGGACGGTGTGTCTTGACTAGGCTCCTCCTTAATTTCCGATCGCCGTCATGAGCACAAATAGAGAGTTGATTTTACCGACATGAAACCCGATCTCTGTCAGTATCAGAACAAATTTTCAAAAGGCCGGTTGAGGTTGAATCAAAGGTTCGAAATGCGGGTTCAATGGTGCCGGACCACGGTTTGATCTGCCGCTAAATAAAACCCAACCAGGAATGAAGCCGCGCCTTTGCGACTGACGCTTGAGTTGACGATGTCATCGGCTCCATCAGCTAGTCAGTTGGTTAATATTCCTTAGCCGCGGGTGGCCTCGTTCGCGCGTCGCAGGTTTTAGGTTGCGCAGTGCGCACCCTGCCAACGCCGCTCACAACGCGGTTTTTGGTAGATCAGTGGATTTGACATCAGGACAGTGCGTGCCATCGATCACGGCTCTCGCAGCTCGCTATCCCATCTGTTTTCTGGAGGGTCGTTCGGGTGTTGATTGTTGGGTTGCATGGATGTTGTCAAAGCGAGCGAACTCGGCGGTGATGTCCTGCTGAGTCAGCTGGAACCCCGCGCTGTTTACATAAGCAGCAAAACAAAAACATCCCACTTCCAGCATCATCGCGATCATCTTCAGAACAACAAGAGCAATATCTCCTCTGCAGCAACGGCTAATTCACCTTGACACTGAACACACCCCCCCTGTCCCGACGGAAAGCCGATTCTGCTCATTTTTGCTCTTTGTCTTGATTCGTTTACCAAGCCTATTCTATCTATACAATCGCACTGGTTTCTCGAAACCTAGTTGCAGCCTGTCATCAGTTACCCCAGATTCCTCCCTTTTCCTCACCTTTCCCTCAAAAGTAGATTCTCTCTCAAGATGTCTTGGCAAGGTTGGTTCTATTCGTTGTTATGCGTGTATTTTGGGGTACGCCGCTGACTCGGGGTTACCTTCATAGCCTATGTTGATACAAGGTATCGAGGTCCCGATCCTTAGTTCCGAGCTGCAGCCCATCCAACCCTGCCACTTTAACTCTCTGTCACAACATGCTGCAACGCCCAGGGACAAAGTGTGCGCCTGACATTTGAATCTTGTGTAGTCTCGTTGGCTCAGGCCACATCGACAAAGCGGCTATCTTGGACAACCAAGGTAGCAGTGTTTGGGCAACTTCAGCTGGATTCACGGTACAACCATCCGTGCCCCCTGTTGATTCAGTTGAGCTGGACAACACTATGTGTTTTTCTTTGCGGGTAGACTAATAAACTCAGGTCTCTCCGGCAGAGATGAAAATTATCGTCGATTCCTTCAAGCCTACTTCTCGTGATGATGAAGTGAAGGAGGTGCAGGCTAACGGGTTTTTCGTGGCCGGGGAGAAATACGTTGCTTTACGATCAGACGACTCGCGCCTTTATGGCAAGAAGGTACGCTGGATCCGGCTTGATTTGATTTCATTACTCGAAGGCTTTAAAATTCTGACCCTCTGATTTAGGGTAAAGAAGGCATTGTGATTGTAAAAACGAAAAAGGCACTACTCATCGCACATTACCCGGAAACCGTGCAGCCCGGCGCCGCGACCAACACCGTCGAGACCCTCGGCGATTATCTCAGCGGATTAGGCTACTAAAGATTCTCCCGGCGATACTAGTCATGAATCGCAGTACATTATCCAATTGCATTCTGTCCCAATATGAATCCCGAGTAAACGCAGTGCGGTTAGGTTCAAGTATATCAATTAGAGTATTAATTCCCCGATCGCACGAGCATTGGTTCAACGGCTATCTGTTTTTGATTCAAACTTCTAGCGCCATAAGCTCGATGACGCTCTTTAGGTCTCGGGTTTCTGTTCACGCCCCAGGGAAGGGTTACCATACACCCTTTTCGTCTAGAGCAGCCATGTTCATATTTCGCTTCTGAAAATGCTGTAAGTAGGCATACTTGATTTTAGAGTTATTTTGAAAATATGAAATTCTAGATGAATACGGTCATGTCTCTTCGTTTCGTTGATTCTCCATTATTTTCAATAAATATACATAGGTCGAAATTAAAAAGAAACGCATAATGCAATCATAGCGTTTGTCGTTTCAGGTGGTATTTCCCTCCTGTTGGGTATTTGGAAATTCGAAGCCTGCCGTCAATCGCAATCCTATACAGCTGAACTGCAGCCCATCGAGTGGACTCGCTAAGCAATATTGAGGCGCCCTTTCCGCACTCATTGCACACTTTGGGTTTTTGTGCATAGCAACGTAATTCGAATTTGAGCCCGTTGTAACGCCCGCGAAATGGATACATTTAGCTCCGTTTATATTTAAACGGGTAGCTCCGATCCGCCTCCCCTTCCACCAAGTGACCCAACCCACGTCAACGCTCTTTTAAGAGGTGGCCCGACAATGGGGATGCTTCCTACGAACGCACCCAGAGTAACCAGGAAATCTCCGAATAATATAAACAAGCCGTAGAGCTCGACGCAAAAGCCGATAAGTGGCCAGCGGAACAGGATGAGCGCGATTCCCAAGGCAAATGTCACGGACCCTAGGATTTTTTGGCGACGAGCGAAAAAGGACAAGGTTTTCTGTGGACCAAGGATGAGGGGGAGGCCGATGATGAAGAGGATCTAATTAGATTGTTAGGTCGTGCAGACAAAGGGTAATGGCTGTTTCAAGGGTTCGCATCTACATTTCCCATTGCAAGTCTAGTAAGGTCAAGAGTCAGTCGTGTAGCTATAACGAAGAAACGCATGGAACGTACAGTGACCTGTCAAAGAACATGACAATGCCTAAGAAGAAAAAGAAGCTCCCTAAGATGCAATTCAAATCAGACGAATGACCTTAATTCTCGGCAAGATGATGCGCGCCGAGGTAGCAAGACTGCAACGTACCGCCGGTGCAGAAGACCGCGCCGATCTCTAGTTCTCAACATTAGTGACCCAGGACATCGGAGAGAGGCACAGAGATCTTTGGTAGCTCACTTTGCATATCAGACAACCACATGGTGGGCAATGTGTGGTCATGTAACTCTCAGCTAAAAGGTACTGCGGCCAAACGCCGTATGGTGATTTTTGGAGCTTGAGGTTGAAAGGAAAGTGTATGTAGGTATGAGCTCGGTTCAAGCGGTTCGATTCATTCTGGGTGGAACTACATGGTTAAAAAGAAGAAATCAGCTAGACTGCCTGGGAGTGCATCACAAACTGGTGGAAATAGGTACCCTTGGTCATGAATACATGTTAAGAGGACAGATCGCGGTTCAAAAATGTGGCGCTGCTATTGGCACAGATACGGCTGTCATGAGCTCAAGGGCCAGAGATGAAAGGGCTTGAGAAGGGAGTCAAGAGAGGAGATCACTATCACAAGAAAATTGCTCTCTTTTCAAGGAAATGGGCAATCGCGAGCACTGAAGTCCATTCTCAAGATCTGGATGAATTAATTTTCGATGGGTTGAGCTCTTGGTCCCCTGGCTCCATGGACCGCTAGACCCAATCCGTGCTAGGTTGACACGGGCACTTTTTTCTCTCAAAATCGAGAGAGTCACAAAAAACAATTTCATCAACACCATGGTTTGATATTGGACAATGATGAACAGTTTGGCTAGGAATGAAATCAACAAAGCATGTGATAAAGGCACACCCTCATTTATGAACCTCTTGTCAAACCACTTTGATCGCTAACTGCCACAAATGGCCCTTGTCCACTCCCGTCAAACAGACACAACGATTCAAACCAACCCGCCATGACCACGGTAGCTTCAAAAGGCACCGTAACTGATCTTCCCTTCCCCATGGGATATCGGTACTTGTCGATATTGCATATGCAGGCGGAGAACAAACTCGCGGAAGGGTTTCTTCCAAACCGGTCCCAATTAAGCCGGAGCGTCGTCTTGAGCCCTGTCTCGAAAGGGATAGCGGCGGGTGGACGGGGTTTGACTTAGTGGGCCAAACATGCTGTAGTTCTTAAGCTGCTGTTGCGTTTTGCTTCAATTCGCTCCGCTGTCATTCTGTGGCAGATCTTCCCGTTTACGCTATCGCTGGCGTTTTCTCTTGCTTAATCTTCACTGAAACTCCACACCCATCCTCCTTATTTCAGTACAACGTGCGCTCCTCTCGCTTCAAGGTAGCTTTCCGCCACGCCCTGACCCAACGATCGGACCACTCCAAACACTTCTCTATCATGATATCGTAGCCTCGTTTTCGGGTCTCTGTAGGGCGCGGGAAGACCCGTAATGTCACAATAATGTTTCTGCTGCGCGGAATGTAACGACGGGGCCGATTCGATGTTAGTGTACGTCACAGCAGGGCCTGTGGCGTACATTGCCCGGTTAAAGTTCTTTTCGAGAACAAGGGTAGACAAGCTCTGCGCAGCCTGTGCGATATTGGTGGGCTTTGGAATAGATCCTGACGGTGTACTGCCGGCAGGATTTGGCCCCGGTCGCAAGGGGAGTGGGAGCCTGCGATCCGTCCGTAGTTATCGCAGCGGTGCCGACGATTTCTTGGGGGTTGATGTGCCCGCTATTATCTTGGGTTCCGATGGCAGAAGCTTCTTTTCGCGAGGACTCTGAGAGGATCTGCTTGACGTTCTTGTTGCGGCGAGCGGATGGCTTCCAGTGTGGATTGCGGAATGGGCGGGGTGTGCGGGTGATGTCAAGCTGGTCAAGCAGCTTTTGGTGGGAATCATCCGCGGGGACGTTTGGTGGCATGGCTAATGGGGATATGCGGACGGCGCTGAGAGGATGATCCAGGTATGAGATGAAGATGGAGCTTTTGCCTGCAGCTTCATGAAAGCTGTTTGTTGAAAGTGAAGCCGAAGCTGGATGTCACGTGCATTGGTCCAGCTCAAGTGTCGCTTGTTGATATCAAAGCATATCAACATCGCGAACAACACAGAGAACGGATTGCTATTCTGGGGACGCGTTAATCATGGTGAGAATCGCTCAGCAGATTGCTTCTTTGTGAACTTTCTAACATTCTATCTCCAGGAGAGCCCACATGAGCACCAACAGAACCTCCTACTCTCTCGCATTATCACCAACGTTGTATGTAGATGGAGTTCAATTTGCTCCACTCATTACTGATACATGGACCCGATGTAGGAAAAGCTCAATGAGGCTGTGATGGTGCTGAACAAGAGTCTGCAGGTTTGGTCCATACAAGCCCCATCCAGTCCCATCTGATGATGCTGATCACCAATAACTAGGAGGTCAATGTGCAGAATATGAATGTGGAATTGGTGGCACAAATGTTCAAGAACTACCAGTCCAATGTTCTTTTCCATCTTGAAGGTCAGCGGTCTTCTCATCATGTAGATCCGGTTGCCAGGGATAGCTAACTGGAGGAATGCAGCAACGGAGAGCTTAAAGGATCCATCCTAGATAATATCAGCAAAATTGCTACAGGCATAATGATTGTACAGAGTACTAGATAGAACAATGATTGATGATTTTGATATATTAATTCTTCGTGGTTTTCCATTCTTCCGCCGCTTTGATCTGATGTGCATCCCTTATCGCATCTTATCAGCTTAGTGAGCTCTTTAGCTTCCCTGAGTCGCAAGAAGAGAGTTGGGCTGCTTGAACCTCCCAACATCAATTTGGATTCTGGCATTGCCTTTCTTTGCTCAGAATGAGCTATCCTCCTTGAACCTCACATTCCATTCCACCTCGCCATCATGACGATCTCTTCCATCCAGATCATCCCCTCATCCCGAACCACCCTCAACGTTGCGGAGAAAAGAGAACCGAAGCCGCCTCCAAAGATTTTCTCTGCTCGCGAGCCTCCATTCAAAGGCATTCAACCGCCACAGCCGGATGGCTACGAGCGGAGCCGAGCTTTCCCAAGTACTAGTGCAATAGTTATCGACAATGGTACTATCCCCAAGCGCCCCACTGGCAGCGCTGTGCTGATACACCTTCTAGGATCTCATCTCGTTAAAGCCGGTTGGTGTTTTGACAAAACCCCGCGCCTTACCATTCCTCCCGTCATTGCACGATATAGAGACCGCAAAGCCAATCGCACATGCCAGTTCGTCGGGTACGATGCCTACGTCGATGCGACCACAAGAGGCCAAGTGCGCAACGCATTCGATCCCGGAACAAGCATTATCGGCAATTGGGATGTTATGGAGGGGGTCCTGGATTATATATTCTTAAAGCTTGGGGTGGACGGAGCTAATGGCGGAGTCGACCGGCCGCTTGTCCTGACAGAGCCGATTGCCAATCTGGGATATTCACGGAAGAGTATGTTTCCAATTTCTGGTCCTACTCCAGCGCCAGCCTAGGCTAATCATGATGAAATAGTGATGAACGAAATTGTTTTCGAATGCTATTCAGCTCCATCGGTCGCATACGGCATCGACTCCCTATTTGCATACAAATATAACCGTGGCACGGACGGCCTTGTCATATCTGCGTCGCACGCTTCTACCCACGTTATCCCCGTTTTAAATTCCAAGGCTATACTGTCGAATTGCACCAGGCTAAACTGGGGTGGCTACCAAGCATGCGACTATCTCATGAAGCTTCTTAAATTGAAATACCCTACCTTCCCCGCACGAATAACGGAGTCCCAGATGGAGGAGCTCCTGCACCAACACTGCTATGTGTCGCAAGATTACGATTGTGAGCTAGCCGGATATCTTGACTGGACCGGCCTAGAGGAGCGAGACCACGTCGTTCAATACCCGTTCACCGAGCATATCATCCCCGAAAAGTCCGAAGAAGAGCTTGCTAGAATAGCTGAGCGCAAAAAAGAAAGCGGAAGGCGACTTCAAGAGCAAGCTGCAAAAATGCGGCTCGAAAAATTGATGAAAAAAGAACAAGAATTGGAATACTACAAGGATCTACAAAAGAATCTAGGTTCAGAAACTAAAAAGGAAATCAGGCGGATCCTTGATGCCGAAGAGATGAAGGACGAAGCTCACTTGGATAGAACTATTAAGGAGCTTGAGCGGTCAATAAAAAGGTCGCGAAATAAAGACCTGGGACAAGAGGAAACGGAAGAGAACCCGGAAGAAATGACATTCCCATTAGTAGACGTTCCCGACGAAGAGCTCGACGAGGCTGGCCTCAAGGAGAAAAGGCATCAACGCTTAATGAAATCCAACGTTGAAGCGCGACAGCGGGCAAAAGAAGAGAAAGAACGAGAGAAGGCGAGGATAGCGGAAGAGGAGCGTCTTGACACTGAGAAACGAGAAAATAGCTTTGATGCCTGGGTAGAAGAACGAAGGCAGGCAAGAGAGGTATATATCATCCTCCACCCTTTTGAAGATGGTAATGCTAATCTAGCCCTAGGCATTAATACAAAGAATCAAAGAGCGTGAGCGAATGAAAGCCGACCTGGGCAACCGCAAGTCACTCGCCAGCCAAATCCGTATGAAAACGCTCGCCAACCTGGCAGCCGACGGGCCCCGGAAACGCCGCCGGGGCGGGGACGACGACACCTTCGGCGCCAACGACGAAGACTGGGGTGTCTATCGCACCGTTGCCACCGGGGAGGGCAGCGAAGACGAAGAAGAAGAGGACCCGACGCAGCAGCTCAAATCCATCGAAGCAGACCTCCTCAAGTACGACCCCGAATTCACCGAAAACCACACCCTCGAAGCCCAGTCCGACTGGACCAAATCCCTCATCCACATGTTCCTCCGTGGCCCCTGGCCCTTTGACCCGGAAAGCCAGCGCGAAGCACACCAGTTACACCTCAACGTCGAACGCATACGCGTTCCCGAAGTCATCTTCCAGCCCTCCATCGCCGGCATCGATCAATCCGGCATCGTCGAAATCGCCGCGGACATTGTCCTGCAGCGCTTCTCGTCGCCCCAGGACCAGGCGAGGCTGCTGCGCGACGTCTTTATCACGGGGGGCAGCTCGCTCTTCCGCGGGTTCGACGAGCGGTTCCAGCGTGAATTTCGCGCTGTGCTCCCAGAGGGCTCGGACCTGCGGGTTCGTAGGGCGGCTGATCCCGTGTTGGATGCGTGGAAGGGAGCGGCGCAGTGGGCGTCGGGCCCGGACCTTGGCATGTGTTCGATTACAAGGCAGGAATACATGGAAAAGGGGAGTGAGTACATCAAGGAGCATAGGCTGGGCAATGCCACTTGAACTTTTGAAGCATGAAAGATGACGGAGCTGTATTTTGGGATATCTATTTATTTCTTCCTCGGCTGTTTATCTTGACTAGATGGCATGAATAGTGAAAACTGGGATGTATTGCATGATGGCAGTGTTGAACGGTTCAATTTTAATATTCCGTTATCGTAAAGTAAGATGTAGAATGGTACATGGCCTAAGCGGCAGACTGATAAAGAGACATCTTGAACGCCGGGACCTGCACGCCAATACAAACCATAGGGGTCCGCAAATTGACTGTATCGCGTGTTTGAACTACCATTGTGAGCCTCCGTAAGGAAAAGCGGACATTCCCGCAACTGCGGCAGATAAAACCTGAAGCCTGTAACAAACACCCGCCGGACACTTTGCGCCGAATACCATAGCAATAAGAGGAAAGTATTAATTTGCAAAACACTTAGCCGCCGATTGCCTGAATGCATATTTTTGAAAATCCTAACCTAATCCATTTTGTTCAACTGGATCCCATGGAAGTCAAGTTGGAATATTCGGTGGTTGAGCGCCTTCCATCTTGCTGACTTGCGTAGGGTCGGTAGGGACAGCACCTTGATCATCAACGACCATGTCGCCACGGACGCGTTTGGTGGGGAAGTTGTTGCTGCCCAGAAAAGCGGCTTCTTCATGTTGGTGCTTGCGCATTCCCAAGCCAGCAACAGCGATGCGGTTCAGAGCGTTCATCTGCTCAGGCTGCCCAGAAGCGGCGGCGAGCTGAGCGGCAGGGCCTGGGCCGCCGACAGTACCTGCTGCTTGCATAGCTGTGGTGTCGGGACGAGGTTGAGTCAAGTCAATGTTGGGAGGCAGTTCCGGGACGTCATTCTGCGAGTCGATCAGGCGAGACTGCAGGCCGATGATGTATTCGCGGAGCTGGTAGTTCTCTGCCTGGAGAGCCTTGTAGTTCTCGGACATGATCTCGTATTCTTTGACTTGTTCCTCGAGCTTCCGGATATACCCCTCTTTGCGTTGACGGAAGGCGCGCTATACGATCACGTGTTAGCATTGTATTAGTTCACACAGAGGCATCCAAGACGCGCATACCTGAGCAGCACGGTTCTGAGCGGCGCGCTTCGAGGTGGATAGCTCACGCTTGCCATAGGTCTTGCGAGGTTCCGAGCCCGGCGCGTCTTGCATAGTTTGATCTGGGGTTTGAACTTGTGGCTGCTGGGCTTGCGGTGGGGGAGCGGGGATCATTCCAGCAGTGGGAGGCGCGCCTGAGATGGCGGGGTCGATGTTCGAGTGGTCTCTTATCGGCTGGACATGAGCCATTCCCGGCTGGGGACGCGGAGGAGGAGGAGCGGTGGCATGGCCGGCTTGAAGCTGAGCAGCAAGGAGCTGGTCATGGAGTACTGTCGCAAAATCAGTTTTTCTGACAAGAAACATAGCGTAATCTCAGCTTTCTCACCTTGATCTGCATGGTCCTGCGTGTCAGGAATACGCCAACGGGCGAAGAAGTCATCGTCAGTCATTATCAACCCCGCATCAAAGAAAGTGGGCTTGCGAAAAAGAGCGGCTAAAGGGCAAAGAGGAGGAGATGCATGAAGAAAGAGGGAGGAAGCAGTAGGAAGGGAAAGCAAAGTGTTCCGCTGCGAACACGTCCACGAGTGAATACGGGCGATCAAATGCGGCTAGATACATGGGAGGTTGCGGCGTGAACGCAATGCGCATCTCTGAAGCAGAACAATCCGGCTCAACGCACAGGTTCCGCGCCGAGAGCAGACGTGAAGCGGGAAAGCAGGATTCTTACCTGAACCGCGTGAGCAGTATTTGGATTGGGGCTGTTCTTGTTTGGATCCTGGGGCTGCTGTTGTTGTTGTTGCTGCTGCTGCTGCTGTTGTTGCTGGCCCTGCTGTTGCTGCTGGAGCAGTTGTTGTTGAGGTTGTTGTTGCCCAGGATGAGGAGCTGGAGCTAGTGCTGGCGGTTGTTGCATCGCGATTGGGGATTTGTCGTTGCTGTTGATTATCTCAGGCTTGCTGACTGATGAGGTTGCGAAGATGATGAGTAATTTGGCGGACGATCGGGGGGTTTAATAATCGCCAGGCAATTAATAATCACCCGCCAGGCCTAGGGCTGCCGCTGTCACCTGACTCGCCCTTGCGCCACGCACTTTAAAGCAGCGCCAGTGCCGCCGGGTCTTCCCCCAACTTCGATCCTGGCCCAGTTCGACGCGGAACTTTTACATATCACAAAGAGGACGACTCCTTTCAAACAAAGCTACGCAGACGCACTACAAAATCCCACCCAGAACGCCATCAAGGCGGGGATCAGATATACATTCAGCCAAACTGAGCGGGTGCCAAGCCTACAGTATAGTATCGCTTACTCATCGCTTTTATTTCAGCGAACATTGCCAAGCTGACTAAGGATTCGGAAGCAATGTCCAGATCGAGTAATTCTCAGCTTCAGCTAAAGCAAATGTAACATTCTTCCACCCACGATTAAGCACGTCCTTCGAAAAAGGGCCCTCCTAAGAAACGCTAGCCCGGAATTCTCGCATATTCGCCGTTGGTAAACAGTTGCCGTCCAACGCCCAGCAAACAGTAACAGCATTCTAGGCGTTGCCAATCAGAGCTTCTTCTTCTCCTTGAGCGAGGCAGTATAACCCTGTTGAATCAGGCCCACTCCTACTTGGGCTGACTCCTTCCATCCTTGCTGACGTGCCCAGAACATGTCCGCCGGGCTTGCAGACTGCTGACTAAATCGTCTGGCGTCTTCCTCCAGGGACTCGCGGGTAATCTCTTGTGGTTCATGCTCTTCGATGGGCGCTTCCTGGTCCTGCTTCGTAAGTTCCGACGAGGTGTCTTGTTCAGACATGATTGTATCCAAGTATGCCTTTCGGATCATGTACCGCTGGCCCCTCTCTTGTCGTGTTTCGGGCGTCTCGATCTTCGAAAAGACGGTTTGCACGCCTAGACGGGCAAGTAGGTACAAATGTTCCGAGAAAAAGATCGTGAGTAATAAGGCCCATCCTTTGATCTGCGATGTCGTGCCATCAGGTCCGTTCTCGGCATCGGAGAACATGTACACCAGTGCTGCGCTGGTAATACTTCCCAACCAAGCCAGGAACCCCAGGGAGTCGAGCCAGGGTCCAATGGTATCGGACCGCAAAGGAGCTGGGCGCCTACATTCGATGCAAATTTTAACAAAGTCCGATCGCAACTCGATCCAGTTGTTTATCAAGAACGACAAAGGAACCAAAGGCCACACGGGCGAGAAGAGCGTGAGATACCCAAACTGCATGCACATCTCGCGAAGGTCCGTGGTAACATCGTATTCGCTGAGCTCTGATTCCTGGCGAACACGACGGAGAAAGCCCGCCTCAGCTGGAGAGTCTTCTTGATTCAGAGTATTCGTTTGAGAGGCTTGCGTCGAATTGTTCCCTTTCTTCTCCTCTTGCATTTCATTATATTTATTGAGCACTCTCCGCTTGACATAGGGCATGATAGTCTCTAGCCCAAAATTCACAATCTGAGCGGTGACTGTAAAATAGATCACCTGCCGGCGAAGCCGAGATCTGTTGATGCGGAATGTTGGTTGGGTGGTTTTGAGCTGACTGTCTTCTGTTAGCAAAGGACGTACGGTAAGGTGAAATATATCAAGGTACGGGACGATTGTCTGAGCGAACGGGACGTAGACGAAAGCCGTCAGAAAAATCGGCAAGTACGAGGTGATGAAGTTGAGAACAAAAATCTTCTGGGTCAGCGCAACATCATAACTATCCTGTGTTTCGTAATTCTCATAATCTGTAAGCTGAGTAGCAATTTTGGTGAGCATGCCACTGATTGTCGGTACCATCAAGGAGAGGATAATTGTAGGAACAAAAGCCTATGAATACCCGTCAGAATTTAGCCATTCAAGGGTATACGGGGATACACTTACCAAATAGGTTTTGAACGGCCCTGGATAGATCTCAGAGACGAATATCTCAATCGCAAAACAAAACGCAATGAGGGTCCCTAGAACAAGCACTGCGCCAAGTGCAAAGGGAATTTGTAAGAGCTGTCTCAATAGCCGTGTCTTTTTTGAAAACACCAGTATCTTCTCTCCCGTAACCGAATCCACAACTACTTTTTCATGTTTGAACTGCCGCCTCTTCGCCTTGATGACCCCAACACCTTTGACCTGCCAGCGCAATTTGAGATCATCCTCACGCCGCTTCCAAAATTCAACAAACACAAGGCACGCTAGCGAGTTCACCACTGCATAGATCACGGAGAACTGGCCCAGCAATGCCCAGCAGCCGAATCCAAAAGCGGCCGGGAAGATCAAAAAGGTGAAATATGTCTGCAGAAACGAAAAGTAAAACGCCACTCTCTCCCCAAGCTTTGCACGAATTTGGTCAAGGTCTTGAGCACTGAGAAAGGTCTTGTGGCTCCAAGTCAATATCCACTCCTTATTCGCGTCCTGATCATGTAGAGGAAAAACAGCCTCAACGTGCTTCCAATCCCCCAACTTGGGTGTTATTCCCGCGCCGCCATCGGTGCGAGGCCATGTTATCATATGGTATATCGTGCGTAACCGATCGGCCTCGGTAATCTCCTGTTTAGTGCCCTCTTCATCTGCACCAGGCTGGATTTGGCGAACACCGTACAACCAATCCCGCACCCTATGTCAGAGTCAGGATCTAGGGAAATGCTGAAGGGCCTGTGGTCGCCGGTATGCCACAACTCACCTCCCTCTGTATATAGCTTTGTTGAGCTGGTCGTCCTTTGCTTTGACGAACACGAATAGCGCTCCGTCAGTGGCGGGCCTCACAGCAGTATCCAGGCCGATCTGGTTTAGGGCCTTTATCAGTCGCTTAAACTGGTGTATCGCCTCAGACTGGTCTGGGAGAAACGAATACGTTAATTTGATTCGCGATTCTATCGCCCAGGGGAGCAACTAGGGGATAACTAACCTCCATCCTTGAAGCGATAGAGCACTACGTACTCCACGTGGAAGATCTGATCCGATTTGGATGCATGCTTGGTCTCGAGCTCTGGCCCCATTGTACAGCAAACTAAGAGTTGGATATAGCTAGGGTGTGTCCTCCCACTTCCAGAATCGACGTGGGGAGGGCGTTTATATATACAGCATGGTTGGGATGAAGTCAATTGTTTTCCTTGAAGCTCGCTAGTTTGACTAGTTAGTGAGCTGGCCGTAGGGCTGGCTGGGCTTACGTCATTGCTTGGACCACGCACGTGATAGCTCTAAAGGCAGTATGTATGTAGGTAATCCTCCGTATGCACCTCAGCGCCTCGTCCTACAGAGGATTCAGAGGAACAGCATCGCAGGCTACTCGATGGTCCCGGCCAGCTTCCCCAGCGCATCTCCCTCCACCATCATTTTCAACCACTCCTCCATCGGCTTTGCCCCAATTGCCTTATAAAACTGGATACTTGGCTCATTCCATGTCAACACGCTCCATTCCAGCCTCCTACCCCCGATCTTAACAACCTCCTCCGCCAACCGCCGTAATAATTTGAACCCGTACCCCTTCCCGCGGTACTGGGGCGTCACATAAAGATCTTCGAGATACACACCCGGTGCAGACCGCCAAGTAGAGTAATTGTAGAAAAAGAGAGCCATGCCGGCGGGTCGGGGCTGTGGGTCATCCTCACTTGGCGGCGGTATGACGATGAAGGTATATGCATTTCCACGTTTGGGCGGCGAATCTGGGAAGGAAAGCGTCTCGCGGAGGGAGGACACGGTTGCTTCAACTTCGTGCGAGGCATTTTCGTAGGCGGCTAACTCTTGGATGAATTGCAGAATCGTGGGGATGTCTGCTAGAGCAGTTAGTTTCGGAATTCAGGCGTCTTTCGGTAGAATAGTTAGTCGAAAAGCTACCATCTTCAGTTGCAAACCGGATAGTTGGCTGGTCGGCCATGGTGCGTAATGCTAATAGCGCTGGGAAATGCTGCGCGGGTGTCAACCAAAAGGTATCCAGAGAATAGTTAACTAAAAGTCAATTTCTTCAAAATGAAATCCAACAACGTCGGCATAAAGTCCATAATATATTATGGACTGCAAAACTATTCAAGCATCGGCATGGGCAAAGAAGCCGCAGAGAATAATTCAAATCTGCGCCCTTTGACATGGCCTCTGGCCCGGTGGAGCTTAGGGAGAAATCGGGAATTTCGAAACAAGTGGAAAATTGAGAGAATACCCTTTGCAACGCTCATAAATTTATGGTCATTAATATTCTACCATCAAACCTAGCGGATGAAAGGGACTCTGAAATACTATACAGTAGGTAATAGTAAAATCTGCTAGTTAGTTTACTTCGACGAAATAGCAGACATCCATCTCTGTTCATCGTTGCTAAAGATATATGCACATGTTAGCCGCAGCCCATATTAAGCAACCGTAGCAACCCTGAATGAAACTTACGCGTCGAAATGTAGCAACATCCCCAAGACAGGGATGAGTTGCTTCTGATAATGCTTGTCTTTTTGTTCGAGAAACTGCAAGAGAACATTTTTCAGATATACATGGTCAATCGATCCCGCTCCTGGCCCTGTTGGGGTCTCGTTACGCGCTCGAGATGGATTCCGTGTTCTGGATGACGGTGAAGTTACACCGCGAAGCATTCCCGAATCAATCGACGAACGAGGTGTACGATTGCCGGACTCAATGCGTCCTTTTCCAGACTGGATCGATTTCAATTCTTCAGACAACGTTTTGTTGGTTCTTTTCAGTTTTTCAAGATGCTGATTGGTTTCTTCAATCGATCGCCGTAGCTCGGACCGTTCCTTGTCGAATTCTCGCGTCTGCCTCTCACTTTCATCCAGTGCATCGCGCAGTTGGGACATGGCCGCTTTCACATCAGCGAGTTCCTGCCTTGACCGCTCTGTCTCTGTTTCAAGCTCCTCTCGTCGTCGTTTCCATTCTTTTTGGGCATGGTCAAGTTCTTCCCTATCTTCCTCCGCCCTGCGCAGTTCGCGCTCTGCATCTCGTACTTTTGTTTTGAGCTCTTCCATTTCCCTCGCGCGCCTTCGGCCAACGATGTTTGCTTCATCCTCCGCCCTATCGCGCTCCTCAATGGCAGTTTCTAGTCGCTCCTTAAAGTCTCTGACCTTATGCTCCGCTCTCAGCTCAACTTCTGAGAGTAACCGTCGCATAGTCTCACCTTCCCTCGTCCGCTCAGATAAAAGTCGCTGGGCGTCTGCAAGCTCTTCCTCCAGGCTCTCGCAGCGTTCGCGTACCTCTTTAATTTGCATTGCCATCTCGGAGGTTTGGTCGCGCATGCTGTTCATCAAGCTTTGGGCGCTTGCATGCTGTGCTGCTTTGAGTTGAATCTCATCGTGTAAGCCTCCGACTTCTCGGTTCAATTTCGATATCTGTTCCTCGAGTTCTCGCAACTTCGCGTTGGCGGATCGAAGTTCCTCCTGTGTCCTAAGCAAGTTTTTGGAACTGTGCTCATTCTTTTCAATTGCTTCCTGTTTTTGACCTTCTGAGTAACGAAGGTCCGATTGTGCAACCCCCAACGCCCGTTCAGCTTCTAGACGACTATTGGTTTCCTGAGTAATCTTCTGATTGAGGGTCTTGACTTCGGCATCTTTCTCGCCGATCGTGACTTTGAGATCTTTTACTTCCATGCGCAGATCCTCTTGCTTCCTTTCCAACCGGACGAGTTCCGAAGTTTTGGCCTTTAACTCCTCTCTGGTAGTCTTAAGGTCCACAGATTCCTGCCGAAGGTTCCTTAATTCAGGCTGAACTTTTTGCAGAGCCTGGCGCAGATCAGTGAGATCTTTGAACCGGGACGCGGCCAGTTGCTGAGCAACCGAGAGATCGGTTTCTAGTGCCACAGCTTTAGTTTTAAGGTCCTGAAACTCAGTCATCAAGTCCTTGTGTGCCTTTTCAGCGTCAGTGGCTGAAGCGGAGTTCGCTTTCAAAGTCACTATTTCTTCCTCAAGGCCTGCGATGGTCTTTTCAAGTGCAACTTTTTCTGCAACTAACTCTTTGACCCTATCTTTTGCCTCCACATGATCCTGTCCAATATTCATAAGATCCTCTCGTAGCGACTCAATTTCTTCGCAAAGATTTTCTTCCCCTTTGAGCTTGGCATGGAGACGGTCAATCGCGGCACTCTTTTCAGTCAATTCGGCGCTGAGAGTATTCACTGTGGTCTCTAAGTCACGAATTGCGTCATTAGGGGAACCATCCAGGGAAATTTGTTCCGGAGCCGTTGATGCTGCTGCTTCCTTCTCTGGATCTGCTTTGCCGCCCTTCTTTTTCTTCTTGTTCTTCTTCTTTCCGCCGTTAGCCACGAGGCTAACATTGTTGGCAGATGTAGTGGGGAGAGCCTTTTGTTGTTCCTGGGGAGTCAAAGCCATTCGAACGTCTTGGAAGTCCGCCGGACGGCCATTCAGGACGAGTTCTTTGGCCTGTTTCCAATTTTCATTCCCATCCAAACCACTGTCCACGAAATCAACAATGTCCTGGGCTTTTTTCGCTTTCGTTTCGCTCGACGACAAATCATGTTTTAAGGACTGTATCGTGGATTCAGCATCCTTCAGCTGCGATTTCAAATTTGTCACAACACCTTGAAGAACATCAAAACGTTTCTGATCCGAAGATTTCTGACCATCGATTTCCGTTTGCTGAGACTCAGCAGTGTCCTTGATTTCCTGCAACTCATTTGTTTTTGTTTCCAGTCTGGATCTGATACTATCCATCTCCGCAAAGCTTCTCACCAACTCGGATTCCGTCGACCTCAACCTCGATTCCAGGGATATAATCTGTTCGCGCAAATCATGGCGCTCGGCTTTGAAGCTAGCATCGAGGCGATCGTTCTTGTCCCGCAGTTCGGAAACTTCGCGCGTTGCAGTTTCCAAACTATGAACCATCCCTTCAGTAGACTCTCGAGCTACAGAGAGATCTCTAGTCAAACCTTTGACTTGAGCCTTGAGTGACTCAATTTCATTTTCCTTTTCTTTCAGTTCAGACTCTAATTTCGGAATCTCATTTTCGAAGGAGAAGAATTCTTCATTTTCTTCTTGTGGGGGTGGAGATTTTATCGGTTTCGCTTTTGGCGAAAATAAACCACGAATGGAGGCGGCACGCGATGTGATCGAGGTTGTAGGGGATTTTTGGGAATCCTCAAGTGAATTTTCTCCAGTGGACGATGTTGTTTGGAGACTTGGGAGTTCTTTTGCCACTACAGGTTCCCCATCTGAAGTACTCGTACTCTCTTCAATTGGCTGGGATCGCTTTAAGTTGGCGACCTCATCCCATGCCTCCCGTGTGGATGCCTCTGCAGCTTCGAGTTTCTTCTTGAACTCGTCCCGGTCCGCAGTAACCCTTTTCAACTCATCGACCACCATGTCTCCCTTGAGGGTTAACTGGTTAAGGTATTCGGTCAACGCACGAGGCTCGTTTATGGAGGTAAGCGGCGTATTTTCTCGCAAGGCAGCCTCGAATGGATCGATAGAGAGTACGCGCGCATGAGCAACCCGGTAGGCTTTCAATAATTCTTTGGTGAAGGGAAATCAGTGACTGTTAGAGGAAATTGGCAAGCGCGTGGGGATTACCTTGGTATCGTGACTCAAGTTTATCTAGCCTGCGTAACTTCACTCTCACGTCCATTGGCATTTCACTCGGAGTTTGCCCCGTGGGCCTTTCCGATGGAGGCGGCGTAGCCCTCACAGACTCGGAGTTATCCGGCTCCCCCCCTTCAGTACTCTTCTCCATTTCTGGGAGTGGTGTGCTGGTCCTTGTTGATGAATCGTCATCGCCGACTACAAATTCCGCATCAAATTCTGACGGGTCAGGGCTCTTAGTAAGAAAACTGTTTCCTCGTTTCACTCTTGTACTGGGGCGCCTGGCCGGAGAACGGTTTGCGCGACGGGCGGAATTGGAGCGGGAAACGGACTCCTGGGTAGCTCGCTGACGAGCTTGCTCTTCTGCAATCCGGGCATCGATTGCACCACGAATCCGCTATATCAATGGTGAGGTCAAAAGGGTGTCATCTGATATGAGTTGCTCTATCACATACCGAAAGCATTGCTCCTGCTCGCACAGGCGAGCATGCAATTAGAGCTATCAGACAGGCAAAGAAGGAAGAGTCTTATTGATTAAACTAATGGAGAACTAATAGGACAGGCGCTTCATGAGCTTAATCACAGTGCTTGTGATCCGGACTGCTGAGCTTCTCCTTATGCTCTGTTGTTGGCTCACGGCCTCAGCACCCCGGATTGCTGACACAGCATGCCAAGCCTGAACTAGTGAACGTGTTACTAGCGCGGTTTCGCTGACAGAACTCCATTAACAGTGAGGCCAGTTCAAGAATCAAACATTGTTGGTCATGAAATGGGGATATCTACTCCTCAGAAAGTGAGGCATAAAATCCATTCTCAAGGGTATTGAATTCCTGCGTAAAAGATTGCTCACACTGTGAAGAATCGTTGGGTGGCTGATTACATCATCGTTGTCTCGGTGTTAAGAAACTAGCTGGGTGGCCCTTTTATCAAGCTCCAACTGCTGCTTCACAATGAGCAGTCGCAAACTGCTTGCAGCCTAAAGCTTCAGCCTGTTGTGGTGAGAAAACATGCTATTTGTATCCTTAGACCATGTTCTCACTATCATTCCTAGTTGCAAGAGTGTGATTATGACGAACTTGAACTAGCCATGGTGTCCTTCTGGCCATGGAGGGTGAGTACAATAGCCTGCTTTGGAAAATGGTCTCAAAGTGGTGATGCTGATCTCAACGGTTCTAGGGCTCAGATAGCTCTCCGGCTTCTTTTGAAAAGGCACTTTCTGAGTTGTCGGAGAGATTAGCGAATACCAATACTCGCCTAGACACGCTTCGCCAACAATCGCGTCGATTCAAAGCCCTCTGGACACTCTACACTAGCTTCATCTACATCCTTTATTCCCTTATTATCGTCCTCGTACTGGGCCACGAACGATGGGGTCCTGTCGAATACACGGCTCTCTGCGGGGGCCCAGTATTGTACGTATAATGACGCTGTCACGATTTGCTGTCCAAACTTCCCCGCTGACGTCGCTAGGATCTATTCTGTCCGAGCCGTAGCAGCAACCTTTTACAACTATCGCATATCCAAAGCCCAAAACGCCCTAGATGACCTTCAAAAACAACGCGACACCACAATCGAAAAGCTGAAAGAAGCGACAAAGTACAATTCGACGCAGATGCTCCTAGAGAAATACGGCGGGGAGTCACCAAAGCCAAAAACCCCGACAAAGGAGGGAGAAGGGGAGGGACATAAACGCAGAGCTCCGAGAGATAGGATGTCTTTACCCATTCCTAATAGCAGGACGGGTCTTGCTCCCCCGCCCACAGCGAACATTCGAAGACCAGAACCTAATCCTATACCTCTACCGCCGCAATCCGAGTATTCTCCCCCCGGAGCTATTCCGGGTCCCCAACGCCAACCCCAAGCCGACGAGCCTGGTTTTCACCCTAGTGCATTCTCATCAACTCTATACAGCGAACATCGCCAGCCACGATGGTACGACCGTGTTCTAGATGTTTTATTAGGCGAGGACGAAACTCTTCCCAAGAACCGTTTGGTTTTGATATGTCAAGGATGTCGCCTTGTCAATGGCCAAGCGGCGCCCGGAGTCCGGACTCTGGAAGAGCTGGGCCCGTGGAGATGTGGGAGCTGTGGTGCTTTGAACAACCAAGACTCTCAGGCCAAAACATTGGCAGCAGCAGTTCTTCCCGCGGACCCTCTCTCACCAAGTCGTTCTCGCGGCCGCAGTCAGAATATTTCCCATTCTACCGAAGGGTCACCCAGCCCTCCTGATGGGGCGTGGGACCCCGTTTCAGGCCCAGGGAGCATGAGCAGCGCCGTAGATGCGGGAAACACTTCCCCGCTAGAAGGTATGGACGCAGGAGTTATACCCGACGCGACAAGTAGTGAAGGGGGGTTTGAGGCTGAAGATGAGTTTGAACCCAATGATGACTCTTGAAATAGAACCGGATACGGAGCGATGCGGAAGGACGGAATCGCTGGGTCGCCAGAGAATTTAATGCTCTTATCAATTGAGCCTCTAGATTTTTCAGTTGGTAGTTCACTCACAGTGCCCTTCATATTCCGACCAGGGTTGAGAGGCCAGCGAGACCATGAAAGAGACCTTTTTCCCACACAGGAATCAGCCACCTACGAAGCATGCAGATCTTACCATTGTGATTAGCCTTGGTTTCATATTAATGTACGGAGTACTCAAAATTTCGCTCCAAGAAAATCACTGTCCAGCCATTGAAGTGGTAGCTCGTAACGTCGCTCATTCTCAATCGGTTCTGCGCTTTTCAACGAGTCCACAGCGTGGGTACCCCTTGTAGGACAAACTGCCGCCCAGACTCCTCATCAAGTTGCGGCTTTAGCTCAGTTGGGAGAGCGTTAGACTGAAGACCTCCTTCAGCCTGCAATCTAAAGGTCGCCTGTTCGATCCAGGCAAGCCGCAGTTCTCTTTTTGCTTTTGCTACGCTTTCTTTTTGCCTTCAAACCTGGCCGTTACAAGGCCCATTAAAAGAATTCGACCTCGAACCGAACAGGCCCTTATTATTCCTCACGTCCTTGAGGCCATCCCGAAGGCAGTCATGTAACTAACTTTGGGGCTGCCTAACAAGAGCTCCGCAGCTGCCGGCCCTGATATAGTTATGCCTTCCCATCCCTTAAACAACCATCCTCTCCCTCTCTCTTACGTCTTGCCTACCTCTCCCACCAACATGGGTTCTGAAAATGCAACTTATCCACCCGCGAGTGTTCCTGCCACTATTCTTAGTTGGATTCAAAAATAACAACGCGAAGAGGCTGCTGCCATGACAACTTGAATCTGGCGTTTAAGGCTCCCGAAAAGACTCCAGAAACAATCAAGACATTCTTCATTCTCTTCATCACGCAGTAAAAAACAATGGATGCTCATGCTCATGCTTGATATGCCAAAGTGGCCGCGAAACTGGTTGAAAAAGGGAGGATTAGCCAGACGCTCGCAGACGCCCTCCTACGAAAACTCCCAGTCCAGAAGAGAATTCGCAAGATCTACCAGCGGATTAGTGAATCCGCAAACTCTCGATTCACTGCAGCAGACCTTGACGATGACTTTGAAGTGATATTCTGGGACGACACGACCCCAAATAAGAAGCCTATTTTCTTCGAAGCGCTGCCCGATGGGTTCCTTGAATCCAACTACGAACTGCAAGAATTTGATTTCCCTCCGTCGGATCCGAAATGTGCCAGTCACTATTGTTATACATTTTGGACGCAACTCGGAAGATATACTGGACTAATGGAGTGGAAGCATGAGAAAGATCCTCTCATTAGGTGGAAGTGGAACACTGATCGGTACGTCCCCCAATATGAGACCTCAGATTCCCCTTTCTAACAAGGGCAGCCCTCTGTACGACAATCGCTCCATCCTCGAATATGAAGACTCTTCAAATCCGGAGCATCGATACGAATTTATCACCCTTGACATCAGAGGACATGCAGGTGTCCCTCATTCGATCGTGTATTCCCGACATATGATACATGACCCAACAAGCATCTTATGAAGCGACTTGATGATTCTGCTTCGAGTCATTTTAGCAAAAGGGCAAAGCGACGAATGGCTGATGCATGATATTACTCCGGTAACAAGCGGCATCGTTCTCATGTTTACCAGAGAAATTCCTTTTAACCGCTTCATTTCACTAGGTTCTGCTTATCTCGGTGCGCGATGGCCAATTCCAAGTTATTGAAGCATACTACAATGGAAGCAAAGTTGTCCTACGATATGGCATTCCGATCAAGCTACCACGCGGCGCTCCTGCTGAAGATCAACAGCGGAAAGTCAAGTGGCTGGTAAGATGGCTTTATCCAAACCCGATCGGAGACACTCGGGATTTTGGGTCATTACCTTCGCAGTGAGCGCTATCAAGCCGCCTGCATTACGAAACCGACCTAGATGCCAAATACGCTTGATGTGAAACATTCCACTCTCTGAAAGGAAGCGTATTTCAATAATGACAGTAACGAATCTCAATAATGATAATAATGGGCCTTTTTCCCTTTGCTCCAACATCTGTAGGGATGCCCTTCCTCGTATTCACTTTTCTAAGAACCCTACGATTTTGAAGGATGGGCCAGGTGAATGAGAGATGAGAACTCTTTGCTTTTCGGGCAAAGAGAATAATAAGATGATGAATCAATGAATTGCTTTGAACTTTCTTCAAAAGTAGCATTCCTCTAGTCAACCTGACTGATGTCAAGGCCAGGGACAAAAAAAGATGTTGAGAGGTGCGCGATTCGAACGCGCGAATCAAAAGAAACTAGGGCCTAAACCTAGCGCCATAACCACTCGGCCAACCTCCCAGAGTCTGATTACGTTACCACTCCTCGCTATTCAACTGCAGCTAAGCGGTCATTCCATTACTACAGGAGACGAAAACAAGAAGAGTAGCTTCGGAATATGTTCTCATTTTCTGATAAATCATGTATCCTTACACGCACATGGGGTATTTAGTATATACATTAAAGTGTTTTGCCCAGAGCCCTTTCGCACTCGCCTCAGATACTTGCTCGTCTTGGTGCCATGGTCCGTCTCAGCTTCTTTTTCTCCTCCGTTTCCTCCTGGATCGGCAATCCACCCTCGTTCTTCAACCGCTCCAAGAACTCCTTGCCAAACTTATATCCAACCTGGTAAATCTCGTCGAATTTTCCAAATTCAAGCGTCCCGAACGCATCGATGGGTGGTCTCATGTACAGACACCCGGGCATCGTTTTTGCGCGCTCCAATGCATCTACGGATGAGACGTATGCAAGACGGGCTTGAATCTCAGAGAGCGTTGGGGGGTTAGGGAGAGATGAAAATGGGTTCCATCTGTTGACTAGTGCCCAGAAACCGGACAGCGAGTCGCCGTATCCTTGCGGTGTATTGTCATCAATAGAGCCGACATCCACGGCAAATATCACGTCTGCACCGAGAGATTTCATCCGTGCAACAGTGAGGTTGTCCACATACCCACCGTCAAGGAGCATGTTGCCTTCATCGCAGAGTGGAGGCAGTAATCCCGCAAGCGACATCGAAGCACGGACATACCGCCAAGCGTACCCAGATGAATGGAACTCGTTTCGAGACTTGCTGATATTGGTCGTATTGCAGTAGAACTCCAGCCAAAAATCCTCAATGTGGCTGTTTCCAAACGCTTTGAAAATTCCGCGGTTAAATTCATGACCCGTGGTATACGAAGCTGATGGGTATGTGAGGTCCAATGCGAATCGCCACATACTGGCCATACGCCCGGCGAATTTCTTTACACGGCCATATGCGGGAACGACGTCCGCGTCTCGCGCGTATAACCCGCCAATAAACGATCCGATGGATGTTCCTCCGATAATATCGATTGGAATACCGGCTTCCTCCAATGCCTTAATCACGCCAATATGCGCAATTCCCCTAGCGCCCCCGCCGCCTAACACAATGCCCACAGACTTGCCACATAGGCGACGTGCGAGACGGAAAAAATCACCTTTAAAGGGAGTAGATGTAGAGTAAACTGGCGTTTGCCTGATCCTTCGAGAAGTGTACTTTTGAATCTCCGCTTGGATAACCTGCACTCGTTGTTTTAGTACCGCACCCAAGCGCTTGGTTTCTGGATGGACGGGCTCAGCGGTGAGCCTAAACGCCATTTGGATATGATGGTGGCCACCGTTGATCCACATGCGATTTTTCAGCCATTGTCTGGTAAGACCCGGCGGGGAGTATCTTTCAACATGCAATAGAACAAGGTCCTTTCTCGCTGTCGTCTTCATACCAAGGAGGAAGCGCTCATATTCACCAATAGCGGGTGAGCCTTCAGCAACCGCAACAAGAAGGATACAATCCGCTTGGCTGATACAGGTCTGCGTCCAGGGTGCATTCACGCTCGTATCGCCAATGTAAAGAACCATTCCGTATCTCTCTTCAAGGTCAGCAAGGTATTGGGCGAGTTTAAGTTTACCCATCTTGCTGAAAGCATGGCGCCCAAGGTGGTTCAAAATATCGGCCTGGTGTAGAGATGTAACCCCGTTGGTCACTCCGACCTGACTAAATGCATTTAGAAGCCTGTTTCCAAACTCTACAACCGGAATGCCAGCCGTAACCGGGAGAACCGCGACAGTTCGTAAATTCAGCGTTGACGTGGTCGTTTTCGCACTGTCTGGGCTTCCTTTGTCGCCACCTCTCTCAAGTGGGTTATCTATTATATGCCGCATTCTCTGGGCTATTAACTTTGATATTTGAATAGTGATACCGGGATGTTCCTGAGCAAGGCTATTAAAAAGCGTTCGTGGGAACTTTGCTAATTCCGTATCACGAATTGCATGCAGTGTTGCCGGACGTGTCGACTCTGTCATGACTTCTAATTCACCAACGCTGTCACCTTGACCATACTCGCCGACAACGCTAACTTTTCCATCACCCTTATCCAAGACAGACCGAAGTCGACCGTTGAGGACGATGTAAATAGCGTCGCTCTCATCACTTTGATGGTATATTACTTGGCCAGCGTTGACTTGCACCCATTCAAGGGCGAAATCAATATGCAGAATCAAGCGCGGCAGGACAGTCGTTAGTCGCTTTGCCATTGTAAGCATAACCAAAGGATATCGATCAGCAATTCTCTCAAGAACAGTACGCGGAAGAAATCCGACATAGACATCTGTCTTCGCAGTGACATCGGTAAAAGATCGATATGATGTTATAGACCCAATATATCCTTCGATCCCGCCAGGTTTTACCATATATAGCGAACGCCTGGAGGCTTTCTTCCTCTGAAATTGCCCGCTGCCAAGCGTCGTTGATACTCGAGAGGCATTGCCAACAGCCCCTGTTATCGGCAGCAAAAGGTCTTCCGCTGTTGGTCCACGGGAAGAACCAATGAGATCTTCGCCCTTTTCATTGACAGGGATACCGACATCTAGGAACCCATCAATGACATAATATAGGCCCGGATTTCTCTCCCCTTGCTCAACAAGAACTGAGCCTTTCGGGAAATAAACTATCTCAATCTCGTCTTGCAGCTCTAATCGAAGGCTATGGATCGGAGAGGTGCCGCCTGCTGATGTAACCGACATTGACATGAGAGATTCCGAATCTCCGTCACATAAACCATCATACGGGTCTATAAAACCAAACGCATTATTGAAAACAGCTTTCTGGCGGCGCGAGTCGTAGGACACTAGCTGCGGAGACGCGTCACCCGAGTTCTGAGCTTTACGCAATGCATCTGTGGTGCTTCCCGTCAGACCTAATGCTTTCATCATGCAATCCAGAATGGATTCGCGGAAGAGGGCATCTTGATCCAATGCGTCCTGCCTTTGAAAGCTAACGTTCTGGGCCGGCAGTTTGAAGAGCGGCTGGCCAGCAGTAGCCAACGGACTGGGCGGGCCTTCAGCGGGGCTTTTCAAACCAGAGGTTGCGTCGTAAAATACACTTCTGCCGTTCAAACGTTCACTTCCATATCGAGGGCCAAATCGTGAAAGTTGAATGGTAGATAACAAGTCGCCGGGGCTAACACCAGTAGACTCATGGTCACCATAGCGAGGACCATTGGGACTAGTCCCTTTACCACGTACAGCTGTAAACTTAGCATGGATTGCGGCATCTTTTCTAAGGGAGCTACTTGAACGTCTTCTCCGGTTAGCAGCTGGATTGTGAAGCGCAATTCCTTTAGCTCCATCTTCCGGGCCCAATCTTTCCTTCTCCTTTGTGAATTTGTCCTTGAGATGATCCAATGCAGCTCCGCGTAGATGATTGGGGAGATCGAAGGAAGTGTATTTGGTCATTTGTTTCCCAATGCTCAAGACCTCCGTAGTCAGTCCGAGGTATGAGTGAGCAGTAGCAAAGGTGACCCTTTGAAGTCTCGTAAGGATCACTTGTATAATGTGTGCAGTAGCCTTTGGATAAACTCTAGTCAAGCGTCGGAAAGCGCTGGCCGGAATAATAGCGATGGTGGTATCCACCATTGCTCTAGCCAAAATGTCGGGGTGGACAGATTTCTCCCTTTTAAGCTTCGAAGGCCTTGTACGTTTGTGGCCATGATGTTTTGGATGCTGCCCCGGACTGCCCTCCAAGACTAACGGAGGGACCTTGGGTAATGCGCCTCCGGCTAGTTGTGCCGAGATATCTCGTTGATCTGAGAAGTTCGATCTCATTGGACTTTCCATAAGCGGTGCTGGGCTCATCGGGAGTGATTCAGGGCCCGGAACATTAGTGCCAACAAAACTGGAAGAACTGGATTCCATATCCTCGGTGTGTCGTAATTTGACGTCCTCACTGAAGAGGGAGAGAATTGAGAACAGTGACGACATGGATGCGCCATTTTTCACCTCCGTCAACAACTGGTAGCCTTGGTGGCCTCGACGCCGGAGCCCATCGTCCTCTTCAGCTGAATCTTCCACCATCTCATCCACCGGGCCACCATCTCGATCATCATGCCTTTCCTGCATGGATTTGACAAAGATTTGGACTAGCCCGTCAACAACCAAGCAAAAGCCTTTCTCTTCTTCTAGTAGCAGGGTTTCTCCCGCAATCAACTTGCGTGTTTGCATTGTTCGCGTAAGCTCATGGAACACTGGCCGCTCTAGATAACCGAACACTTTTATTGCGCTAAGGAACTCGTCTAGGTAATTTGACAATCCTGGTTTTGAATCGCCATCTTGCGAATCGGGGAATAAATCTATTTCTGGTTCTTTTCTTTGGGGTTCTGGAGGCAGACGGGAGTAGATATTAAGGAATCGATAGCGAATAAACCAACTGATCGTAGAAACGAAGAGTAACACTATTATTAGTCTTCATAGAGAGTTAGCACAGCCATACCGGAGTCAATTGACCACTTTCCTGCCGGATTCAATATATAATGGCACTCACAAAGTTGTAAAATTCATGGTGAAAGTCAGGCTCATGGAGAAGAGGGTAAACAGCGCGGTAGGGACTGTGATGGTGCTGAAAGTGATAACCCAGTAGAGCAGGCTGGGCACCACCTGGAAGAGGTAGAGAAGGAAACGCCCGATATAGGACGCCATTGCAAGTTGAGGTACAATGCCCTGAAGAAGATCGGGAGGAGAGATGGTAGGGCAAGAAGACGTCGCGGGGGAGGGGCAGGGCGGCAGGGAGGTAGAAAAAGAAAAGACAGGCCGGGAAGACGTGAGTGGGTCTGGATTCCAGGCATCGGTCGGGGAACTCGCCGTCGAAGATGAGATGGAAGCGATCTGGGGGGACCGAAGACCACCTGCGTCACTGCCAGGGGACGAGATGAGATGCGAGGCTGGCCGGTCTGGCGCCACAGCCGCAGGATTCTCGGCCATGACCTCAGCGCTTATTTTTCGAATGAAAACAAAGTGATGTTATGGCGCACTGTCATTTGTCGGGAATTCGCTCATCATTGAGGTTGCGCTAAGCCGGCTTCACTTCTCGTTTTGCAGCGTCAACCATGGCTTGCTGGCCGGGTCCCACTGACGAAAAGCCAACCTGGAACACAAAACGTGGTGGGGATCGGTGGGCTTGTTGGTTGGGCTGAGGTCACGATGGTGGCCTCGTTAGACAGCGGTGATTCTCAACAGGAACATGGGCAACTCTGAGATCCAGGGCAACGCATGGGTGTGAAGTTGGGCGTCTCATTTGTCCGTTTGCCGTCTCCCGCGACTTGCGATGGTTAATGAGGAGCACTAGTTATGAGATGGGGTGGAAAATTACGTCAGCGCCAAGACAGGCACTCCAATAGCGGGTGAGACAAGGATTAAATTGACACCATCGATAGCTAAAGGCGAGGTTCATATGATTCCTACAGTGTATGATGTACAACTCTCCCGAAGACAGCAATGATGGATAATACCCATATACCCCATAACCATACAACTAACGACGACTAACCTGCTCTTGACTTATTCAGTAGTTACCCTCTAACATCGCAAGCTCATCCAGCAACTGCACCGTTTCACCTGGATTGGATACCCATGCGGTCGTGCACGCCAGTCGAGCCTATGCAAACCGCACATTAGCTTTCCTATCAATGTCCCACGGGGCCATCATACCTTGAAATCGTTTGCGCCAGCAGACAGAAATTGATCACCGATATGCAGTGTCTTGGATCTGTCAATGCCGCCAAAGTAGGTCTGGCAGCAAAGAACACCCCAGGATTTATCGCCAATGTCGACAAAAACGTCATTTCCACCGTTGAAAGCGCAGAAGGGCAGCCGGCGTCCGACAGCAGATGTTTCGACCGTCTGCTGGGCGACAAGGACTGTTTCTTCTAGTTGCTCACGGTGCATCCTGTGCCCTTCAAGAGGGTATATTCCCACTGCTCGCTCCTTGCGGAGAATCGAGGCTGGTAAATTCAAATTCGAGACGCAATCACGAAGAGCAGCTTCGGCAACGTCAAGCAACTCCTTGATATCTTCCTCTGTCCAAGCCTTCATCTCCTCCAACAACCATTGGCTTCGCGGCACCCAGCTCAATCGATGAGGAGAATCAGGATCAAATTCGAACATAAAGTTGCTCTCGCCGCCGAGTATTATTAGGCTTTTCTTTTGGGTAGCCGTCAACTCCGTCGCGCCCTGGATCCTGTCCAACAAACCATGCAGCCGGTCATAATACTTGTCTGCGCTAACATATCCGGCCGCGGTCACGATACCAACTTGCTTGTTTTGTCCTAGTAAACGAATGATGCGAGATATAACCTCGTTGTCTGGCGTTAGTGAGGCACCGTCTTCATAGAGTGTTACATCTCCGTCGAAAGTGATCAATTGCACCTGGCTGCGACGAACAAGGCCCATCAGCTGGGCTGTATTCAATGTTAAGCGGATGTCATTGAATGACGGTGGGACAAATCGCCGGCTACTAATGAACCGTTTTTTATCCTGATACTCAAATGCCTCTTCGAGTAGTAGCGGCGTAAAGAACGTGCCCACAGAAGGAATCAACATCTTCAAGGTTGACCGGCCACTTGTGCCCGAATTTTGATGCTTAACTGTTAATCACATCAGCCACAGAATAAGGGTGGTTTTGGGGTTATAGAGGCATACTATGGTCGTTGATTAGATGCTCAACATCTCGCATAATCTCAACATATCGATCATGCGTACGCTCTGCAAGATAGACAAGGTTCTGGCTGTGCTCGTTGTATATGGCTGCAGGTTGTGAATGCAGCACAAAAGGGACAGCAAGCAGTCCCTATATCCATAATTAGCGACCCATATATTCGAGATTAGAGCAAAGCTATAATGAATACTGCACCTTAATCCATTCAATCTAGTTTTCATATATGGCATGCATCAGTCACGAGTGAGTGCAACAAAAAGATACCCTTTTTGGTTCCAACTTACCAGTTGATCCCTTCGATGGGACTGCGGCGAATGGCATGTCAGTCAAAATGCAAGCAGTACCTGCCCGGGGGCTAATCATACAACTCACCTTCAAAGCGTCTAGTTTGCAGACATCAATTTAGCATGAATGCGAATTTCGAACTATTCAATGAAATGCAACTCACATTCAACCCGGTACCGTGTCGTCATGGTCTACGATGCACACCGGTTTAGGCCGAGAGGTGTTTTGCTAACTATCTAGATGGTGAAAGGAGGGACTGTAGCAAGCTTTCGAGTCGTTTTTGATTAACTTGCTAGATTACTGAGTACGAACTCGCGCCCTGGGTATCTGAATCCGCAAAGCAGGACGTTGGAATCAATGGGATCTTAACATATGAAGTAATACTGGAGAGCTCGCCCGCTTTGAGCTCCCGAGACCGAATGAGTCCCGTGATGCCTGACCACTGTGGGGGTGTTGGCACGCCACCATCCAGGGCACTTGGTTTCGTTATTGGCCCCGATGCCCCCAGAGGCCCTGTGTCCCCGCCACTGGCTCACGTCCAACTCAGGGCAGCTGCTTAACTAACGGCTGAGGCCGAACGGAGCTGACCGCCGCCAGGTAAATTGGAATTTGGAGTCGCCTTGAGCTTGATGTCCCTGGTACTTTTTTATGCACTAGTCTTGATGCTCATTGATGTATTCATGCATTATTGTTCTATTATCCACAAGCTAAATATGTCGCCTAGGTATTAATTATGGGGCCTAAACGTCTTGAACGGGTTGATCTGCATCTTCCTTCCCTAGAATCTCTACTGCCTGGTGAAATGAGACCCTGGAAGCATCTGCTGCTTCGTCTCGTATATCAGCAGCGCGCCATGCGAAAGATATCTCTCCAGGTTGTTGTTGCTTTTCTTCCGCAGAGTTTCCTCCACGCCCTGCCCAGGAACATTGCAGATGTAGTTGACCATCTTCAAGCTGAATGCGTAACTTTTTTGTGCGGCGATGCGCCGGGGAGTACGCAGTTAGCTCACCATTTTGAGGGAATGTCGGTTGCCAGGGTAATAAACATGTTTTGTCCGGTTTCTGGGTTGGCGACCTAACAAATTCACCGTCCTCGAGGCCCTCTTCCTCTGCTAAATATCGAGGCTTTGCAAGCCCAGCAATCGGAATATTCAGGCTGCTAGTAGTGTCTGCAGGTTTCCCAAGAGGTGGAACTAAATGAACAAGATCCAACGTAAAAAGATATAAGATCAGCTTACGAGCATCCTCCCGAAGCCCAAAGCGGAAAGGGGATTGTTGCGCAGGGAAATGGCAGAGATTGCTGACAAGGTCAAATTCTGACCCAAGGCCATTCGGGTTGACGTTGGTCCTAATGCGCATCTTAACCACTGAAGTTTGCGAGACAAGGGTGCAACGAAGGAATGACTCCATAGGATTGGTAAGGGTGCCTATAAACTTTTCAAGGTATGAAAGGACTATGGGCGGTTGTGTTTGTTCGGAGTGACTTCGTGAAGGCTTCAGTAAGGGATACACGGTGTAATTGCACTTTAGTCCAGCGGATTGAAGAGTGCTTGTTATATTTTCAAACAATGACGTAAACCACCGGTAATGCGACCTGTGCTGAAGATATGACAAAACAGGCCGTAAGATCTTGTATTCTGGATTCGGCCTCTTATTGGGGGTCAAAGGCGGAGGCAGGCTCGTGCGGCGACGATAATTTTCGCGATGGGCATAGCAAAGGAGGATGCGGAAAGACATTGCAATTGAGTGGGCCAGGATGCTATCAAAAGGATCTGAATCCGTCTCTATATCAGGAGGTTCCTCATCAAATCCAACCAGGTCAATATGTACTTGTTTGGTATCGTCAGCATGGAATTTGATTGAATTCCGCCTAATTTCAACTCCGTGCTGGAGCAGCACGCGTGCTTCTCGGTTTAATTCATAGAATAACTCTTCTTCAAAGAGACTATCTCGAGCCTCACGGATTTGACAAGCAAGGGATTCATCCTTCCTGGGAGCTGCCGGAACAGATACTGCTACGGTTCGGTCCCCTTCCCGGATTCGTATACGGACAACCTGTGGTGGTTTCGTTTGTACTCCCCGGTCTAGAAACAACCGTTCCCCTTCTCCCTTCCGAAACGCCGCAAGGCCCCTGTCTCGGAAAATCGGCGCAGATTCAAGGGATCCAAAGTGGACTCCAAGGGTTTGCCTCTCACGAGGTAGTTTGCATACCTTCCAGCCCTCTTGCTTAATCTTCAGGACCTCAGCCCAGTATTTCGTTTCGGCGGCAATATCTTCCTCCAACCTTTCCGCTGACTGAAGTAGCTTGCTCGCTGCAGCATCGAGACTTTCCAATTTCCATCCGCGTGACACAGCGCTTATATCTCTCTTCTGAGATTCCGACTGTTCGGGTGGTTTTGTACGGTCGATTGCTAGAGATCCAAGCGGTACTTTCTGTTTGAGGAGCGGGGACATGGACGTTTCTGCTTGGCGGGGAGTAAATTTGGACAAAAGTAGAGAAATAAACTCGAGCGCGTAGGTTGCCTCCATATGCGCATTCCTAAATAATTGCAAATCAGTATCTCACCTGGTGGTAACCGAGACAATACTAACATGGCGAATTGAGAAATCTCGAGACGGCTCCTGAAGAGTTTCTCTTCCCTATTTTGCTCCTCATCCTCACTCTTTCTCATATCAACTTCCTCATCCTCATTTTCTCCCGCAGTACGTGCAGCTTCAATCTCCGCCAGAAGGCTTGCCTCGGTCACATCTCGAAAAGACCCTCGTTGGGCGTTGATCTGAGCGATTTTGATCGCAAGGTCGTCCTCCCGATGTGCCCTTTGCTGTGTGGGCCGGAGTGGTAAGGTAAGTCTTTCCGACATCCTAGTAGTAGGTACTCAATCCGCCATGGTGTTGTCAAGACAAAGATTGAGAGCCACAGCATCAGGTTGGGAGCTACCACGTGACCCTCGTCGAAATAAACCATCACTAGCACCGTAGCTATTACATAATTACGCTAACCAGGGTCGGGGTTCTAGAAGCCGGTGTGACATCACCCGCCAAGACCTGCGCTGAGCAGCGAGAGGGGCTGTCATTGGGACAAACATCGACATCAAGCCCAAGACAGAAACGAGAGATGAGAATCATACAAGGCCTCATTATTGGGGAAGCCAAACTCTCTTCGGCCCGTCTCACCGCTGCCCAGGATCATTAAAGCGTGCCAAGGGTGACAACAAAGTGACTGCAGGCTGGAATAATAATCAGGCTAGATCTCACATAGTAGGCTGACCTTTTGCCCCTCCGGATCCGATCGTTCTGCGGCATATTTCTCCCTTTAAGCTCTCTCACTGACCCCTCAACCACCCAACAAAAATCTCAAGCTATCACTAACATTTCTTTGAGCAAGGTTTGGTTCACCTCAATTCCAAGGTTTTCTTTGGGCCAGCGCAAGTGACTTAGCGGGGAGCTTCCCAGCTTGAGCTCACGAAACTTTAACGACTTCCTCTACTCCTCGAACCCCGCGACTCTGCCATCTCCCACCTCAAAAGCTCGCCAATCGGCATAAACAGCAAAACTTGAGCTGCAATGGCATCCTCTGCTCCCTCCGGACACTTGACGGTCCCCCTGGCCAAGCGGCGCCGCATTGCCGTTCTCACCAGTGGCGGAGACGCTCCTGGTATGAACGGTGTCGTGCGTGCGGTGATCCGGATGTCGATTCATTGCAAGTGCGAAGCGTACGCTATCCATGAAGGCTACGAAGGCCTTGTCCAGGGCGGCGATTTGATCCGACGGATGCATTGGGAAGACGTTCGCGGTTGGTTGTCTCGCGGCGGTACGCTCATCGGTTCAGCTCGATGCAAGTCCTTTATGCAAAGAGCAGGCCGCCTGCAAGCCGCAAGGAACATGGTCATAAGGGGGATCGACGCCCTTATTGTTTGTGGAGGAGACGGCAGTTTGACCGGCGCAGACGTCTTTCGCTCCGAATGGCCTGGCTTGCTCGATGAGCTTGTCCAGAACGGTGACCTTACCGCCAACCAAGTTGCACCATATAAGACCTTGAACATCGTGGGCTTAGTGGGCTCGATTGACAATGACATGTCGACCACGGATGCTACTATCGGGTGCTATTCCTCATTGCATCGTATCTGCGAGGCCGTTGACGAAGTTTTCGACACCGCCGCTTCCCATCAACGTGGTTTTGTCATTGAGGTGATGGGAAGACATTGCGGCTGGCTTGCCCTCATGTCTGCCATTAGTACAGGTGCTGACTGGCTATTTATCCCCGAGATGCCTCCGCGGGACGGTTGGGAAGATGACATGTGTGACATTATTACCCAGGCACGCTAAATCACATATCCGACAGGCTTGCGTTTCTGATATGTACTAACTTGTAATAGAATCGACGACGAGGTAAACGTCGAACAATCGTCATCGTTGCTGAAGGTGCCCAGGACAGGAGCTTGAACAAAATTACCTCTGATGCAGTCAAAGATATTCTAAGCAACAGACTCAAGCTTGACACCCGCGTCACAGTCCTGGGACATACGCAGAGGGGTGGCGCCGCGTGTGCTTACGATAGATGGCTCGCAACCCTCCAGGGAACTGAAGCTGTGAGAGCCGTGCTCGAAGCAACGCCTGATTCTCCATCCCCTATCATCACAATTCGCGAGAACAAAATTGAAAGGGGCTCCTTAATAGAAGCTGTTGAGGCTACTAAGAGAGTCGCAAAATGTGTAGACGAAAAGGGCTTTGAGGAGGCTATGCAGCTTCGAGATTCAGAATTTAAAGCTTACCACAGGGCTTACATCAACACGACCACTCCGCATCATCCCAAGATGCTGCTTGCCCCAGAGAAGGTATGTGACCAGGCATGTTGGCGCTAAGAGCTTCTTGAATTAACCGTAGTTGATTGTAGCGAATGCGCATTGCGATTATTCACGTTGGTGCCCCGGCCGGCGGCATGAATCCTGCAACTAGAGCGGCAGTGGCCTATTGCATTGCTCGAGGACATACTCCCGTTGCCATTTATAACGGGTTCCCTGGGTTGTGCCGTCATCATGCTGATAAGCCACTGGGCTCCGTTCGCGAGGTAGACTGGTTGGAGTCAGATTCCTGGGTAAACGAGGGTGGCTCCGAGATTGGGACGAATCGAGGTCTTCCCTCTGAAGATATGCCAACGACCGCACATTGCTTCGAGCTATACAAATTCGACGCTCTGTTTATAATAGGAGGGTTCGAAGCCTTTACTGCAGCAAGCCAGCTTCGACAAGCAAGAAAAGATTACGCCTCGTTGAGAATCCCCATTGTGGTGCTCCCTGCTACTATTTCAAATAATGTTCCTGGCACAGAATACTCACTGGGCAGCGATACTTGCCTCAATACACTGGTGAATTTTTGCGACGTGATCCGGCAATCCGCTTCTTCTTCGCGTCGCCGAGTATTCGTGATTGAGACTCAAGGCGGCCGTTCTGGGTATATCGCTGTGATGGCTGGATTGGCAGTGGGAGCTTATGCAGTCTACATCCCCGAGGAAGGAATCGATATCAAAATGCTCGCTCGCGACATCGAATACCTTCGCCACAACTTTGCGACCGACCGGGGCGCGAGTCATGCGGGTAAGGTCATTCTTCGCAACGAGAAAGCTTCTGGCACGTATACCACACAAGTCATCGCGGATATGATCAAAGAAGAGGCGAAGGGCCGTTTCGAGTCTCGCGCAGCTGTGCCTGGGCATTTCCAACAGGGCGGAAAACCATCACCGATGGACCGGATCCGTGCACTCCGTCTTGCGCTCCGCTGCATCCAGCATCTCGAATCATTCGCGGGGCGCAGCGGTGAAGAAATTGCAGCTGATGAGATGTCGAGCGTTGTGATCGGTATCCGAGGCAGTGAGGTTGTCTTTGGCCCAATGTCCGGCGAGGATGGCCTGGAGGCGACGGATACTGACTGGGAGCATCGACGTCCACGAAACGAATTCTGGATGAAGTTGCGACATCTGGTCGATACGCTCAGCGGACGGCCTGCGGACAGCAAGGAGGGCAAGTTCCAACTGTCCGATGACGAGGGCTGGGAGTCTGGCGGCACGTCCGACCCGTGTCATTTTGCGGCCACTCCCAAGATCAGGCCTAGAGAGCTACCTCTCAGATAGTTGAATGTAGTCGGCATCGTGGTTTATATAGACTTGAAGGTTGGTGTCGAATTTGATAGTATTTTGGAGAATACAGCCGTTTATCCTAACTAGCTCCTTCGCATTGCTTTTTTAGCCCGTCGTGGGCTTGGCAGACAATCTCGGGTTGAATGCTTTTCCATCTGTCGAATTGTTTAGGTCTGGCTGCGTTCCATCCGCCTCACGCCCTCCGGGCCTCTGCCATGGGTTGCGTATCCACTCCTTCGTAACATCCTGGATAGATGTCTCAAACATTCAAGTCCAACGGCCGACGGAGCGTTGGGATTACACTCTTCGACCGCCGCCGACCGTTGCAGGCTGACAAGATACGCTTTGCAAACCAATCTCGGGTGCGCGCCGGATCCGTGGTGACTGTTGGCCCTATTCTTCCACTCCCTGCAACCAACATCGCCGGCGCTAAATTTTTTTTTTTTTTTTTTTTTTTAGATCAAAACTAATGGCAACAAGGGTGGTTTCTAACCGGCATAATGTGTGCCTGGAGTCTTCAGAGCATGGTGGTGCGGCATGTTCCGCAATCATCATTTTCCTTTGTGAATGATGCTCTTGTTGCCTTTTGAATCAAGATATCAAGTGTTCAGTCTCGCTTTATATTTTCCTAGAGTAATATTATCAGGAGGCGGTCTTTGATAACTACCTCTGGCCGTGCAACACAAAGAGGCTCAGTGGTGCTGTCTGGTCAACAGTAACTACAGCACTGAGCTCACTTCCTTCAGTTCGCAGTCATTTCCCCGCGTCAAACACCACCTCAATTGCACTGTTTAAGGCGTTTGTCGAAATCACTCTGCTTGTTCCTGATGCAGCCTGAGCAATTAGCAACTATTCAATTCTATTCTCAATAGTCAAACCCCCCGCACGTTACACGCCGTTACTCAGACAAGGTGGCTCGGCGATGAGGTTACTGTCTCGCCGTTCACACTCAGTATGGGCCTCTCTCCTGCTCCTCACTTTAATGGGCGCGCAGTCACTTGTGTCTGCCATTGATCTCAACCTGGACGATGATGGTACTTTCTCTTGCTCAATTGGACCTACCCTTGACAGTTTCTGATATCTCGCTCTGCTATAGCATCCATCAAAAGGGCGGCAAAAATCGCCGCGAGTGGAATGACAGTTTTCTACACAGGGCATTTACCAGGCGATGTGCCTGGGAACCTACCAGCACCGTACTACTGGTGGGAAGCCGGCGCGATGTTTGGGGCACTGATCGACTACTGGTACTACACCGGAGACAGCACTTGGAATGATATCACTATTCAAGCAATGCTCCATCAAGCCAGCCCATCAACCAATTTCGAGCCCAGGAACCAAACGAAATCTGAAGGGAATGACGACCAAGGATTCTGGGGAATGGCTGCCATGTCTGCGGCAGAGCGCAACTTCCCGAACCCCCCGGCTGATCAGCCACAATGGCTAGAGCTGGCGCAGGGCGTATTCAACTCCCAGGCTCCTCGATGGGACACGACGAGCTGCGGTGGGGGCCTCAAATGGCAGTTTTTTACGCTAAACAGGGGATACAACTATAAAAACACCATTTCCAATGGCTGCTTTTTCAACATCGCCTCGAGATTGGCACGGTATACGAGGAATCAAACATATGCAGACTGGGCGACGAAATCGTGGGAATGGACCGAGAGAATTGGCTTGATAACACCTACTTATCAGTTCTACGACGGAACAAATGACAAACTGAATTGCACTGAGCTGAATCGAATCCAGTGGACGTACAACGCCGGTGTGCACCTTCTAGGAGCCGCCAATATGTACAACTACGTAAGTGTTTACTCCTGACAATAACGGAGCGGAAGTTACTCATTTTCCATCTAGACCAATGGTGATAAAATTTGGCGCGACCGCGTCCAAGGCATCGTCGAGGGCCTTCGCACCTTTTTCTTCGAGGAAACTAACATCATGTTTGAAGTTGCCTGCGAAGGTATAAATACCTGCGATATTGACCAGCGGTCGTTCAAAGCCTACCTCGCCCGTTGGATGGCAGCAACCACCCAACTCGCACCTTTTACGAGGGACCTCATCATGCCCAAACTCCGTGCTTCGGCTGCAGCGGCTGCGAAAGCCTGTACAGGTGGTAATAATGGAGACACATGTGGCCATAAATGGACAACCGGAGAATTTGACGGCAGTATCGGCGTAGGAGAGCAGATGGCTGCCATGGAGGTTTTCCAGTCAAATCTCATTGCAAAAGTGGCGCCCCCTGTTACAGAATCAACAGGCGGCACCAGCAAAGGCGACCCTTCTGCCGGAGTGCGCGAAGATCCAGTACCAGAATTAAGGGACCTTACAACAGCGGACAGGGCTGGTGCATGGACGATCACGGCTGTATCCATCGTGGTATGTCTAGGTGGCGTGTATTTTCTTCATTCATAGTGTATTATGCCTGTCTTGCAACATTGTGTTCTATATGTTTTTCTTATACAAAATTCAAGACGGCTATCCCAGGATGGAGTTGACAGGAAGAAATGATAAATTCAGGTGTGCATGAAGATGAAAATTCCCTTTCCGCCCATTTGTAAAATCTCTCATTATGACATGGGAAAGAGCACTTGCTAGGATGAATGTATAAGTGTTGGGGGGTTTTCCACTGCTTCAAAGATATTTGAAAGAGGCCAAAGCATCAGGCACCAGCTGTTAAGGTGATTGTATTCTCTACACTGATTATGCTCTCGAGTTAAGCAATTCTGATGAGAAGTTGATAACCTTGCAGGCGTTCCAACAACATTCTCCAGTGAAGGGGGCTGATAATGCAACCGGTCTTGCTGCGACGTCTTTGATCCTACAGCTCCAATCAGCAAGAAGGGTTGTTTGAGTCTGGCAACCGAGTTGAGGCTTTTATTTTCAGTTAGAGAATAATTTCAGCAGCTTCCAGACAGAGAGAGTAGTAAAGATGGATTAACTTGCCACTTGTCATGATGCCCGAGGTAAGCCGTACTTATTAGTTGGCGCAGTTTCATCGCGTGCGGGACAAGTCGCGTCTCTCTCCAGGCATCAGCGGAGAACTTCGTCTTTGGAAAAGATCCTCCACGGATCGATCTAATCTCTCACTTCGACCACGCATTTATCCTCACTTCTTTTATCCCATAACCATCTAGCATCCCTTGTCGATTCTACGCCTGTCAGCCCGGCAGCTATCATGCCTACGTTGACTGACCTTCCACTGGAACTACTCTACGCGGTTGTGGCCGTGGTTGCGCCCCGCAGATCGCGATATACAGCGGATCTGTATTATAGTCCTGACTGGGCTTCCATCAATGATCTTTCTTGCCTAGCACGCACTTGCAAGGCGCTGCATCATGTCGCGCAGCGCGAGTTGTACCGTTATCCGGAAGCGAGGTATCGCAAAATCATCTCCCTTGTGCGCACACTCATTAAACAGCCCGCCCTTGCTGCGAGTGTCAAAGAGCTACGCACTGGGGATATATGGACACTTGTTGACGCGCCCTACCCCGACTTCAACGACTGCAAGATCACGGTTGAAGACGCAGATATGTTCAATAAGCTCCTGAAAGTATATTGCAAAAATGAAAACGACTTCTATCCGATGCGACCCATGGAAGGGTCGGAAGAGAACCTTTATTGCCATGAAGATGAAAACCGCGTGGTGGGGAACCTGGCTGCGCTGGCCATTGCACAAGCTACAAACGTCGAACGACTGGTCCTGCAGACATATTATTGGGATGTACCCGAATCATTCACACCGCCCGCACTTCCTTTTCTTACCGAATTTATTGTCCAGCATGGTGATACCGAGTTGTCCGTTCACATCGACAATATCCAAGGTATCTTCGAGGCAGCTCCGTCCCTGAAGCGATTTCACGGACATATGGTGGGCGCTGTATCAGACAGGATATCTCATGATGGCGTGACCGACGTTAACTTTACTTACAGCGTTTTGGACGACAGCAGCTTCAGAGCCATCTTCCAAGGCTTTCCAAAGTTGCAAAAATTCGGGTTCACAGCTGGAGGGTCAACGGTCTCATATGATCGGCCAGCGACTCCAAGGGTGATAGCTGAGCTACTACGCCTTCGAAAAGATACTCTGCAACATTTGACCCTCCACCTCGTATGTGCGTGTGAGGCCTTGGATGGTATCTTCGATGGGAGCGAAGCCATGACGAGCCTCGCTTATATGGAGGTCTTGGAGTCGCTGGACCTGCACACTTGCGCTTTAGACGACGAAGAACCCATCGGGCCGTTGTTGGTAAATTTATTACCGCCGTCCATCAGACGCCTGACCATACGATCACAAGAGGAACATCAACATGAGGGTCTAGAAGTCCTAGCCATCGCGGCTCCTGAAAAATTTCCAAACCTGAAAGAAGTTCGGATCGTCGGTAAATCTGGAAACGGGGTCGAGGACACTTTCAAGGCCAGCGGAATATCCTTTCAGGCTATTGAACTCTATGTTGAGTGACCGCCCCGTGTTTCCCACTGTGGCTCGGATTGCTATTGCAGTACTCTGCAATTTTATATTCGTTGAAGTCTTTGAGCAAAGGACCTCACCTTAGGCTCCTTCTTCCAGTGCGATGACTGCGTCGACTTTCCATCCAAAGCAGTACATCATCTAGCGTTACCTAATTTCAGACGAAACTTCGATACGATTCCTAGAGCAGCTAGGATTCTTCCCAGCGGTGATGTCATGTCTGATTTGTGCAGTTTGTCAACCTTTACTCCTGGTGCTCTATTTCCGAGTTCGAGAACTGAGGAGAGCGGCTTTCTCCCATGTTATTACCCGCACGCTTCGACTTGAGTCATATATCCAATCCCGTCGAGTTGAACTTGGGGACGAGAAACGGAGTTTTTTGGCCTAGAGCTTTCAACGCAGACTTCGAGTCTTTTATATACTATATTAGGGATATATATACAGTACGTATTAGGTGATGAATCAACCGCTCACACAAACGTCTCCCAAAAACAACACCCCCATCATTAACATTATTACATCCGCTAAACAAAAGCTCAAGTGCGCAGGAGATGGGAGTGTGATACTCAAAAAAGCCAAATCATATCAAGCAAATCGTGCAATCTCAGATAGCACCGCACATCGTTAAGCCTCAAGGGTTAAGACTTTGTAACGTAGAGCTTAAAACCATTGCGCTGGCCAAATTTTCAAAAGAGGTATAAATACACCTAAAACTTTGGGACGCTTTGGGTATCATATCCAAGCAAACTACGTTTAGACCACGGGGCCAGCGTTTCCGGTGACTGCGGTGTCCGCAGACTCACGCGGCACCTCCTTGCTATGATGGATGGGAGAGCGGGTAGCGTTGTGGTGGTTCCAGAGATTCCAGCTCTCCATGGCGGCGGAGCACATGGTGCAGAAGCTGCTCAAAAATGTGAGTGCTCAATGTTTGCGAAAAGAAAAAGAAAATAGGGGTGGGACCCTGTGTGGTACTTACAAGGCAATAAAGATAAATGCTTGCGAGGCATGTTTAAGGGCACAGCCGATTCCAGGAGGAGAATTGGCCCAGCAGGCAGCTCCAGCGCTGTAATCTTGAGAGGCAAAGATGAAAGAGGTCAACCAGCTGAGGCGAACGTTAGCAGGGTCCTGATAGTGATGCGATGCTGGGATTGGAAACAGGGATGCTCACAGGTATGAGAAAATCAGGTCGATTGGGAAGGCGAGCCAGCCCACAGTTGCGACGAACGGAGATACAAGGCCGGGTAGGAAGAAGACAACGGAAATCACGGCCTAGGAAGGTTAGTATGTTCCATAGTTAATAGCATTGTGTTCCAGGGGATGCGCTCCAGGGACAGGTACAAAGTAACCAAAGGACCTTGAAACTTACAATCACTTCCTCATAGATCAGATGTGTATTTTTGGGGCCTTGTTTGATGAAGTATGATACGATTCCCATGACAATCACTGCACTAGCCCATTGCAGCAGGCGCATGAGCAGCAAGCTGAAGCGCATAAGGGTGCCGAACGCCATATTGGATAACTATTGTTGGTATTTGCTGTATAGGGAATCAGAGGTGAAAAGCAATAGAGGAGGCCAGCTCAAGCGTAGTGGGAGAAATGCGGTCAGCAGATTGATATTAGTATACCAAGCAGCGAATATGAAATAAAGGATCAGAAAGAGGGGTCAGAACCCTCTTATATACACGTCCTCTGCATGAACAAAGGCCATCTAGACATGGAACCGATGACGGGAGGGCACCAATTCCAGACAAGAAGATTCTAGCTATTCGCCCAGCGTCCAAACAGGAATGCACACGGCATCCGAAGTACCCGGCGTGTAATCGCCTAAGGAGACACAGCAAGCAACGGCTTCCACCCCCTTGAGGACGCCGGAGAAGTGAAATTCTGCAGCAAGATGCAGTTCATCACGTCATCGCAACCGATGGCGTGAAGTCAAACCCGGGAATGGCAGCAGGAGAAACGATCGCCGAGAATCGACCGGAGCACGGCAGCATCATGTGCAGATGGCGAGCCTATCCGAGAGGAGTGTATCGCAAATCCGTCAGAGGAAGCTCTCAGGGAAGCTTCTGGCCAAATGCCCATAGCTAGGTCGGATCCTGGGATGCCAAGCGGAACGGCATCGGCCAGGGATGCACATGAGAGATACCTGCGCGGAGACAAAAGGTATACAGTTGGAGTTAAAGGAAGCTTTTGAGTTGCTGGAGCACGGTGGCTAAAAAGAACCGGTGTCACAGCGTTGCGAGGATGATGTGGGTTATGGAGCCGATCGTGATGATCAATCAAGTGCCGTTCAACGGCCAGATTGCTTTCGATTTCGACAGCTTGTGAGGATCCTGATTTGACATCAAAGCGGAAAGTCGGCTCGCTTGGCAGGCTGGAGCTTGCTGGTGATGTCTGAACAGGCCGGTTCCAAGTCAACTTGAATCGGCGTCCCGCCTATCATGATGGTGAGAGCGGGAGCTGCGGTGGCGAGACGAGCTCACCGCAAGGGCGTGTTTGGCTTGCCGGCTACCTGGTGAGTTATTTTGATGGATTGCAGAGGATTCCAAAGTTCATCCAGTTATCATGTCATGTGCGCCGGAGAAAGGTTTGGAATCCAAGCCCAAACCCCAAATTCCATCCAGACTAATCCTTGCATCGGGTTGGAGATGATTCCATTGGTCTCCAGAAGGGCAAAGGAGACCAAAAGCATGCTGTATTCACTAGCTAGTTTTTTTTTTTTTTCCTTTGCCTATTCCCGCGGACTATAGTTCAAATCAACCAGCAGGTTGAGGTATATCAGTCTGTGCATATGGATCGCCAGGGTGAGGCATGGAAATGATTGTTTGATTCAATGATTGTTAGCCTATGTATTAACACTGGCTGCTGGCATTTTTGCTGAAAGGACTTGACAACTCTAACTGAAACAAAGAGCCATAGAGTGGTTGCCCACAGATGGCTTCTAATCTCCCTGAGGTATGTGATACAAGCACGACGTCTCGAATGCAAGGTCCGCTGTATATCCAAGGTCTGGTTGCACACACGTCTTAGCCTTCCTTTCCCCTTTTGCACCTTTCATCCAACAGCCACTCAACCAAGGTCCTATGCATCAACAGGAGCCAGAGCATCTAACTATCTAGACTGCAAAATCTTCCAGGCCTTCACAGTGACCCTAATTTGAATACGGCTCAATGGGCCATCATGATTCAGCCATTGATATTTTCGTCTGCAAGGAAATATCAAAGCACCTTGGTTCCTAATCGTGCCTGGGAATATATCATTCCGTCTCTCAACGGAAGCACGGCACGGATTCCTCCGACGGCCACAATGCTTAGTCACAGGCCATGCATGACGTCGTCGGATCCCCAGAGTTCATCACAAAACGAACGAGCTCGATTGACGAAGAGCTTGAGGTCTGGTTGCAAGCTCCACTTCCGCTTCATCAGCCATTTATACTGCTCACGCAAGATCCCAACGATGGCCCTTTTGAACAACGGGTCAGTCCAGTTGTTTTTTCGACTCCTTCCACTGACATTCTCAACGCTGCTTGTTTTGTTCATCATCTTCGACTATCCTCCAAACCGAACCCTGCAGTTTGTCAATTCCGTCAAATCCCTTGTCCTCGGTACGGAAAACAATGTCTAAACTCATTGTCGTCTTTGGAGCTACCGGAAACCAAGGAGGCTCTGTGGTCGACGGCATCCTGCAGGACCCGGTATTGAGTAAGGAGTTCAGAATCCGCGGTATCACTAGGGATGTCACCAAGCCTGCAGCGAAGCAGTTGGAGAGTAAGGGCGTGGAGGTGAAAAGTGTACGTATACCTCCAGGCTCCCGATAGCTAGACATCTCGAGCCCAACTGACCACATACCCAGGCGGACATGAATTCTCCGGCATCCGTCGGCAAGGCGGTTACCGGGGCTCATACCGTCTTCCTAGTGACAAATTATTGGGAGACCATGGATCCAGAGAAAGAATACAACCAAGGCAAGAATGTGGCAGATGCTGCTAAAGAAGCCCACGTCTCTCATTTGATTTACTCTTCCCTCTATCACATCATGGACGCTAGCGCCGGTGCACTCCTGAACGTTCCGCACTTCGACACCAAAGCTAATACCGAAGTGTACATTCGAGAATTGAGGATTCCGGCCACATTCGTCTTACCAGGGTATTTCATGTCCAATTTCCTGACCTCACTGAACAAGGGAGAGGATGGCACATACACTCTCATGTTACCCTTGACAGACAAGGCTCAGTTCCCCCTTTTTGATGTTTCCGACACAGGTAAGGGAGCCATTTTCCTTGAAATGATAGTTAAGCTTCACCATGCTCATTCTCTCTTTCTGCAAGGCAAATATGTCGTAACGGCAATTAAGAACCGTGACTCCCTTCTCGGCAAGCAAATCCTCGAAGCCGTGGATTATTACTCCCCCGGTCGCATCGTCGAAGAGTTCGAGCAAGTGACCGGCCACAAAGCGAAATTCCTTACTATCGATGCCGACGATTATGTCAAATTTCTTCCAGCGTCAGTTGCCCAAGAAATGCTCGAGACACACCAATTGTTAGAGAATCCGGGATATTATGCCGGCGCGAGCTTGGATAAAAGTTTGAAATTGGTTGAGCAGAAGCCGACAACCTGGAAGGAGTATGTGGCAAGTAGAAGCGAGTGGAAATGAGGCATTCACGTTTGGTTTGGCCGGCACCAAGCTCCAGATCTGACTTGTTAAAAGTAATGCGAAAGGCAGTTCAGACGGTGGAGGTGGATGGACGCAGAGGTGCGATTTAATCATCTGTTTATTCATTCATTAGCCCATCAGAGTCATATAATCCAATACACCAAGTATCTAATCTTGACCGCAAACCAGTCCTGCAGTCTGAACAATCTCGTAGCTCACGTAGATTGCATTTCTACACGTACCTTACACAGCCCGATATTTCAATCATCATTGGTGTATTTATCAAACACATCTGCATAGAACTTTCTTCCCACATCTCGATGGCTTCGAATTTTGGTTCTTAGTTGCGATTCACCCCAGGTCTCGTACTTGCCTCTCAAAAACGCCGAATCAACCTCCCTTCCTTCAGCAGACTCTCCACCATCGGCGAAGCTACCAAAATGCTCCTTCATCGTCCCCACCGCTTCAGATTTTGTCAAGCTCCGCCTCACCCCTTGGAAAAAGGGGACGCTATATCTATCTCTTTCTCCGGAAATGAGCACACGGTGAGTTGTGGCCTTGCACACCCCATTCGTCACGACTTCGAACGCCTGTCCAATATTCACGACAAAGGTTCCCGGTATGGCTGGAACGTCGATCCAATCGCCATTTTTGTTGAGAACCTGAAGGCCCTTGACTTCCGGCGGCGATGCTTGAAGGAGGAACGTCCACCAGCCGGATGAATCTTTATGGGGACCGACGCCTTGCGCTGAGAGATCGGACGATAGAGGATCCGATGCGCCAGGGTAGTGGACCAGTTTCAGGCGGTGTTGGTCGGAGAGAAACGGGAAAAATGCTTGTTGTGGAAGGGAAAGGGCCTCTGCGACTAATTGGAGGAATCGCTCGCCCAGGGCTGTGAGTTCATCGATGTACGACGTGACGATTGGGCGGAGAGATGGTAGTTGGGATGGCCACTGTCAAGTTAGACCGATAGTTATAGGTTAGTTATAAACCAATCATTTTAGAATGAGTGAAGCATACTTGGTTGGGCCCTCTCAATTTTTCGTACAAGGGGGCCGTGTTTGAAGCTACGGCTGTGAGCTCGGTCGCAAACTCAACCTGTTCGCGCCTGTCCGCCTTCCCACCAGTTGTTTCCGATCCAAGGCTGGAATACCCAAGGAAGTGCGGGGAATTCTGCAGGGCCATCTCCTTTTTGGCTATGTCGGAGAGATCGAAAAGATCCGGGAGGATGTCCACAAGATCGTCTATTGTTCTCTGTTGAACTCCATGGTTTGAGAGGTAAAGAAATCCGACGGAGACCAAAGCATGACGGAGCTGCTTTAGAAGAGTCAACTTGGTGGCTGGGTTGGCTGCAAGAGACAGGCTGATCCGCGGAATCTCTGTAAAGCAATGAGCCGAATCCATTAAAAGCAATCAAGGCGAGATTGTGCCTCCAAGTAAATACTATCGTGCTCGTGTGCTGAATTCAATGCAAGGCTGTGGTCAAAACTCCAAGGGGCCAAGTGCCAATCGAGCCGCGGGGCAAACAGCATCGCTTAACACGCTGATTGCTTTGGCCCCTCGCTCGGGAGAACAACGCATCAAGAGCCTTAGCCTGATGATACCCTGGAGGTGCATATATAATGAGGAACGAGAGCCTGTGTGACGTGTTGGTCGTATAAAAATTTTAGACTGTAGATTTTAACTACAGGATGAAATCCGCAGACCCATTTTTCGGCATAACCACCGATGTCGGGGAGAGCTGGAAGACGGCGATCTCCCGATATGAGGATGCCACATCGACTAAAATCACGTCCCTTACATTGGCAAGGAGCGTGGATGACATATTGGCAGAGGTACAGGATAGGGAGACGAGATTCAAAGAACGCCGCCATGATGGGTCAAAGACAGACCGGTTTCGAACCCTCCTCCACAAGAGTTTGAAACCTCTTGAGAGACTCTGTGAGATAGTTACACAGTCAGGGTCGAGTGTAAGCACCTGGTTTCTTAGATGCGTTCAACCAGCTTGATATGCAACTAGTTATCCTTGCTAACTAACTTGTTCTCAACAGGTCTTCCCCCCCGGGGTTGTCATCTTCACGGCGGTACGCTACCTGATTATTGTATGGTAATAGCTGTATCCTCTCCTGGACATTGCAGGTGTTAACATTTGCGCCTAGAGCGTGAACATTGTGTCAGCCGACTATGATAAGGTGGTTGAATTTTTTGAAGATGTGAATTTTTACCTCAACACACTCAAGGTTCTAGAGACAAAAGTGCCTCCGATCAAAGAACTCAAAAATGCGATCACCGAGGTCCTGACATCAGTGCTCATGCTCTGTGGGATCTTTGCTAAATATGTCAAGATGAAACGATTCGGTAAGAGCCTAGTTTTGTCGCCAATATAGAAGAAAGCCATCTCAGCCAAACAGGCCTTTGGCGGCTAACGTAAATGTCCTCTCAGCAAAGGCGCTTCGGAGTCTTGGCTCAGATGCAGACGATGAGCTCGCGGCTGCATATGGACATTTCCGCAAGGCAGTTGAACAAGAGGCAGCTATTGTCAGGAATGCAACACTGGTGGCCGTGGAGCAACTGAAAATGGAGACGGATGAGAAGAGTGCATTGATCTTAGACGGCACAAAGCAAGTATATAGCTATTTAAGGGGTAAGTTAACTAACTAGTTAGTTAGTAACCGACTAGCTTCAACTTTGGTCAGACCTATGTTTTGCTAAACTAAGATCAAGGCCAGGAAGAAGATCAAGAACGAGAAAACATTCTCAAAGGCTTGTCGTCTCTGACTTTCGACGGAAAGCAGCGGGACAAGTTCGCAGAACATTATGATGGCACTCGAGAGAGCGTGCTCCGTTCTGATGGATTCCAACGATGGTTGCAAGGAGACCAGAACTCGACGTTGTGGTGTTACGGGATACGTACGTCCTCCCACCTATTTACAATATATCAAACATGATCGGCTTGCTTAAATCCTAGTTACCCTGAAGCGGGCAGCGGAAAGACTGTTATGACGTACGTATCACCTTGCAATTGTCCAACTATCGCTATCGCTAGCGGTATCAAGTTCGGAGGCTCACTTGCGGTCTTAATAGATCCATCGCTGTCAACTATGTAAGCGAAGCCACGCGCGGTACGAATGTCGCTATAGCATACGTATACTGTGACTATAAAGACGAACAATCACAATCCGAATTGCACCTTTTGTCGAGCGTAACTCGACAGTTAGCCGAGCACGTCCGCCCAATTCCTTCCGAGGTCAGAGACTTCCGTGAAAGGAACGCTGAAAAGAAGAGAAATGCAACAGGAGATGAATGGATTACGCTTATTCAATCACTATGCCGTAGCTTTCGAAAGACCTATATTTTTGTCGATGCTCTGGTAAATATGAAAGGGTCCCTGACTTCTCTTCTCAAGTGATACTAATCGGCTATCGCAGGACGAATGTCCCGAAACCAATAGAAACATATTTCTTCGATTGCTGAAGGACTTGGAACCCGTGGCTCGGCTATTTTTCACATCTCGCCCTAATATTACCCCTCCAGTAACATTCACGGGTATTACTCGAATCGAGATCTCAACAACTAAATCCGAGATCGAAACCTATCTAGCATCCGAGATAAAGAAGAATGATCGACTGGCTAGATTTATCACCAAGGACCCCAAATTGAAACAGGAGATCATTGAAAGCGTTAGCCAAAAGGCAGCGGGGATGTATGTTTTGTGAAATTCCAAGAACCTTGCTGGGACTAACATGCATATTACAGGTTTTTGCTTGCGTATTTTCAAATACGTGGTTTGGGCAAACAGAATAGCCTTCGAGGTGTCCGGAGAGCCATTTCCGCAATGCCAACGGGAATATACGACACTTACAAAGCTGCTATCAGTCGCATCGAGAAGGAAGGAGAAGAGAATTGCGAGGCCGTGAAAAGGGCACTTTCATATATCTACTGTGCGAAGAGGCCACTAACAGTTGACGAGCTGGTCCAAGCTTTGGCGGTTGAACTTGAGGATACGGATTTGGACGAAGACGCAGCCCCAGAGACCGACTTTCTCCTCAGTGCCTCTGCCGGTTTGATTAGAATTGACGAAAAACGCAACGTTATCAGCCTAGTCCATCATACCTTACAGGAGTTTTTTGAGGCAAATCCTGAACACCTTCTCCCTGACCTTGAAGCCGAGTTTGGTCGGTTATGTCTGACATACTTATCATTTGATGTTTTTGAAGATGGGCCATCTACGGATGGGGAGAGGCTGAAACAACGTTTGCAACATTACCAATTTTACGATTACGCTTCTCGTAACTGGGGCTATCATACAACGGAGCTGCAAATTGATGAGCAAACGGACATCGTCATCCCTTACTTGGAAAATAGCCAAAAATTGTCGTCTTCCATCCAAGTGTTACATCTAACCTCGTATCGAAAAAAAAACTGGTACGACCGTTTCCCAAGGCACTTTGGGCCCTTGCATGTCGGCGCCTACTGGAATCTAAAGCACATTGTGAGGTCGTTTTTGGAAGCCGGTTTTGAGGTCAACAGCCAGGACAGTTACGGAAACACAGCGTTACAAGTGGCCGCCAAGAATGGCCATAGGGAGATGGTGCAACTTCTCCTTGAAAATGGAGCAAATCTCAACCTTCAAAATCGATCTGGCGAGACCGCTTTATACTGGGCGGCCAGGAGCGGACATAGGGAGACGGTGGAATTCCTCGTAGTAAAAGGAGCCAACGTGCTGTCTGATCACGAAGGGTGGACGGCGCTGAGCTGGGCAATCGTGGGAGGACATGTTGAAGTCGTAAAAGTGCTTTTAGATAAAAGTGCCGAGTTTGGTGCAGAAAGGGATGGAAAACACAAAGCGCTTTTCCTCGCCGCTGAAGAAGGACACGACAAACTGGTGCAGGTGCTTTTAGACAGTGGAGCAGATGTCGATGCCAGGGACCATTTCGGCAGCACTGCACTTGACTTTGCGGTTTCGGTAGGGAATGAACCAACGGTGAGGGTGCTTCTCCAAAACAAAGTCAATGTCAACCTGGAAGACGGTTACCAAAACTCCGCCCTGCACTGGGCTGTCCCGTACCCGTCCATAATGCAACTATTGCTGAACGAAGGCGCAGATCCCCAGGCCAAGAACAATCGCAATCAGTCAGCGCTTTGCTGGACCGCTCAAGGCGGGTCCGTGGAAGTTGCTCGAATGTTGATTGCGGCAGGAGCTGGTGTAAATACTCAAGATTATTTAGGAGTTACGCCACTGCACCGAGCAGCCCTCAGGGGCTCTAAAGCCATGGCATGGTTGTTACTTGAGAATGGAGCTGATCCGAATTTGAAAGACGATGACGGCTGGACAGCTTTGCACGGCGCAGCTTTGCAAAAGCACGAAACACTTGTCGGGATACTTCTGGATAAAGTGGATAACGGGAAGGCAATATTAGAGTGGGTGAGTCTACAGGCACGAGGTAAGAAACAGCAAGCCTTGCTGGCAAAAACCATAGCCACCAAAATGCAAGGGAGCACAGTCGTCACGGGTCTGCGCGAAGCTGTACAGGAATCGCAGATCGGCAGATTGCAGGTGATATTGGAGAAAGGAGCGGATGTCAATGGCCAGGACCCTGGAGGATGGACGGCACTCATGATGGCGGCTGAGAGCGGATATACGGACGCTGTGAGGTTTCTCCTGGAAGAAGGGGCAGATGCCAATATCCGTGAATGTGGACAGCGTACAGCGTTGTGGTATGCCATTAACCGTGTGCATGAACCAGCTATAACCCTATTGATCGAATACGGAGCCGATGTCAATGCAAGCGTATACGGAGTTACCCCGACTATGCTAGCGATAGAAAGGGGTTCAATGGCGATCGTAAAGCTCTTACTCGATGCGGGTGCTAACATGGACGCACAAGATTACCACGGGCAGACAGCCCTGCATATATCTGCTTTAAACGGTCAAGGTGAAATTCTGAAGCTATTGGCAGAAAAGGGGGCCGATTTGACCATTGTGGATGACATCGGGAGGTCGCCCCTCATGCTTGCAGTTAATAAACACCAGAATGGACTCGTGAAATTGCTCCTTGAAACCGGAGCCGGGGTTGAAGCGAAAGCTCAAGACGGCTCTACTGCATTGCATCTGGCCACATTTTTGGGACATGACTCTATGGTAGAACTGCTCCTTCAAAAAGGAGCCGATGTTAATGCTAAAACCCGCGATAACCTCACGGCATTGCATATTGCGACCCTTTCAGGGTTCGGCACGATAGAGAAGTTGCTCTTGACGAGTGGTGCCAATACCCAAGAAGAGGTTCGATGGAGTGAAATCTGGAAAGACAAACCTGACCGCGGTTGCGAATATGATACAGAAAGAAAGACCTTGACTCAACTCCTTTACGAATTCGGACCTAAGCGGGGCCTCGATTTCGTCAAGGAAGATACCAAGGTTGGGATACCACTGAGCTCTGGATAATGAACGATCACTGCATTTGTGCATTAGGCCTGGGGCAAAATACCGATTTAACGAATGATTTGCCGGGGATCTAGGCTAGAAGAAGCATTCCTAACAAGGTTAGACATTTCATAAAAGGGAAGAGTAGGATTGAAAAGGATGAATAATGATATTTAAGGAGTTACCGCGCAGGATGGTATTAGACTTGCATGGCATTCCAGCAATCCGTCAGTGGATTGATTGCATCCGAGAATAACAAGTGGTCATTAGATAGCATGCTTGGGTAGGAGTCGAGAATGAATACAGTAGCAAAGCTTGGTGTATTCGACCACTGGTTGCGACTTGTCGTTATCGGAGATTCCTTCGAAACGTCGGATATTGAAGGCTGGGATTTGCTATGTTGTTGTCAAAGCAAATGTTGATATCCTCATCGAATATAGGCGTTTCATCCGATCTAAACAAGCAAATCTAGTCACTGTCTAAAATATTTTGCCTCTATCTCAACTCTGCTTTTCATCCATACAACGATCAGAAGACGCTTGACGATGGGCTTCTTCGCCACGCCGGTGGTTGGCAGCACCTTTCAGTCTGTCCAGGCAATTTGACAGCCAGTACTCCGTACCCCGTAGCTTTCTGCATAAGGAGATAGACAATCTTCACTCCGCAGTGGTGCTATATTGACAATCAGCAAGTCGCGTAAAAGACGAAAAAATGTGTTTCTTTGGCCAAGTCGTTGCACTCTTTGGTTTCATGCTTGTCCTTTGCCCTTGGATTTTATTGCATAGTTATATCACAAGTTTGGAAACGCGCGTCTTGGTCGTATTTACTGTTTCTCTAAGGCGCCATTGCGGCCGCCGAGCACCCCCAGATGCAGAGAGAGGGATAGGTTCTCTCGTTCCGGTAATGGTTTGCCCGCGCTGTTGATGGAGGGGCACCAAGCGCGGGGCTGGACACACGCTAGACTGGGGAGAGCAGTTTGTTCCGACGCCTGGACTACCAGAGTTCCCGTCAGCCCGGGGAAAAGCAGCAGTTAAAGCGAGAGAAAGCAGGGTGAGGGGAAGCCGGCCTCGATGTTTATCAACCAAGGGCCTGCTTACTGTTCATGTTCAGCTTCCGGCTCCCGTCTCGGAGTCTCTCTCCACTTTACTCCGTGTATATAAAGCCAGTCCTGCCATCATCAAGGGCCGCATTGCAACAACCTTCTCATCCTCGATACTTTTCAAATTCCTTCTCGAAAATGTCAGACCTTTTCGCCGAGCTTACGGCACCCAATGGGCGCAAGTACACCCAGCCATTGGGCCTGTTCATCAACAACGAGTTTGTTCCGGCCAAATCAGGACAGAAGATCTCATCAATTAACCCCACGTGAGTGGACATCGTGCTCAGAGGGAGTGGGAGGCATTGCTAAACCTGCGTTTTAGTGACGAGTCAGAGATCGCGTCCGTACACGCTGGTGGAGCTGAAGACATTGATATCGCAGTCAAGGCCGCCCGAAAAGCACTAAAGAATCCCTCATGGAAAGAATTGCCTCCGACAGACCGCGGAAAGCTCATGGTCAAGCTTGCAGAACTGGTTGAGAAGCACATTGAGACCCTGGCGACGATTGAATCTTGGGATAATGGTTGGTTGATGGCTGCCTAAACCTCTCTCACGCTTGATGCTTACTGTTTCCGTTGCTACCAGGCAAGCCCTACTCTGTTGCCGTCAGCGAGGACTGTGTCGAAGTTGCCGAAACCCTGCGGTTCTATGGCGGGTTCGCAGACAAGGTCTACGGAACCACCATCACCACCTCTCCCGCCAAGTTCGCCTACACACTACGCCAACCCATTGGTGTCGTTGGTCAGATTATCCCGTGGAATTACCCATTGGCCATGGCTGCATGGAAACTCGGACCTGCTTTAGCCTGCGGCAACACGGTGGTGCTTAAGCCCGCCGAACAGACTCCTCTTAGCATCTTGTACTTTGCGAACCTCATCAAGGAAGCTGGCTTCCCCCCTGGTGTTGTGAACATCGTCAATGGCTATGGTAAAGATGCCGGCACAGCAATTGCATCTCACCTGGATGTCGATAAGATCGCCTTCACTGGCTCCACAGCAACTGGAAGACAGGTCATGAAGACAGCTGCCGTCAATTTGAAGAACATCACGCTAGAGACCGGAGGAAAGTCGCCACTCTTAGTCTTTGAAGACGCAGACATGGAACAAGCTGCTAAATGGGCACACATTGGTATCATGTCAAACATGGGCCAAATCTGCACAGCGACATCACGTATCTTGGTGCAGGACACCATCTACGACAAGTTCATCGCCCAGTTCAAAGAAATTGTTGCGTCGACCAGCAAAGTCGGCGATCCGTTTGCTGATGACACTTTCCAAGGCCCCCAGGTCACAAAGGCGCAATATGACAGAGTGCTCTCATACATTGAAAGCGGTAAATCCGAAGGCGCCAAACTCGAATCATGCGGTGTTCCACACAAGAACGTCGGCGACGGCAAGGGATTTTTCATCGAGCCAACTATTTTCAGCAACGTGACGGATAACATGAAGATCTACCGCGAGGAAGTCTTTGGACCCTTCGTCGCCATTGCCAGTTTCAAGACGCAAGATGAGGCCATCGCCAAAGCGAACGATACTACGTACGGTTTGGGCGCGGCAGTGTTCACTCGGGATATCGAACGAGCTCACCGCGTTGCTGCTGAAATCGAAGCCGGTATGGTCTGGATCAACAGCAGCAACGATAGTGACTTCCGTATTCCGTTTGGCGGTGTCAAGCAAAGCGGTATTGGAAGAGAACTGGGCGAGGCTGGATTGGAGGCATATTCGCAAACAAAAGCTGTGCATGTAAATATGGGAACAAGGCTATGAGCCTTGAGGGCAATTCAACAGTTGAATTAGGCCTAACTAGTTAACTAACTAGCTAATTGGAAGTTTCAAATGTGTTTTCGGCTTCCCCCCAAAGTATATATGTACATAATTAGTTACATAGTCTCACTATATAACTTCATGCAACATTAAAAGTTGATTTTGCCTCTTTTCTTTGCTTTAAGCTGTCGACTACATAATTTATGGGGCTGGGGTCGCCGGACGCTCGATAGGGGTTTGTTATGGCGCCTTGTGGAAAACTTATCTACAATTCTCGTGGTCAAGAGCCTAATTGGCCTGATTATCTGCAAAATATGCTTGTTTGGTGCCTTGCGTGAACTGACATCTAGAATACATACACAAAAGGGGCAGAGTGGGCGGTCACCACTGCATCGCCTATTTAATCATCTTCAAGAGTTGCTTTCCTTATTTTCTCCATGGCTGTTTTCAACCTTGCTTTCTCCATGGTTATCCTCATCTTTCTTGACGGATCCCTCATTTCTGTCATTCTCCTCTTCGTCTTCTTCGTCTTCTTCGTCTTCTTCAGCTAAATTCATGATGAATCTCCATTGCTTTGGTGTCACGGAAGACACGCTCAAACGGGATTGTCTCATCATCTGAAGGTTTTCTAGGGCCCCGCCGGGCTTCGCAAAAGACTTGAGTTCGGTCAACTTGACGAGGCTCTTGAACTTGCGTCTGAATTCAACATGTACAACCTCCCACTTTGGGTTATCACGGTTGGATTTCTCATCATAGTACGGATGAGCCGGATCAAAAGCAGACTCTATCCAACAAGATCAGTTAACCCTAACATTTGTCTAACGGATTTGATCGATATCTTACCGTCCACAGAGTGCTCCTTGACGATTTCCATTACGCCAGCAATACCCGGGACCTTGCAGTTCGAATGATAGAAAAATGCCAAGTCACCCTTTTTCATGGTGCGCATATGATTCCGAGCTAAAGTCGCGTTAGACATCACACGAATTTAAAATATTAAAACTACGCCTATACTCACCTGCTGCATTGCGAACTCCTGCAGAAGGGGTACCGCGTTAGAAATACACATTAAATTGAAATTGCAAGCACTATGGAGCGAGACTTACCGTCCCAGGCCTCAGGCTCTGTGGCTTCGCGTAGATCATCGATTGAAAATTTAACGTCAACACCCTTCTCAAGTCTCGATTCCGGCTCAGCTTTCATAAGCCAGTAAGACTTATCATCACGAGCATCACCATCCTCATCTTCTTCAGCTTCTTCAGCTTCTTCGGTCTCATTGATCACCACCTTGGCAGGCTCTTCTTTCTTTCCGTTGGCTTCGGACTTGGTCGTCTTTGTCCGTTTACGGCCAGTATTAGCAGGTGCAGGCTCATCAAGTGCTACTTTGCCAGCCTTCCTTTTAGGCGGCCTTCCAACCTTTCCCTTGGTGGTTGCACCCTTGGCAGCAGTAGTTGTCTGTGCTCCTTTTGCAGCTGAGGTCAAGGATTAGTTTTGGTGCTATAGCTACAACTTTCGAGGGCAACATACTTTTTGATGCAGTTGCACGCTTTGCAACGCGTTTCACGGGAGTCTCATCAACATCCTTCACTAATTCCTTCACTACACGTCTCGGACGCGACGATGCAGCTGTCTCCTTAACTGCGATAGCACTGTTAGTGCGTCTTCCAGACTTTGGTTGAGGCGCCATCTTGTAACTCTATGAACCACTTGAACAAATATAATGTTAGGCTTAGTAGAAGGCCCCAGATACAAGAGACCAGCGAAAAGAGCAAATGAACATGAGAAGGTAGCGCCAATGTGTTGAATCAGGAGGCGGCTGGAGGTAAACAAGTCAAACCAGCTGGCGGTCACGTGGAAGGCTCCTGAAAGCCTGCCCTCGGGCCTCCAGAGCAGACCGCAGTGCATAGCTCCTCCATGATGAATATCACCTGTGCCAAATCTAGGTGTTTATGAGCTTGTACTATGCAATTGGCTACAGTGATATCAGAGACCCGGTGCTGCCTTTGCCGGAATACTTATAATTTTGTTCGTCATATACCCTGGGTCGGTCAGTGACTCGTGATGGCGCTGAACTTGGGCTTGTATTCGACTGAGGGGTTGAAAGTCAACAGCTCAAAATAACCGGCCCGGCTAGTTCAAAGGTTCATCCGGTTCCGATTTTCGATACAGCAAAGGACGAGATTCCTCTAACCTTGGCACGAACTCGGGGTCGAATCGAAGACATTCTACCTCTGCCCTAGGGCGTGATTAATCGCCAATAGGGAGCTGGCCTTCTGCCCGAGATCTGGACATTTTCGATACGAGCGGTCTGAGCGTGTCATTGGAATATGTTCATTCGCGGATTTTGTTGACTCTTCACCGGGAACCGCAACCGCACAGATATTCGGTTTCCGAGAAATTGCTTCTAGCAAGTTACCGGGCAAACGGGTGCCATAACATGGACATTCCTAAAAGGTGAACGGCAGGAGAAGCTGAATTCATCCTTTGTGCATGTGGCTATTAGCCATTCCAACCTCTCTTGACCTCTGTGATAGAAGGGTTGCTGCTCAACCTGTTCGCGCCGCTACAAACTTAAGGCTACTTGAGGTTATCAGATTATCTCCGAGAACGGTGATCTCTTCGCTAGTTAATTATGTTGGACCAACCGGGAGGAACCAAAGTTCGATACTGTTTCGGGGATGCTCGAATGTGACCGGATAGCTCGGAGAAGAGCTTATGCCGATATTAGGACACTCATTGCCGCCATAGCTCCACAATTGGGGAAATAGTTGGGGAAAGGTTGTGGAGTAGAAAAAGAGCTGGATCTCTCTTGTTTATTAGTAATTTTTCAGCTGGCTCTGAAATAAAACTACTTTGGCAAATTTTTTGGCCATCATCGATACATCATTTTGGCTATCCGGTCGCCTGGTTATACCAAGAGGCAAACTGTGGTGATGCAGCGAGTGGGAACATGGAAGCCAACACAAGGTTAAGTTCACAAAAAGACGAAATCGAGCCAGGGACCAAGCCACCCGCACCAGAAGAGTCACCACAATCATCAGAGAAAACACCAGACATCAGCAAAAGTTCGAGAACAACTCTCGTCGATTTTAGCGAAAAAGGCACTCCGGGCGACTCAAATTCGCCGACTTCGACCTATCCGCCGGTTGAATATGCGTACCTCGGCTTCAACTCCCCCCTTCCATCTCCAATCGATTACAGTGCTGCGAAACAACCATCCTTGCCAGGGCCCCCGGATTTGAAACGATATACATCACCATTCGAGTGGCCAAACACGCGCAAGTATGTGATCACCGCTCTCGCGTGCACCGTGACAGTTCTCGCCGCGGCAGCGGCAGGATGTTACAGTCCGCCGGAAGCAGAGCTCACTCGAGCATGGGGGATCAGCGGCGTGGTTTATAACATTGGTATTACTGTCTTTACCCTTGGCTTTGGGATCGCACCTATGGTGCTGGCCCCATTTTCGGAAATAAACGGACGGAGACCAATGTTTATATACAGCGGAATCCTGTTTACTGGTGAGTTCGACCAGACCTTTTTGTAGCGCTATAGTGCCCAATAACTGATCAAGGTTGATGTGCTTAAGTATGCCATATTGGATGCGGCGTGACTCGCTCTTTTGCCGGGATGATTCTTGCCCGGTTCTTTTTGGGTGTTGGAGGCTGTATGTTATCTTTTGAGTCCAAGTCGTCTAGTAGTTTGATGCTGACTTCTCACGTACAGCAACTTTCTCGACTATAGTGGGCGGTATTATAAGTGACATATACCATGCCAAAGACCGGAATGCGCCAATGGCTTTGTTCGCCACAGCAGCACTTTTTGGAACGGGGCTGGGTCCCCTGTTCTCCGGAGCAATTGTGAAACACACGTCGTGGCGCTGGGTGTACTACTCACAGGCTATAGTAGCGGGCGTAGTTACAGCCGCAGTGGTTCTTTTTTTCAAAGAAACTAGGGGTAACGTGTTATTAAGTCGGAAAGCAAGAGCGTTGAACCAGTGGTATGAAGAGCTGGAAAATGCAGGGTGCCCTGGTTTGCGGATGGAGACCGCCGAAGGTAGCCAAAAAGGTCAGTACCGACGGCTACGTTGGAAAGTGAAAAGCGACGAGGAGAGGGAATCACTTGTAAAAATGATCACTATATCTTTATATAGACCGTTTCGTAAGTTTCTGCCCCTGTAATTCTGGTTTCTGCTAACAATGGGTTGAAGACTTGCTGGTGACTGAACCGGTCGTTTTCTTTTTCTCTCTCTGGGTTGCATTTAGTTGGGCCGTGCTCTACTTGCAGTTTGGTTCTATACCAATCGTTTTTCAAAATAACCATGGATTCGATATCCAGGAATCTGGCGCTGTGTTCACATGTAGATTCGCCCCATTATCTTTATGGATGCAATTTTGCAGAATATAACTGACCCATAAATGTAGCAATGTGCGCCAGTGCCCTGCTAGCGCTATTTATTAGCATTGTGCAGGACAAAATAGCCATGAAACTTGGAAAGGTGCCAACCACGCCAGAAGGTCGACTATATTTCGTTTGCGTGGAATCCATTTTAATGCCTGCAGGATTGTTCTGGTTTGGATGGACTTCAGGTCCGTCAACACACTGGATATGGCCCGCTCTGGCTGTGGGTTGCGCAACGATTGGGATATTCTCGATTTACCTTGCCGTCTTTAACTATATGGCCGATACGTACCATCGATATGCAAGCTCCGCATTAGCAGCTCAGTCCTTTTGTACGTGCTGGCGGCCACCTGTTCCGAGATGTGCAGGTTCCATTAACAAGTTTATCCTGTAGGTCGAAATGTTCTTGGTGGGGCATTCCCGCTTGTTACGAAAGCCATGTTCAACAATCTTGGGTATCCCGAAGCGTCCAGTTTGCTTGGTGGTATTGTATGTTCCCATCCGTGATCATGAAATATCCTCAAGGTCCCGAAGACTGACAATGACCAGGGCGCTTTGCTGACGATCGTCCCATGGGTTCTTGCGATCTTCGGTCCGAGGATCAGAGCACGAAGCAAATTCGCGAGCGTATGTTGAATTGGCCTTTGACTAAGCAGTTGAGAACTTGCTGACCCAGTCAATATATTTAGGAGATCATGACTGGTCACGAATAGGTTTACCACCACAACGCCGCGTACGTTTAGAGAAAGTAGTCCGGATATAGTACTCGACATAAAATCGATTTCGGGAGCTTAGAATTCCAACAGTCTAGGCATTGTATTGGCGTTGGGGCTTTGGCGGCATTTTTCTTCATATTCCATCACTTGGGGTGCCCGGAAAGACATGTTTAGATATCTCTTGAAAGACGCTCGCATGGCGGATGGTTGCATTCCAATACGTAGTACGGAGTATTTCATTCCTCATCCAGCTTGATCCCTCGATTCCCCTCCTCATGCCTAGGAACGGACCAGGTTGAAACGTCCTCAAATTTCCGCAGGCCACTGGGCAAGTGATCAGCCGACTTTTATACGAGAACGCCGGAGAAAACGCGGGAATTACCCGCAAAATGCTCTGCAAAAGTTCGACCGTCGTGATGTCACCGATGCGCCTGTGGGTCTTTATCGGCGTTCACTGAAACAAGCATCTTTATTAGAATCTAGAATTTGGGATAGTTTGTTTATTTTGAAACTTCGGCTTTGATGGCAAGAGAAACGGAAATAATATTAGAAAGTAGTAAATATAAGAGTTGTTTTACCGGTGACGGCCAAGTGAGGTTCATGCTTCAATTGCAGAGTCGGGATTGAAAATCGTGGATCTGCGCTTGCGACACTCATCAACGCGAGGAATCGGCGATGTCAGTCTCGAATCCATCGGGGAATCCCTGGTCGATTTGCTGTAGAAGCCTAGAAGGCCCAGGCCAAGGGCGAACATGCAGAACACGAGACGTTCTTGGGATGATTGGTCATGCGAATCAGGTCAATGCGGAGTCGGAGAGGCAGCAGGATCAAATTCTCATCCACCGCATCTTTAGCCAGCCGCGAAGAAGTCAGCAGGCAGCTTGAACTATGAAGATGTGTTGTGGTGGTTGTTGTGCTTGGCCGAGCAACGTCGTTTCATCCGCAAATAGCCTAGCGCCTGGGTGTCAATCCCTGCTGTCTGATTGGCCGGTGATGAGCTCATAGCACGTGCGATTCAGAGCCCCTGCTTCAAGCACTCCACCTGCGTGTGGCCAATCAGCGTCCATGCGTCAAAAGGCGGTGACCCATTGCGTGATTGAGGGGTGATTTTGCCGGCGGAGGGGCATGTTGATTCTGCCGCGAGAGAACGAGCGACGGTGAGGCGGGAAGAGGTATGGGCTGAGAGCGGGCGTGGTGGAGTCAGTATAACTTAAGACCGCTGGGAGCGCTTATCATTCCTTTGCAACTTTTTTTCACCTTTTTTCCGCTTCTTTATTTCTTGACATCCGTCTTTAGATTTTGGTCAACACCTCACTTAGTTCTCTGTCTTTCATCCTCCTGTACCATTAATAATATTCTCTCACCATGGCCGATCAGAGTCAGCGTGCTGCTCCGTGAGTTGACCCAATATGAGTCCGTATTTCTGGCAATTCTGACGCGTCCATCAGCCTTCGTCTCGGTTCCGTAGCCCCGAATTTCAAGGCCGTCACCACCAAGGGCGACATTGATTTCCATGAGTTCATCGGCAACAACTGGGTCATTCTCTTCTCGCACCCTGTATGTGGCTGTTCTCAGTCTGTTCTAATCATATCTTGCCAGTTGCTAATAGCTTCGGTCTGTAGGATGATTTCACTCCCACCTGCACGACTGAACTCGGCGCATTCGCCAAGCTCGAACCTGAATTCACAAAACGTGGCGTCAAGCTGATTGGTTTGGTAAGAGAGAAAGCCTCATAAGCAAGTATCTGCCCTCCTAACGGGGATTTCCAGAGCGCCAACGGATTGAAATCCCACCACGATTGGATCAAGGATATTGACGAAGTCACTGGCTCGAATTTGCAATTTCCCATCATTGCAGATGCTGATCGCAATGTATCCTATCTCTATGACATGATCGATTATCAAGATACCACGAATGTGGACGAGAAGGGTATGGGTTGAACGAGTCCTTGACAGAAGTTGCCTGTTTCGCTTTAGTAGGAGAGTTGATGGCTAACGAGCTAGGCAGGCATGGCCATGACCATTCGTTCTGTCTTCATAATCGATCCCAACAAGAAGATCCGCCTCATTATGAGTTACCCAGCTACGACTGGCCGTAACACCGCTGAAGTCCTTCGAGTGGTTGATGCGCTTCAAACCACCGACAAGAACACCGTCAACACTGCCATTAACTGGACTCCTGGTGATGATGTGATCATTCCTCCTTTCGTGTCCACAGAGGATGCGGAGAAGAAATTCGGACAAGTTCGGGTCGTTAAGCCGTAAGTACTCGATATTCATATGCGCAACTGTGGATTCTGACCCCGATTAAGATACCTTCGATATACCACTCTTAAGAACTAGATTGCGTTTGGGCTGTACTCCGTAGGAGCTGGGAGAATAAAGTCTTTATGGGATATGATGCCTGTTATGACCTATGAATCCAAGTTAGGCAAATGTTGAGCATTCAATCAAAAAGCCAAAATGGAATTACCTCGTGTTCATGGTTGTTTGATAGCGACCTGCAAGGGGCACGATCTTCTCTTGGCCACTACTCTCCCAACAAGGAGAGTGAAAAGGTATTCTTTAGCTATTGTACCCCGTAGGCACTGGGTGAAATCGCGGAAACATTGCTGGCATCTCCCTCTATCGCAACATCGACGGGCGAAGCTGAGCTGTACTCCGTATACACACCTGCCTATTTTGTTGAATTCAGGAGTCAATGCCAAGAACGCCAAAAAAAGCCTAGACCACATCCCCAGATTATCTAAGCGAGATCTGATCTCGGTGTAATGTTGATCCGATGGAAATGTTTCTCCGCCGGAAGTTACTAACCAAACCCAGTTAGCTGGCAATATGATGACCGGGAACCTCTCAGGTCGCTGCAGAAGGATGGACGACGCTCCAACGATCTCTCTCACCACTACTGCCAATGCATCAAGGTGACTGGCTGGGAAATCGGTCTTGCTGGAGAGTCTGACCGAAATGGTTGAAGATTTCGGTGTTTCTGTCCTTCTTTAGACTGTGACTCTCTGAGAGACAAGGCCTGGGGTTCATCTCAAACTGGATGCTCCCCTGCAGACAACCCTCGAACCTCCTCTCCGATTGAAATTGGATCGACTGCTCGCTTTGGCCCAAGCCAGCCCGCCAAGCTCGTTTCCCGCTCATTTTCCAAAGCAGGCTGGGAAAGAAAAGGAGACGTACCGATTTGACCCATCAAGCTCCCAGAAGCGCCCAGCTACCACTGAATAATTTGTGTTCTGCAATGCAACCCTGATATTTCGCTTTTTGCACCACACACATTCACTTTTTTTTTGGGCGAAGGAAAATAAAATCGAAGTGGATTATTTTCTGCATTGATATTTTTCCTCCAATAACTGCGTCAGCCTTGACCATTTATCTTGTCAATATCCCGTTTCAAATATTCCTAGGGTTCGCCTGGTGGGGGCGCCATTTATATTGCCTGTCAACAGGGAATCGCATCTCAATGGGAAGTGCGTTTTGATGGTGCGCTAACCATTACTTGACGAAGAGTACGTATCTGTGTTTCGTCCCATTTTTTCCTCCTGCACCATTTCTTTTTGCGATTCTTTTGGTGTTAAGCACATATGCATTGTGTCATCAGCTTCCTTCGCCCACACTTGTTTGTTTCCCTGAAGTATGACAATTGACAATGACTCTCTTAGGAGGCGAACGTCGGGCCTCGAAGGCCAGTATCTTTTCCAGCGACTCTCCTCCCTTTGCACGTCCGAACTTCGAAAAGTCAAACCCGTTTGCTGCAGTGAGAAGATATTTTCGACCCAACGACGTTAGGGATAGCGACATCAGACTCAAGGAACCTGGCCCATCACCGTTGCGACCGTCAACCGCGTTTTCAGAAGGTCGGGGAGCCTCAAGCTCGATAGTGTTACCCCAACATAATACTTCTTTGCCATTTGTTGCTCCACCTGGCGCATCAACGCCGGCGCCGCACCCAAGCCGCCGCTCGAGTTTACCCGCTACATCCCCTATAGCGGAATCCGGGTTGAAGAGTAGGGTACGGAGGTCGACTTTGACCGGAAATAAGCAGCCAAAATTCTCATATAATATTAATGCGGCTACTACCAGGAGACCTTCATTGGAGCCGAAACATTCCCGTCCTTCCCTAGAGGTGGTCTCCCTGTATGGACGCTCTGAAGACGCCAGCAATTCTCCATATCAGAATTCGAATTATTCAGCAGAAACCCCACTCACGGACTTGAATTACCACATAAACATGTTGTCAAGCACAGGTCTTGACTCTTCGCGCGACGAACACAGCGCTCCCACCCAATATTCAAACCCGCACCCAATACCCACCGTCACGGGATCAGCAACCAATACAGGCCCTACCAACTTATCAGGCCTCGTATGCAACGTACATCGAACGACCGGGAGAGAGCCCCATGCCTTAGTAGGCGCCACAACCACCATCCTTGGTGACAAATTATATGTTTTTGGAGGCCGTATGTTATCGAGAACTCGACCAGAGTTAACCTCAGATCTCTACGAACTCGATTTGATACGACGCCATTGGAGTAAGCTGCAACCGAGTGGGGATATTCCCTCACCAAGATATTTCCATAGTGTATGTGCGTTGGGCGATACAAAACTCGTTTGCTATGGCGGCATGTCTCCTAGAACGACACTTTCCAACCAGTCTTTGGCAAACGTGCCACAGCCTGGTAACCAAGAAACCCAGCCGGAAATTGTGGTAATGTCTGACGTGCATATTTATGACGTGCCAACTAGGACCTGGACGCGTATACAGACGAACAACACACCCCAGGGGAGGTACGCTCATTGTGCCGCCATCCTCCCGTCATCCGCCATTTTTACCTCCGCCCAGGCTCCTTTATCTGCGATTCACCATAACCCATCCTCTTCCAACCCGCATCAAGGAACAATAGGAGTAGATATCGATGGCTTTGGAGGCGCAGAAATGGTTGTCGTTGGAGGCCAGGACAGCTCAAACCACTACATCGAGCAAATCAGCGTTTTCAACTTGCGCAGCCTCAAATGGACAGTGACTACTCCTTTGGATCGAAGTTGCGGCGCATATCGAAGCGTTGTCACGCCCCTCACCAACACGTCAGTGTCACAGATTGGAGCAAATAACCAAGAAACAAACGCGGATGCGCAATCTGAAACCCAAGGAACTCCACTCTTGATCTATTCTAATTATAACTTTTTGGATGTCAAACTAGAGCTTCAGATCCGTCTTCCAAACGGCCATTTAATAGAGAAAACGATGGATAACTCAGTTTCGCCTCCCGGCCTCAGATTTCCGAACGGCGGCATTATCAACGGTCACTTCGTCGTCAGCGGGACGTATTTAACCTCCTCTAGACAGGAGTATGCACTTTGGGCGCTGGATCTAAAATCTTTAACATGGGGTCGAATAGATGTTGGTGGGACTATTTTCGGGAGCGGAAGTTGGAATCGTGGAATTCTATGGAATAGAAGAAGCACTTTTGTGATTTCTAGGGGCATAGAAAGAGGAGTCTCGTTGAAGATTACAATCATCGAACGTCTTAAATTTCACTCCACGTCTGTATGGTGGGAGTTGGAGGCCTTTGGGCTTTACGAAAACCCTAGAAGCACCGCACCAACTTCGGGATACCAGTCGATGAGCGCTCCAGCGATACCAGCGTCTATTCAACCGAAATTCTCCCAACAAGCTGGTGGTGGTCGTCCGTATTCCTCAGCTGCCCAACAGCTGGGTCTGATGGCACAAGCTTTCGTCGAGCTCTCTGACATGGAGTTGCTTACGATTGGGGGGGAACGAATACCGGTTAATTCACATGTTCTCGCTCGACGATGGGGACCTTATTTCGTCCGATTACTTCGTGAATCGACTGCCGTTGCATCTGACCATGTGTCTGATGCGGCCACCGTTCGACAACCAGGCTCATCCTTCAACAACCACATCCACAATAAACGCAATTCTAATCTTACAATAACTCCCTCCATCAGCAATACTAGTCAATACTCCACAGCAACCACGTTGGTGAATCAACCTGGCATTGCTGCCAATGTTGGAAATGCCCAGAAAGATGCCGCTTTGACAACGCTTCCTAATCTTGAAATCCCATCTGCCCACTCTCTTACGCCCAGTTCACGACCTCGTACCCTTTATCTCCCACATACCCATTTGACTGTTCAACTCCTTGTTCACTTTCTCTACACTTCATCTCTCCCTCCTATTGATTCGCCGTTATGCACCCCGCAGATACTCTGCTCCCTCCTACAGCTCGCTCGACCGTACCAAGTTGATGGATTGCTTGAAGCCACTGTTGAACGTTTACACCAAGTTCTTGATGGCAGGAACGCTGCAGCAGTATTCAATGCGGCAGCCATGGCTGCGGGGGGCGGGCGTGGAACCGGCTTCACAAGTGGAACCGGCGGAACGTTGGAAGTATTAAACGGCGTGAAGTTGCGCTCTGATCAAACAGGCGCCCTCTCTGCGCCAAAAGGGACCATGTCGCAATCCAACGCGTCAGATAACGACAGAAACCATAGTGAAAGAAAGCCTGTTACCAGTCGTCGCGAATCTAACAACTCCGCGTCTCAGCAAAGGCCCTCGAATCTTCGAATTAATACAAATATGGCATTCCGTCATCGCACTGAATCGTTTAGCAGTGCAAGCACCGTTACATCTGCATCGACAAACACCAGTTTCAGTTACACTGATTCTGATCTGGGCCGGCAATCTAGCAGCGGCGACGGATCTAGCAGGCACCATACACATAGCAGGGCAGATCGAGAGGTATGGACTGGTGAAATCAGTAGCGTGGTCGGATTGCAGAAGCGCGGGCTAAGAGGCCTGATGGAAGGGCGACGACTAAGGGAGCGAGGTGCACTTAATGCCGCTGATGATCGAAATACTCCTACTGCTGGGATAACGTCGAATGCAACCGCTGGGACCGGTCCCGGGACTGGAACATGATAGCATCACAATCATATACAAAATGATTTGAGCCGTTGATCCACATCATGGGACATTGCTATCCATTTCGAACTGCGGTGGCGCTGCTCTCGTCTAAACTTGATTTGTATTGAGTATTCGCGTATTGTTTTCGCCGTACTGTTCTGTTCTTTGCCGTTGCGTTTCTAGAATGCTGTGGACTCATTTGATATTTTATGTATACCCCTTTTCTTCTTGCAAGTATCTTTGGCTTTTTGAATATAGCTCAGATCTCTGATTGGTATACTTGCCTCCTTGTTTGGCCGGCCCTTTTGACATGCCTTACGTCTTGTGTTTGGATGATTATGAAGCTATGATGGGATGGAAATGGAATGCAGGCTTCATGGTTTTCAGAAGTTTTAGCCTCCCTTACCCTTTCGAATAATCGCATCCAACGTAGCTATCCATATTATTAAAAGGAAAGGTAATCCGCGTCGATCTAGAGCGCCCGAAAAAACAAATTACTTA